GGTTATAGGGCCGTAGTGAATCACAGGGGGAAATTCGTCAGCGCTAAAATCCCCCCGCTAACAGACCAGAACCCAATTTTTGGCGTCAGAGATTCGACCATGGCGAACATTTTGAGTTTTTGAGCTGGACTTCAGCCCCCCTTGCGAACCCCCGGTTTTCAGGCCGTCGTCGGCGCCCGGAGATCCGCCAGCACCCGCTGGCCCGCCCGACGTCGGTTTCTTACGAATTAACCGTGTTTGTTTTTGCAGTGCCAGCCAAACATTCCATTTGCCTGTTATGCATCCGAAGCCCTTCAAGCCCAAGGCGCCTACACGTTGCTCGTCAAAATTAGGCCGCTGCTGCTCTTAGAGGTTTGAAAGAACGGTGATTAGCACACTTCGCCCGATCAGACTCCTGTTTCGCGTTCCCTAGTGAGACCCTGGTTAGAAATCAATGTATCTTTTATCAAACGGCCAGACACCCATTTGCTGGAATATTCCATTTAGTACGCTCAAAACTCACCAAAAATGTACCCGAAAAATGCATAAGGAAAAAATTTTGAATTTTGTAGCATGGGAACACATCTAGAAGACAAGCTGAAGCGATTGCAAAAAAAAAGCAAAAGAACCAAAAGAACTGTAAGAACCAAAAGCAGAACTAAATCTCTGAAAAAGGGGTGGTACTTATCAAGTTGGGGGGGCCACTTTGGGTACCTATTAGGAGACACTTTTTTTATCGCTTTTCGACTCTTACTAGGGTAGTTTTTTACGCTGAGTGGGAATAGAGTCGCAACAGCATTCGAAACGGTTGCGTTTATCCAGAAAAACAGTCTAAAAATTTATTAATAAAGGTGTACTCCTGCACCATTTTAGGCTTGCCACATTGTCAGGCAAGGTGGGCCGTCGCTTCGGATGGGCTGCCGCTCCACTCTTCCGAAATCGGGGCGCCTGGGCGCTTCGCGCTCCTCGGGCGCCCCGATTTCGAAACCCTGTACGAGCTCGCACCCATCCGAAGCGACTAGGCCCCGGGTGGCACGAAGCCTTATTTTTAGGCTCAAATTGTGTAAGCATCTCTAAATCTTAAAAACGTTTAAATAATTGTGTTTTACTACTCTGATTTTGTTATATCCGAGACCAGCACAAAAAAACTAGCTTAGAAAGACACAAAAAGTCGGAAACCAAAGTGGCCCCCCCAACTTGATAAGTACCAAAGGGGTTTTAGAGCTAGATTCTCGGAAGCACCAAAAAGGGTATAACCTCCGTTCATCATAGTGTCCACCCTGCAAGCAGAAGTGCGAGCTGGGTGCGTCTCTGGGAATCGATGACGCGACCGGACGCTGGACGATTGACTGCGATCCGAGAGAGCTGTTCTGCCAGGAAGGTGCGCGCTTTGGCTTAAGTGCAGTTTACCCCCCCAGCCCTAACTTTTCAGCCATACGTCCTATTAGTGCGCCGAGTATCTCAAAATGTTCGCCGTGGTCGAATTACGGCTACGGTTTACTTTACCCCCCCCAGCCGGAAGTTTTTGGCTATAACTTTTTGGTTCTTTAGGATTCCCGGGGGGGGAAAGTATTCCCGGGGGGGGAAAACAAATTTTTTTCGGCGAAAGCCTAGATTTTTGTATAAATTGCGGATGCGTTTCTAAATTGTTTTTAACTATCCCTGTGCATAAAAACTACACACATTTTAACCAAAAAAAATGTAAAAAATTAAAAATTAGGTCGAAAAATAGACCCAAAATGACCAAATTTTCGACTTTTTCAAACATTTTTCTAAATTTTTCTGAAAGTTATTCTGCTTTAAATATAGTTAAAACTTACTAAAAACAATTCGAAAACACTTTATATTTGATTACTAGGTCAACCGGGACCACCAGGAAAAAAATTGGTTTCCCCCCCCGGGAATACTTTCCCCCCCCGGGAATCCTAAAGAACCAACTTTTTTATTTTACATTATTGTAGGCTCGATTTAAAACTCTTAGTATATTTTTCGACGCTCTATCGAATGGCGTAGCAAAAATCCCGACAAAATAAGCGAAAATACCGACAACTTTGTGACCCTTCGGATGTGGGGGGAGGGGGGTAAAGTAAACTCTTACCCGAATTACTATAAAAAAGTTGTTTTCTTGCGGCAAAAATTGCTAAAAATTTTTTTACAAGATTTTGAAAGTTGAAAAGATCAGGCCGCTATGTCTCGATGTACTAGGAGTCTAAAACTCAAATATTTTTATTTTCCGCCAGTTTTTTCTACTCAAACGTACTGTTGGCTTATTCTCCAGAGCAAGAGCTACATTTTGGTACTATTGACAGCTCTGTACGTCAAAAGATAGCCGAGATACGAAAACTCACTTTGGAACAGCAAAAATTAACTAAAGAAAACCCAGACTTATAATTGTTATAAAAATATAAAAAAAACCTTATAAAAACCAATTTTTTTCGGCCCAAGCCTACATTTTATTTCTAAATAGCGCATGCGTTTCTAAATGGTTTTTAACTAGTCCTGAGCATAAAAACTACCCACATTTTAATTAAAAATTTAATTTTAGGTCGAAAAATCCTATAGAACCTTTAGGATTAGCGGGGGGGGGGGGAAAGACCCAAAATGACTAAATTTTCGACTTTTTCAAACATTTTTCAAACTTTTTTTGAAAGGTTTTTCTACTTTAAATATAGTTAAAATTTACTATAAACAATGTGAAAACACTTTATATTTGATTACTAGGCCAACCGCGAAAACCAGCAGGAAAAAATTTGGTCTCCGTCTCTTATGGACGGTTTGTTGAAATTAGGTGCTTCTGTTAGCGGAGGAGCAAGGCAAATTATTTTAATTGGGCCTTTGCCTACATAATAATGCATTAAAATATGGTTTAATAATGTTTTTAGTAGTTTTCGATAACTAAAACACTATGAAACTTTGTTAGAGGATTCCATAAATCTTAAGGTTCTGACGAGTTTTGGTCATTTTTTATACGTTTTGGCGCAAAAACTCGTGTTTTCTAAAGTTTAAAAATTTTTTCAAACGTTTGTCTAGGTATTTATGTTTGTTGTTTGATAAAAACCGAGTAAAATGCTATGGAAATTTTCTAAATAATTACTTCAACCCTAAACCGCCTTCACAAAAAAAAATCATGCCTGCTCCCCCGTTAAAGCGCACGTTCAGGGAGGGGCCGTATACTCTGTCCAACGTATACACCCTATGGACGTAGGGACCGCGCGCACTGCCTGCCCGTGCTGTGACAGGCAATTTCCCTCCTTTGCGGGGTGGGGCGCCCCTCGCCCCCTCGCCAGGTTGTAGCTGTGGCTGATTGGTATGCATCCGCGCCTCCAGAGCGGGGGGCCCGAGTTCGACCCCCCGCCGCTCCAAAAATCTTTGCTTTTTCCCAAAAAACGTCCCTGAACGTGCCCTTTAAAAAATTGCTCCCCTGCGACCACGGAAGCACCGAAATTTTTAGCGCATTGGGATCGCAAGCTAAAACTCTATAAGCTTAGCAATTTTGAAGTCGAAACTCGATGGTAAGTTGGAAGGAATCCCTAGTTAGATGCTACGATTTTCAATTTTCATGCATGACTGACTTTTTGTTCAAATCTCCACTCAAATTCATTTGATTTGAGCGTCGACCCTGAATTCAAACCAAACCGATTTGATTTGAAGTATTACTGATTTGTATAAATTTGCAGGAGATTCTACGGATCCGAAGTGCATCAGGATCGCCACTTTCGCCGCGCCGGGCACAAAACACGGTCCAGCGAGAAGTGTGCCCGACAACTTTGGAATTTTCAGAGAACGAGATGTTCTTCCCGCACAATGTCTGCACCCGACAGATGATCCGCGAAAAGAAATGCCCCAAACCGTCAGTTCTGTGTCGTCGGCGCACGGTTCCCTTTAGTTTAACGGCCCAGATCGAGTACAAGCCGCCGAAGTTAGGGTTGGAATATGTAGTGCAATGCGACGCTGGCTTCACCGTCCCTGGGTGAGTTGCTAGAATTTTTCCTACCGTAATCCCCTTCTTCAGTATCCTGAACGGGTATCCGCGCAGCCCAAATACCATCCCATGCATCCCGAGTCTCCATCAGTACGCTGGCCTAGGCAAAGCCGATTTGATTGACGGACGTTCGATGTTCGAAGCGGAGGACATTCGCCCATCGAATCCGACCGCCGCGGAACAATGGAAGAGCTACAAGGTACTGCCTATCATAGGTTCTCGAGCAACTGCCAACCATGGTTGTGGGTAATTTTTTCCACCCCAGCCGGCCACTATCTATGACATCTCGGGTCTCAATAGCGCTACAGAGCCCTGGATCCTTATCCCAATATTGTTACAGTGGTGCACGCCGCAACAGCTCGGGAAAGAAGTCTGTCTTCCACCACCGCTTAAAGACCATGAGTAAGCAAATTGACTTGTAGCGCTAACCTACGCCACCAATTTCAGGTACTTCATCGCGGACGACTTTGTGGACAAGGACATATTCCTGCCGGCCCCAGACCCGTCGAAGTTTGTGGATTGGTGCCATTATACGGACCACCACTTTGCCGACAAGACATGTATCCCGCTCGACATCCGTGAGGGGGACAAGTTTCTCAAGGGTTTCCGATCGCAGGTGGAACAGTTTCTGGTGAAATTCATTTTTTTAGGCACCACCGTACGCGTCATTCCTCTCGGACAAGGACAACGAAGATCTGAACTGGAAGGGAACCAACGGAAAGGCCTACCCGAAGAAGTGCGTCCAAGCAACAGCTAGTCTGGCGGTACCACGGCGGCCGCATAACGATGATAACATCCATCTCCTAGGAGCATCAACTTGGGTTGATTCGGGACAACATGTTCTTGGACTGCGCCACCAATCCCTACTACAGGGACGCCGCCGCTAGCGACAAGCCCAAGTATCAAATCGTGCCCACCGACTGTGCCAAAGCCGAGGATGCCGACCGGGTGCTAATTAGTTTTCGCGTTCTTTGACAATCGGTTTTGCTGAAGTGATGGCAGTTAACCTCCCATCCGATGACGATAACGACCATTTAAGATGTTCTGCGTCGAGCGCGACATCTCAAAAGTCCCGGTGCACGCCCGGCGTCCCGAAACATTACAATACGCCAATGACGATCTGCAGCTGCTGCATTACGGAGCCATATCGGCAATCGGCGTCTTCCTCGGTGGGGTGTCTTGGCCCGTGCTTGGCCGTTGCTTAAAGGCATTATAAAGCGCAAGTTTCGTACGAATAAGGGTCTAGCGTGCCCCCTCATACACAATAAACCTGAACCGAATTGGCTAAAAAATTGTGACAATTTTTGCCCTGGGATTTTCTACGGCCCGATAACAAAATATAAACCGTGTTTAACGCATTTCACATAGTATTTAAATTTTGAAGTTAAAAATGAATGAATTTGAAATTAAAAATTTTCGAAAATTTCGAACTTTTTGGCCAAATATGCATGAATAATGGCCAAACAAAGTCAAAACTTTCGAAAAATTTTAAAAGGATTTTTAGAAATTTCTATTCGTTAAAAACTACTAAAGACATGAAAAATACATAATGCCTAAGAAAGAAATCTAAAGAAATAACATAAGAAAGAAATTTATATATAGAAGGTGATGAAAATAACTCACGGTTCAAAATTTTTAAATATGTATGTAATAATCTACACCACTTTTTAGCACTGCTGATCGTGACCGTGGCCTTGTGGTTGAATTATTCCCGCTTCAAGATGGCACGGTACGGTGTCTTTTTTTTCTGAAACCTGGGTCAGCAGGTAAGTTTGGCAAGCCAACTTTTCATAGATCAGCCTGTTTAGATGTAGATGGTAGTCCTAATTATCACGGTTGAGAAACCGCTACGCGGCTTTATGCACATACTGGAATCCTTGAATTTCATGCACTTACTGTAAAGTGTTTTTACTCAAGTTGGAGTTTCAATTCGGGACCAAGTGCATCTTGTGCAGAATTTTTTGCTGATGCCGAATCCGTTTTCCAAATTTGCTGCGGACTTTTATTTAAAAAGTCATTTTTCGTGCAAATTAAGCTTGAAAAAGCCAAAAATTCGGATCCTGGTCCACTATTCCCTCCAGGGCTGGTCATTTCGGACCCGGGTCGGACCCGGACCCGTACCCGGACCCGGACCCACCCGGGCCCGCATAAATCTGCATGGGTCCGGGTGGGTCCGGGTAGGTCCGGGTCCGGAAATGCAGCAAGATGCAAATGTAACAGCATCCTCTTCTTCTTCATCGGATCTCTCACCATCGGACGAATAGTTGTCCATCTGTTTTTTCTCGTGATTTGGGTCTTACTTACCAACCCACAAAATAATAAATAAATAAATAAAATTAATGTATTAACTCTTAAACGAGTTAATAACTATATGAGTAGAGAGAGAGTGTGAGGTAAAAGGTTGGGCCGCTGGTGCCCAGAGACTTATCAACCGAGGTTGAAAAGCCAGGTCAAATATGCCCAATGTAGCTCACGAGTGAACTCAAAGGACGGTCATGTAACTCCGAAGAGTCACGAGGATATACCTTTCGGTATAACCAGAGGTTGCCTTCATAGGCTAAGTGAAAAAGAAAAAGAGAGAGGAATGCTCGTTTCGTCCCTATTCCTAGACCCAAACCAATAGGAAAGCAAGTCCTTGAAAAATGACTAAGGACGGATCAAAACTATACATCGGAAATCATGCAAATGACCCGGACCCACCCGGACCCACCCGGACCCGGACCCGGTCGGACCCATGCAAATTAGGGTAGGTCCGGGTCCGGACCCGGTCCGATCGGACCCGGACCGGGTCCGGGTCCGGGTCCGAAATGACCAGCCCTGATTCCCTCCATGGTTCGGCCTCTCCCAGGGGCCCTGAAGTACTCTGTCACAGCCGCCCTCCCGGTTGGCACCATGGTGCATTGGCAAAGTACTCGCTTGCCAACCTCAGGGCGGAGGTTCGGATCCCCGCCCTGCACCTCTCTTTTGCTTTTTGCATAAAAAATTTAATTTTTTATAAAAAGCTTGTTTTGACTTTTAAGATGCTTGTCTAGCCAATCTCTAGCCAATTTTGAAGTTGAAATTGACCAAGACATTCGAAAGCGATAACGGTTCCTTGAGTTTGGTGAAAAACACTACCATAATTGCCGTATAACTTTCAAAATAAAAGTCCGCAGCAAATTTGGAAAGCGGATTCGGAATCAGCGAAAAATTCTGCATAAGATGCACTTGGTCCCGAATCGAAACTCCAACTTGAGTAAAAACACTTTACAGTTAGCATTCATATCCAACAAAAGATAGAGAGAACTCCAAGGAACCCCTCCCCATCTTTTGGACACCCTCCATGTGCTGCGCTTTAGGGAAGAGGAGGCCGGTGACCGGATGGAATTTGGGACGTTCAAGGTGGATAGCAAGTTTCGGTCAATTGCAGAAGGGTGGAAGGACGGTTGGATGGATCCATTCGTGGGTTTTTTTCGTCCCCCATATCTGGATTACGCACGCGCCAATCCGCGGCTCCAGTGCCTGCATACAAGCCGTTTAGTCGACATCGCACGATCGGGTGATGAGGAATTACAATCGATTCATCCGCCGCTTCGATCGCTTCCTGATCCGCTGCTCGTACAGGAAGAAGATCAGCGCACTGGATCTGCAGGCGGCAGATTTCGGGAAAGCCGAAGCGCCCGACATCGAAAAACTCGATCTCGGCCTCCCCGTGACGAACTCCGCTCCCGCCGCTGAAAGCCCGGGGTCCACTCCTGTCGAAGCGAGCCCAACCTCCGCTACTAGCAATACCTCAAAGCCTGATAAGAAATAGCCACCCCCGCTAGTTTCAGCGAGTTGTCTCTTGGGAGTTGGAACCACGGGCATGATGGGGGCAGTGCATGATCAATGATTGGATGTACTTTGGGGTTCTGGACTGTTAGCGCGGGGAGGGGAACCAAATTTTTTCCTGTGATTTTCTGCGACTCTATCACAAAGGCTAGACAATTTTTACAGCATTTTACATAGTTTATTTAGATATAAAAACAATATACACAAGTAACAAAAAGTTTCGAAAATTTTTGACTTTCTGGTCGAAAATGTGTGAAAATCAGCAAAACAAGTCAAAATTTTTACAAATATATTTTACCGCTTTCTAGCAATCAAAAACTACTAAAAACATATAATATAAGACCAACGGGTGGAAAAACGGAAAGTGGTTGCTAGAAATCCCCCCTCCGCGCACAGTCCAGAACCCACCTTGGCACATTCGTTTTCTCCGTTTTTCCGCATCTTGCATTCAAATTGTCCCCCCGCCCCCATTTTGCCCGCTCCAACCTGACGAATTGCTGAGACCTATACTGATGTCGATCTACTGAATTCCCTGCCCCCCCAACTAAAGATCTGGTTGCTCCTCGGCCTGTTATGCCCTCCATCATTTGTATTTGGACTGTTTTCCATGAATATCATGGGATCATCTTTCGCAAGCCCTTGTATCACCCATTCTGTATTGTATGCGTTATGTGGCAATAAAGTTTTTTATCAAGCGCTACGGTTGCCCCCACGAACAGGCACGGCCTGACGAAACGTTCAAAACATCGTCCAGTGTTTACAGGGTGAGGCATATCTATGGCAACACTTTCCCCGGTCTCTCAAAACATTAAGCAAGTTGGCGGGGTTTCAATAATTTGCTGAAATATGGCCACAGATGTCCTGTAACCACTCTTAAAATATTGAAACGCAGCAACCCTATAAATTGCCTTCCCGTTACTACAATCAAAAATTAGAAATTTTGCAATCGTTTTCATTTGTCTCCTGCATAAAGAAACACTAGTTTTTTTATGAGAAACATCGAATCCCCCGAAAAATAATTAGTTTCCCGCTAGCAGGCAAATTAGTATGGTCTGGGGGTGTTGCCATATATATGCCTCACCCTGTACTGTTTAACTTTCTGCACAAGTTGCCGTCAACGCCCAGGAAAATACGGTGCCCACCATTCGCCATTCCATCACCATGTATCCTCGCGTAGCGCTGCCGCTGCGATATTTATCCTGCGGATGAAGAGACCACCGTGAAATGCGTAGTCGGTAAGTTTAAGGGGGTCGGCTAGGCAGAATTCTGGACCGTAGTCTTATGTATTTTGGTTTGACTGCGGTGCGATACCCCTTTAAATATACGCGCCGCCTTTAAAAAAACGCTAAATTTGGCTATTTTTTGCGGAGTTGAAAACCCTTAAGCTACTAATTTTACGATTTTTGACCATAGTAATGCGGTCATCCAATACAGCGTAAAATCCTGATCAACTATATATAAAAAAATAGTGTCTGTGTGTGTGCATTGCATGCAACTTCCGTCCGGCTGTTCCACACGTATCGGGTCAGGGAAGGTTAGGTATGGGGAATGTCATTAGGGGACCGGCTTGGCATGACTGCCGAGCTACCAGATTTTACAAAAAAAGCTATTTTCGATATTAAATTGTAGATTTTCGCTAACATTCGGTCACACCACTTTGTTAAACAAGAATTTGCATTTTCCGGAAGTGGTTGACGCCTATATAAGCCAGCAAAGGAGAGTTTTCATTTTGCCAAGGGGTTTGCAGAACTATCAAAGTGGAGACCGTTTGGGGATCGGGACCGGGCCAGGGTTGAAAAGCCGCGAAGCGGTTTTTCAACCCTGGTATCAGTTAAGGAAAATTTCGTTCAACGCTGGTATTGCCCAAAGTTATATCCTCACTTCCATGACCTTTGAAACGATATTCCCGAATTTCCAGGCCGCGAACCGCCCGGGCGCCCATGCGACGAGCCTGGCGGGCAAAAATTTTTCTTTGACGTGAAGCGCGGCATTTGTCAACCATTTTACTACCTGGGCTGGTACCGGATTCAACATTTTACTAGGGTAGTAACCGGTTTTTACTACCCCGATTAAAATTGTTACTACCATCATAAAAAAAACTTACTACCGGCTATAATTTTGTTACTAGGGGTACTAACAGAGTTACCACCCTTCGGGAAAAGTACCTATTTTTCGTCGAAATCAAGTTAATGGCTCCGGAATAAACTAGTGAAGCTTCACTGCGGCCAGTAACAACATACCCGAACCAGCCAGGTACTCGAACCGACAATTTTAGCTGACAGTGTGGTTAGTGAAGTTACAAAGCCATAAAAAACCTTCCTAAGAAGGGATAAGAAGTTCTGAGCAGTGCCATCGGCTTCATGACCATTGGTGTTGATTTTTAGTCCAAAGTCCGCGCACTTTTCGTCTTGCAAAAGTCCACGGACTTTTTAGTCCGAAAAAGCCGAAAAGTCCGTGGACGTCCATACAGTTTCGGACTTTTTCGGCCTTTTCGAACTAAAAAGTCCGCCCGGGCTTCAAGGGATAGGGGCGGCACAAGTGAATCGATTACGCGCGGGAAAGAAAATGTCTCTGCGCCTCGCCCCTGGGCGCCCTCTCTCGCCGCTGCAGCTGTTGAAGCCCCCTCCCCAAGGGGGGTTAACAGATGCCGTCCTCATCTCTTTAACCCTTTTTACCCAGGTATAACTTTTTTTGATCTCCCTAGTAAAAAATTATATCGGGGTAGTAACTTATTTAGCGGGGGTAGTAAACTTTTTGTCGGCGTTTCCTGTCGAGCCTTGTCGGTATTTTACGTATATGTTTTTGCAAAAACACGGGTTTGCCTCTCAACAACTATGTGGCACCGGTCCCGAGCCTTTTTTTGCGCCTGAGACGTGCTAAATTGATTTTAGAATTGCGCTAAAACTTTTCGCTCAGAGTGCGTAATCCGGGTGACGGGCCGCTTATCGGGGTAGTAAGAAATTATACTAGCCTAGTAACTTTTTACTACCCTGGGTAGGGCTAGTAAACAAAATTTGGTACCAGCCCAGGTGACATTTGGGAAGTATATTACAAAACCCGGGTTGTTGTTTTAGAGTTGCGGTGGAAACGAAAATCGCCACGATTCGAGGGCCGACTGCGAGAAGACGTGCAAGGGGTCCAAGCTGGCACCGGCCGCTCCTGTTGGTGGGTTTGGGGATCGGTAACATTGTTAACAATATGCAGAACCCGCCAAAAAGGGCACCAACAGGACTTTGGGTTCAGACGAGCTTATGGGTGGAAGGTCGACATTTGAATGATTTTAAAGGGGCTGTGAAGGCACAATTTGACAAAATTTACAGATTTTTGTTACGGTAATTTAGCGTTGTTAGTAAAGTTGCGGAGTTGAGCCAAAGGAAGCAAAAAATTCCAGATGTCCCCAAAATTTCCGCTGTCGATCCTACACTTCTTAATCCTCTTAATGATAGCTGGAAACTTTTTGGCGCCTCTTCACTCTGTCTCACTCTTTCTCACTCTCTCTTTCTCTCTCTCTCTCTCTCTCTCTCTCTCTCTCTCTCTTTCTTTCTCTCTCTCTTTCTTTCTTATCACACTTGCCTTATCACTCTCGCCTTATCACACACTCTCTCCCACTCTCTTCGATTCTATCGCACTCTCTCGCTCCTTCTCTCTTTCTCACTCTCGCTCTCACTCTCACCCCTTCAACGTTAAAAAGTTCAAATTTATTTCCCCAAAAAAGATGACTCATCATCGACCAATTTGGCCTCAACAGCCAACCCCTCCATCCACTGGTTATTCGGGGATTATGGGCCGATAAAAATGAGCACGAGGTTCGCGCTCCCGCTCGTGTTTTCAGTAGTTTGACCGAAAAATTGCATAAATTCCGAGGTCGTCCGATATGTCGCTATTACTACGTCTCCTTGCGATCACTTGTGTATTCCTGGCTGTGTTTGCGGTCAGTTGTTTAAGGAGATTTTTCGAGAGAGAGAGAGAGAGAGAGAGAGAGAGAGAGAGCGAGAGGGAGAGCGAGAGAGAGACAGGAGAGAAAGCGACATTGAGAGTTAAAGCGGAAGAGAGAGAGAAAGGGAGAGGGAGAGACAGTCAGAATGAGAGTGTGAGAGTGAGAGCGAGAGAGCGAGAGATAGCTATTTTCAGAAGCCCCACATCACCGAGGCCGAGAAGAACGCCTTCGTCAGCCACGTCAAGACCAACACGTGTGGGTACCACAATTTCATGACGTAATCAATTAGCTTTAGCAGGTCTGTACTTTGTCGACTTGAAGACGGATGGTAGCGATGAAACCGAGGTAAGCTAAACAACGCCAAGGCGCTGAAAATACCGTAATCCAGCGTAAACCACATTTCTTCAAGGATCATTTACCTTGTCGTAACCGTCCTTTTTCCAGGACCAAGACACGAAGGCCAAGCGGGCCGTTGCGGACCCAGGTATATTTTGATACAATTTTTTATCGTAGTTTTAGAGCCCGCACGTGCCGCTCCAGAATCCGCGGAAGGCGTCGGCAGCTCGGAGGAGGTATTTGGTGCCTAAAATCGTACTGCAACGTTTAGCCAGAACTAGACGCCGGCGAGCCCCAGCAATTCCACATGAGACTCGCCGAGATGGGCCAAGAATATTGATTTTCTCGGCTTTTTCGCCTCAATTTTTTATTGTGATAAACGCGATTTTTGAACAGGAATTAACAATATTTTGATACCAACGCGAAAAATTTGTCAGTTCTAGCAAAAACAAAATTAACCTTTGAAAATGGTGTTACGGTAGCTAGTTTCGATATTTTTTGTTTTTATGTTTACATTTTCAAGATGCTATTCAGCAGAGCATCAAGAAATGTACTCAGAGTTTTAATCACAGCTAAAACAATGTATTAAAAAAGCTATACAGAAACCAACAAAAATAACCTAGTTTTCTTTTTATTTTTTGTTCATTATTTAATATTTTACACACCATTCGATAGAGCATCAAAAACTATCCGAGGCGTTTTAATTTTAGCTCAAAATAGCGTAAAATAAAGCATTTATAGCCGAAAAGAGATTAATCCGTACGAAGCGCTCGTTTTTTCACCACCACCCGCGCGGATCTGTTGATTTTCCACCCAGCAAATGACCTTGTCTATTTCTTGAGATAGCTGTGGGTGAGAAATGTTGTTGTCCAGCCCAGTTCTTTCCATTCAAAAAGGAGCCGGCAGCGAAATCTATTGGGAAGGGAAAACAGCATTGTTGTGTGTATCCAGCAACAGTCAAGGTGCAGGAAAATACAGTGCCCACCGCCCGCCATTCCGTCGCCATGTATCCTCACGTAACGCTGCTGCTGCTACCACTTTTCTGCTACGGTATTTATGCTGCAGATGAAGAGACGACTGTGAAATGCGTTGTTGGTAAGTCTAAAGGGCCCGACAAGGCGGATTTCCAAGTTTATTCCTATGGATTTTGGTCTTGATTGTGGCACGCGATGGATTTTGATGGCCGTGGATTACGTGTATGCCTTTAAATACGCCGCGATATGCCTTTAAATATACGCCTTTAAAAACGCCAAATTTCGCTATTTTTTGCGGAGTTGAAAATCCTTAGGTTACCATTTTTACGATTTTTGACCATAGTAATGTGGTAATTCAATACAGCGTAAAATTCTGATCAATATCAGCCAAGAAAAATTCCGTTCAACGTTGGTATCGCCCAAAAAAAATGCTATTGAAACCGGAGTGAGATGCTTGTATCTACAAAAAAAAAAACATTCTTTTTGCGCTATTTTACGGCCATATTCTGAATTTTTCCGATCATAGCACATACCAGAATTTTTTTGAAGTATCGAAACAGCGCACTTTCTATTAAATCCCCACTTCCCTGACCCTTTGAAACAATATTTCCGAATTTCCAGGCCGCGAACCGGGGCGCCCATGCGACGAGCCGGGAGCCCAAAAATTTTTCTTCGACGTGAAGCGCGGCATTTGTCAACCATTTTACTACAAGGTACATTTTGGAAGACATTACAAAACCCTAGACGTTGATTTAGGGTTGCGGCGGAAACGAAAATCGCCACGATTCGAGGGCCGACTGCGAGAAGACGTGCAAGGGGTCCAAGCTGGCACCGGCGGCTCCTGTTGGTGAGTTTGGGGATCGTAAGAGCCTTTTTTAAAGTAATATCCAAGAGCGGGGTAAGAGTTTTTTTTCGCTATTTTTGTCGGGATTTTCTCAACGCCATTCGATAGAGCGTCGTAAAATGTACTCAAAGTTTGGATTTGAGCCTACAATATTGCAAAACAACTGGCCGGGGCTAAGAACGTAGCCAAGAGCGGTAACAAACTGCCGAAAGGTGTCGAAAGGCAAAGAAAATGGCAAATATTGAAAAGTCTGCAACACCAAGCTTTCCCGATAAAGCCCCTCCGGCTAACGAACCAGAACCGAAAGCGCACCAAAACCGGGAACAAGTTTGGATCAAAGCCAAGGCATAGAAATCGCAGGCTCATGAAGCAGCTACTATGCCGTTTGCGAACCAAAGTATCAAGGGTCAAAGCACAAACTCGAACAACTTCTTTATTCCATCCAACGACATAAACCACCCATGTTTATCATCAACACGACAAAAGGATTTCACAAAGACATTTGAAAATCAACACATTTTACATAAGATCACAGGCGAGCGGAACCAAGACAATGAATGGGTGGACAATAAAGTGGATGCGGTGGGCGAGCACGGAGATGTGTTAATTGTTGTTGTTGTTGTTGTTGTAGTCCAGCAACGCCTTTTGCACCTGCCCGAACTTCGACGGGAGCTGGGAGTAGCGGCTCTAAAGGCAACATAGTTGCAAGATGCAAGAAAAGGGGTTTTACCTCAAGCCAATCCATGCACGTCGCGAAGACGAACAGGAATTGCTGCTCGGTCTGGACGGAGGAGGCTCGCTGGTCGCGCAGCTTCTTGAACATCTCGAACGGCTAAACAAGCGGAAATAATGGTCTTAGAGGCACAATCTTACGTCGAAAGACTCGTTCGCGGCGCAGGCCGTCTTCATCCAGTGGATCAGCATGATCGTTCCGGTGCGACCAATCCCGGCGGAGCAGTGCATGACGGTCTGGCCCTTGTTCAACTCGTCACCATGCTGAATATGAATGCTTGCCAAAAACATGAAATTTTTGAACCTTGTCCAAGGCACGCAGGAAACGGAGGAGATGCGGACCGGTGGTGGGGACGCCGCGATCTGGCCAGTCGTGCATCTGGATGAGCCTGGAAAAATAGAGTTCCCGCGAGTTCAATTTAACTATAGTTTAAGCGGGGAAATAACTAAATTGGAAATTAAATAAGCTAACTAACTAAAAAACTGATTAAAAAAAAAGAAAAAATTTCTGTTAAATTGGAATTTTTGTCTAAAAAAGGCGGTTTTTGTTCGAAAAAAATCGATTTTTAGCAATTTTCTATGATAATCTACTTTACTAAAAAGTTCCCACCGAACAATCCGGCTGTTCGAGCACCCGTCCGGCAGCAGCTCGATGGTCAACGCCGTGAAGCCCTCCTGCTTCTCCTTTTTCTTGTTGTTGACGAAGAAACGGCCGTGGTTCTGGAAGAGGCCCGGCTCGTCCGGCCAATAGGCGGCGCACTGAAAAGAGGACAACGTTTCGAAATTGTGCGTGGTCCACACCTTGATCTTCCCGTCTTCGACCAGACGGCACAGCTGCACAATGTTCACGACCTCGTGCTCCCAACACATCCGCCAGAAGTCGACGATGGTGGCCTCGGTGGGGGCCTGGGTGGCGATCCACGTCTCGCGCTTGTCCATCTAGATATTAAACTTTGAAGTAATCTGCGAAAGTTTACCTTGACCCAATTGGCGTGGATGTAATCGCCCTCATTGGCCTCTTCCGGCGTGATCTTGACACGGGTCTCATCCAGGCACACCGTGTCTTTGTAGCGGTTCTTATCCGGGTTGGCCGTGAAGGCGGTGATGGCCTTGTTGGGGCCGGCGTACGGCTTCAGTTCGACCCACTTTGCACGGAGACCGCTGACGCCTAAGTAAGTGGTGTTGCGGAGAAATGTCGAAAAGCCGAGAACATTGGGAATGGGAAGAGAATCTGCGGCTGCGCGGCCTCAAAAAATCATCACAAAAGCGACAAAAAAGCATATGGATTTAGTTCTTGATTTTTCTATCAAATTTTCGAAGAATTTGATTGTAACAAAATTGGGGAGTTTTCCGGGTTGAAAGGACGAATTGCGCCGCCCGTGGACAGTTGAGCGTGCAGAGGAGCGCGTCGTAGTTGTCGAAAGGTGTCGCACGTAGCCCACAGACGCTCAACGCCGGAATTCCGGAAACCCACCAAGGTCGATGATCAGCTTGAGCAGATCGCGCGCGGAATCGGTGGGCGGCGGCTTAGCTTGACCTTTTTCCGGTTCTTCGGCCTTTTTCTCGGGTGTGGCGGGAGCTAAAATGGAATGATGAATAAGAGGAAAATCGCTGCCATGTCTGTATACTTTGCTTCAAAAAACGTGTCATTCCTAATGTTACGTTGTAAAAATTACGGAAAAAGAGCTTCTTTTTGAATATAGGAGCCTCTGGAATTAGAATTGGAATCGCGCATTAATTATGCAAATTAAGAGATGCAAGTGTGGCTAGTAAGAGAGAAAATAACGAACCTGCCTCACGTGTCGTCACCTTGCGGCCCTGGGGCGTCGGGGGCTTCTTCACCTCGGCGAATCTTTCGTCCTCCTTCTTCGCCTTCTTCTTCTTGCTTTGCTTCGACTTCGGAGTCGGAGGAGCCATCCGGGAGCGCGACCGTCTTGACCGAGTTGGCGAAATAACGATAGCACCGGCGGGTTTCAGCGCTTATGAACCGGCAAAGCCATGCAAATTTAGTTGTGTTCCGTTATTTAATTTACTATGCAAATTCGACAACTTTATCTGAGATTGAAATTCTGGACATTAGTTTCGTTAGAGTTGGAGTTAGAATAGAGTTTATGGTCTAACGCATTTCCAAACCACACAAGCCCCATTTTTCATCACTTTATTCTCTGAAAAAAAAACTCGGAGGATAAAGTACAGCCGCCCGACTTCATATCTCTGCTCTTTTCCCCGTAAAAGAGGCTCACCACCAGTGCCAAAAGCCAAAAACAGCACTACACGGGCTCCCGGGCGCCCGGTCGTGTTCCATGATAAGGGATAATTGATCTCTCGCCGTCTATTTGTCTCTCGTTTCCTCCAAATCCTATCGTTATCCCGCTTTTCCCCCGACAACCCGCCGCGGCTCCCGGGAAGTGCTGGAATTTGACCCCCGGCCGGTTGACGGGCTATTCTGATTTCTAAAAGTCTTCGACGATGCCCACGTTTTCTAAAATTCGCCAAATTTTACCAAAGGTCCGCTCAGGATTTCGGGCCGACGCATGCTGCGTACTTGTTGGGCTTTTTCTATCGTTTATTGGCAATTTTCATTACGGCTACTCCACGACGTTCCTAAACACGCCTGTCGACGAATTTAAAGGTATCCAAGTTTAATTTACAGTACCCCATTTTTTTTTAGATTTCTTGAACAAGTCGCTTTCTCATGGCGCAAACCATCCGAGCGCCGGCACGATAGATGTGTGGTGGAATCTTGTGCTGAACATCCCATTTGCTGGGTTCTTTTTTGGGCTCTTCCTGAACCCGCTGCTCAACGATAAGTTTGGGAGGAAAGGTAGGATAATATGTGGATTTTGATCCGTTTGTTTAGTTTTAAATTTCGTTGAGTTTTGTCTTTGCAATTCTTTAGTTTATTCACTAAATTCTTGCGTGAGACCGTCGCGAAAACGTATATTTTTTTCGACTAAGAGTTTTCCAAAATCTGAGCCATGAAAACTACAAACTATTCTACAGAAGCTAATAGTTTTTAGTCGGATTCCTGACTGGCAGCCTGGGCTCGCTAATTTCGGCCATTCTCCGCTTCACCTCGATTTGGTGGGAGCACATCGGTCTGCTCGTCTTTGCCCGGATCCTGACATCGCTGTGCACAGCGGCCACATACTCGTCGCTTCTCCTGTATCTGCAGGTGGGCAATGAAACCTATACTTTCTTATCATTTAACCAAATTTTTCAGGAATGTGCCCCAACCCATTTGCGCGGTACGCTGACTTTCCTCTCGGAGGTGGTGTTCGCCTCGATGTGTCTGCTCGGCATGCTGCTGGGTAGGTTTTTACTGGGGTTTTCTTTCCATAAGACTTCCGGTAGTGTTTAGGCACTGATCAGCTGCTCGGAAAAAATCTACTCGCCCTGACGGCTGTGCCAATCGCTCCTTGTAAGTGGTATCTAGCGCTTGGAATGCATTATCACACCCTTATAGGCCTCTTTTTCCTCGTCGCGCTGTTTTTCTTCCCGGAAACGCCGAAATTTCTGTTTCTCGTGAAGAATGATCGGGTTAGAGAGTGTTCAGCTTTGAAATTCGAAAAAATGTAGGTAAAAGCGGCTCGCTCGATTCGATTCTACCACGGGCAGAAGGCCGATGTGGATACCATATTGGAGGAAATGGCACAGGTTTGTGGTAGATCAATGTAATGCGAGGGCATGGTTCAGGAGGCCGAATCGAAGGAGTTGCCATCGTTTCTGAAAACCTGCCGAATTGTGCTGCGAACGGATCATACGAGAAATGCCTTCATATTGAGCGTCGTTTGTTTACAGGTGGACTGGCGATATGATAAAATTTAGGACTTGCAGAAATTCTCCTAGTTTAACGACGTCATGTTTCGGTTCTTTCGCATTATCGGGGGGGTAAGTTTGTTTGTATCAGTTTAGAAATGTTTAGTAACTTAATAGAAGTTTTTTTGTAGTATTTTTAGCAAAAACGAACTATTTTCAATTAGAAAACTATCCAAAATCTGCAAAAAATTTTTGAAAAGGGGATTTTTGGATAAAAAACGACCATTCTTGACCCAAGCTCTATATTTTGATACTTTTTAGTAAAAAATGGTAAAATTTTAACTCTTGGATTAAAAAACAATTTAGAAACTTCCGTTATTTATATTTGAAAAATTGGATCATAAGAAAAATGTTGGTTTTCCCCGATACCCCCACCCCCAATAATGGAAAAGAGCCCATCTTTCAGAACTGCGTCGGGATGTGGTCACTTCTGCTCTCCTCGACTTACTTTTTGGAGCAAAGCGATGTGCCGAGCACGGTAGCCGAATGGGGCTCGAATGCAATGATGGCGGCTTACATTGCCGGTACGATTGGCGGAGCGGTACTTATTGATGTGTACGTTTGTACGTTCGAAAACGCTTTACGTTTCTATACAGATAACGTTATTTTTGCAGGTACGGTCGCCGTCCCCTTTTAATAACCTTCACAATTATCAACGTCGGCTCCCTGGCGTCATTAGTGATCTTTGACCAATTGCATCACCTTGCCGACTGGGTCAAATGGGGATGCCTGCCGGCATTGATCGTCTACGGGATTTCCTATGGGTTGGTTGGGTATCATTTTAACGTTACACCCAAATATTCCAGCCTCGCCGTCGGACCCATCTCGTGGTTTATCTGCAATGAGCTGACGCCGATGCAATTCCGCTCTTGCGTCCAGTCGCTCAGGTTTGTAGCTGGTAAAAGGAAGCGGATGTCTTGAAAGTATCAAAAACCGCGAAAACCTTTCAGCTACGCGGTGAACACGCTGATCGTCGTCGGCCTCTCGTTTGCCGTATTGCCACTATATGATGCGATCGGCTCCTGGGCTTTCTTGCCGCTTTATGTGATACCCTCAACGTTCTCTATATTTTACATTGTGCGTTTCCTGCCGGAAACGAAAAACCGCGAGATACATGACATTGTCGAGGACTTGAAGTTGCGGCGACGATGATAGGAAATCGTTATTTTCTGTACATATTTGTATAAATGTTGCTTTGTTGTTTAGTTTGAGTTGAATATTATACGCGTGTTGTTGATTCAAAAAGACCTTAAGTAAGGAATGTTATTGAATTTTATTCGTAATGCAAAAACACAGCTCGACTCCCAGGACAAAATTGACGAACAAACTTTGCGGAATTTTTTTCGGCTAGGCATTAGTGCAGCGTTTTTTAGATCGTCTTGAAATATAGTTAAATTACCCTAAAACATTATTTAACTCTTTACTATTGCGCCAGGCATTTCTGGGCTTATGCGTTGCCATGGGAGCGGATATTTGCGCTTCACGCGCCCTATAGTTGTGCCCCCCAGCCCCCCGGGTGGGCCCTAATCCCCGCGTCCAATTGGATGAACGAAAATTCGCAGCGGCTTTACAATTACTGCTCGCTATCGATTGCGCTATTTTCGGCGGTGGTAACCTTAATCGGTAAGGTTTTGTAATTCGCCGATTCCTCATTTTCCTAAACATAACTTTCAGGCGGCCTAATCATCTCTGTGCGCTGGCTGGGCGATCAGGATGGCGTTCAATACCATTTTTAGACAGGTAATATAACTTTAATTGATATTTGGGTTCTTTTGCATTAGCAGGGGGGGAGCAACCATCTTTTCAAAGGCCAGAAATGCGGAGTAGATATCTTACAAATTTGCTTAATCGGCATTTTGAAGAAGTTACAGCGCACTTTACTATATAATAGTCCGGTTTTTAGCAAAATTTAGCTATATTATAAGTGGAAAAACAATAAAAAACGCATAGACGTACGTCAGTAAATTTTTTTTAGTTGCGTTTTTGGTCGAAAATCGGCCATTTTGGTAGATAAATCGATTTTTTTTGTATTTTTTAGTCTAAATTTGTAAAGTTTGTACGTCCAGAAACAGTAAGAAGTTTTAGTCAAACTCAAATAAAAGAGACATTATTTTTATTGGTAGTTATTAATTTAAATCAATTTCAGCCGTTATACCGCGACGTTCGCGCCTCGAGCTGGAGCACGGCGAATGTAATCTCCAACATTTGCGCCTTTCTGAAGATTGGACTACCCTTCGTCTTTTTGCTGTTTACACCGGTATTTTTTGATTATTGTCAAAAATCCGTTAATTCAGGGACTCTGGAAAAAGACGGATTACATCTGGGAGAAGCCTAGGCTCAGCTACCTGGGTGACTATTTGCTAGTCCTCAAATCGGATATGGATTACCGCTACTCCTCGGCTTTTCCGCAGCTGAACCGTGCCGATTTGGATCATTTGATGTGAGTAAAAGTAGTAAAGGTAGTAGAACCATTACTAGACTATATTCCCAACAAGAAAAACTGTCTCAAAATTCTAAAAAACAAATCATTGTCTCGACATTTTGGCCCAAAAACCGGCCTTTTTTCGGAAATCGGTATAGTTTGTATTTTTTCAAACATTTTTTTTAGTTTTTACACTTGGACATAGTAAAAATATTTAGAAACATTTCTTTATTATATTTTTCAAAATGGGATTCTAATAAAAAATCTGATTTTTCCAGATACCCCCCCGATAATGAATAAAGTACCCAAGAAATTTTTAGCTTTGTCGATACGCAGAGCTCCTCAAGGATCAATGATTTGGACAGAAACACCGATCAGGTTTGCAATTACAACGGTTTTGCTATCATACTGTGGAAAATATTTTCGGAATTTCATAATGCCGAAATTCCAATAGGTCGAAATTTTTTGCATAGAATTTGAGGGTTTTCTGGTTGATTTGCTTAGGTATCGTAAATTTCGACGATGAAATTCGACATTATGAGATTTCGGCATGATGATTTTCGATAATTTGAAAGCAACTCTTTACAACCTTACGACTACGAAGGCATCAAACGTACGCTTTCATTGATGTGTTACAGATGGAGCTGAAATTCGAATTCCCATTGATCGAGAATTTCACGGCCACTTCCATCAGCTACGTCGTGTTCTTCAAGTACGAATTGTCGACGTCGATTGGCTACGAGGTGCTGTAACTTTCATTGCAATAATTCGTGGATATAGGCCGATGTTGCACTGACTGGTACCGTAGACGTGAAGAGCCAACGTGGATTGTGGGAAATGAGCGGGATTTTGAAAAGCGATCAACTCGAGCCACTACGGGATGGTTCGGCGTAGGTTTTTTTTGGATTTTTGAACTTTTGGAATCATCGGAAATTCATTTGCTATCATAGCGTCCAAGTTATAACGTAGAATTTCATAATTTTGCAATTTTTCGCATTGGATTTGGGGTTTTGCCTAGAAATTTTAGACATGATTATTTTAGATATTTATCGACATTCTGAATTTTCGACATTTTTGACAGTAACCCTTCTAAAGGCAGAAAAAGTAGAAATAGAAAAGAAATTAGAAGATAACTTGTATTTTTCACGGGAGCCCCCGGGCACAACGCGCGAACTCCGGGATTCCTATGGCGCGCCCCAATGACAGTACCCCCGCCCCCCCGGGGCCATCCCCTTTTCCCTCGCGTAATGGCCCGTTTAGTTGGTAAGACATAAAAAGAAGTCGTTTTACAAAGAAAACAATAGAAAAGTGAAGTGGAATACATTTTTGCAATTAGTATACAGGGTGTCCCATAAAAAAGCACCCCTCCCGCATTTCGCCACATTGCATCCGATCTGTCCCAAAATTGGACCAGAGGTGTATCAGGTCCTAAATAACCACAATCCTGAGTTATAGCCGGCTAGCGACAGTAATTTTCGAGATACAGCAAAAATAAACTTTATTAGCCGTTTTTCACAAGGTTTTCGTCGGAATCGGCCCTTCGAATATGAAGTGAAAATGAAGCGGCAGGCCTTCTTTACCACTAGAAATTTTTTCCTGATACAAATTCATTAAATAACCGTTGATTTCAACAATTTTCGTAACCGAAACTCACCCCCGATATTAAGCGAAATTAGGGATTCACAGCCGGAAGTCGATGCAAATCGATGCAAAGTCCAAAAAGATAGCCGGAAAAACTGTTAAGAATCGCATAGAAAAAAGTATTTTGGCTATAACTCGAGAACCAGTGTAGCGATCGGGCTATAACTCAGGATTGTGGTTATTTAGGGTCTGATACACCCTTGTGCAAAGTATGGGACCGGCCGGATGTAATACGGCGAAATGCCGGAGGGGTGCTTTTTTATGGGACACCCTGTATAGCACCCGGTACACCTGGTACACAGGTTTGGCGGTAATTTTCTATTTAAACATTATTTATTAGTAGTTATTCAAAATTCAAGTAAGTTTTACTATAATATTTCGTAAATAGACATTTACCGTGCCAGAGAGTACTTTTTAGACGAATATCTGAATTTTTGGGGGCAGAACTAACTGGGAATAGCGACGCCACAGCCACGGCTTAGCTTTCAGCACGAGCTTGGCTTCTTCTCAGCCCTATATCCAAGCATAACTCAGCTTAGCTTCGCTAGAAGCTTGTGTCATTATTACTAGGCTTAACGCAGCTTTTGCTTGGTTCTGAACGAAGGTAAGTCAAGGCTTAGATTTCGCTTGTATGGGCTTACGTTTAAAGCTTCCAGGTTAAGGATGAAGTATTACGCTGACGGAGATCCCTCCGGTTATGACGTCCTACCTAATTCCGTTCATCTGTTTCCGGCTTTTCCATTCCGCTTCATGAGCACAGTAGAGCAGCAGCATTGCTAGTAGCAAAGAAACTTTCAGCGCATCATGCCCAGCGAACCGGCTTTCCAAATGGCTAGTATAGTTTTGTAAATTAACTTTGTAATAATGGCTTCACCGGTTTTGTCTGAATTATCACGATATGGACGCCTTTTCCGACCCGAGGAGACTAATTTTTAACTGCAAGAAGGCTACTTATACAAGGTAAGCTAGCCATTCTTCCTAGTCTTTGTATGACCAAGTCTAAGCCTTGCTTGAGCCATGCTATGAGCGGTCGTACGCGACCCGCCAACAAACTTTGTTTTTGAGACGACCGGTATCTTAAAGCTAAGTGCTTCAGTTGCACAGATTAAAGCTAAGCTAAGCCTATGCATCAATTAAAAGCCAAGTAATTTAAGCAAAACGCCTAGTACGCTTCTACCTCCCAGCGCATGTGCGCCTGCGTCATCTACTGGAGAGTATACATGACAAAAACTATCCTGTAAATGTATTTCACTTCACTTTTCTATTGTTTTCTTTGTAAAACGACTTCTTTTTATGTTTTACCAGCTAAACGGGCCATTACGCGAGGGAAAAGGGGATGGCCCCGGGGGGCGGGGGTACTGTCATTGGGGCGCGCCATAGGAATCCCGGAGTTCGCGCGTTGTGCCCGGGGGCTCCCGTGTATTTTTCAAGCTTTGTAAAGACTTGAGGTCTGGTTTTTCTGAAAAAATCGCCTTTTGGTAATTTTTGTATTCGAAAATACGGTTGTGCGCCATATTTTAATAAAGCATATTTTAGTGGATGTTTAGGTACAGTTTGTATATTTTTTTCAGGCAGTACATCTTCTCCCCACAAGGCCAATTCCGCGTTAGCGACCTCTCACTGCCAAACCTACTCGAGCGCATCCACTCCCAGCCGTTGGCCATCGACATCTCCAGGTGAGGCCGGCTAGCAGAGGTTTTTAGGGAATAAAATCAGTAATCAACAAATTTTTTTAATACTATAGATCCTCCACCTCCTGGCGGCCATCCGAACACCTTGAGATTGGCCTCTCCTTCAGAGTCCCGTCCCAAATGCTGGTCCGCGCCACGACAACGTTCGAGCTGTTGAAGTGGGCATGGGTTCAGGTTAGTGGCCGCTGCAGAAATATAACAGACCCTAAATAATACATTATAGGGGAAAATTCAGGTTTACGGTACTCTCCCAAAATGCGGTTTTTTGTGTTCAAATCGCTAAATAAAGGTCAGAAACGGACTCAGCGACAAAAATTAGGTGGCGGAAGGCACTTTTTAGGGGAGAAAACCTCATTTTAGTTTTGAGATCGGGTACCGTAAAGTAGTATACGGGGGTGACTACTTTACGGTACTCGCCCAAAATTTTAGTTTTTCTGCACGAAAAGAAGCAGTAAGGGCTGAAACGAATGAAGCAGCAAAAATAATTTGGCGGAAAGGCCTAAAATGAGTGATTTGAGACTTCGAAGTTTGAGGCTTATGACATGTCGCGCAAGGTGGGCCGTCGCTTCGGATGGGCTGCCGCTCCACTCTTTCGAAATCAGGGCGCCTGGGCGCTTCGCGCTCCTCGGGCGCCCCGATTTCGAAACACTGTACGAGCTCGCACCCATCCGAAGCGACTAGGCCCCGGGTGGCACGAAGCCTTATTTTTAGGCTTAAACTGGGTGTGATTGAGAGATGGAATCTGTGTCCGAATCGTCCCTTTATAGGCCTTTCCGCCCACTTATTTTTGCTATTTAATACGTTTCAGACCTTGCTGCTTCTATTTGTGCAGAAAAAGGAACATTTTGGGCGAGTACCGTAAAGTAGTCACCCCCGTATACTACTTTACGGTACCCGATCTCAAAACTAAAATGAGGTTTTCTCCCCTAAAAAGTGCCTTCCGCCACCTAATTTTTGTCGCTGAGTCCGCTTCTGACCTTTATTTAGCGATTTGAACGCAAAAAACCGTATTTTGGGAGAGTACCGTAAAGTAGTCACCCCCGTATACTACTTTACGGTACCCGATCTCAAAACTAAAATGAGGTTTTCTCCCCTAAAAAGTGCCTTCCGCCACCTAATTTTTGTCGCTGAGTCCGTTTCTGACCTTTATTTAGCGATTTGAACACAAAAAACCGCATTTTGGGAGAGTACCGTAAACTTGAATCAAGCCCATTATAGTACCTCGCCCTCTTCCTGGCCACGCGATACCTAACGCAGAAGGCGCTGGAATTCCTCTACGACAGCGGGGCGATCGACGGCGTCGTCGAGTACAGCATCCAGGCTGATGAGCCACAGTTTTCGCGGAAATAAATGAGTTCCAGTCACGTTAACGAAATTTACATACTTACATTTAGCCGAAAAATGTTGATCGAAAAGTCATTATATCGAAAAATTCAATTGGTACTTTCGCATTATCGGGGGGAGGAGTAACTTTTTATCAGGATCCAATTTTTCTAATATAATTAAAAGAAGCGTTTCTAAACTCTTTTTCCTATTCCTAAAGCTAAAAACTTACAAATTGGCATTAAAAATACAAAAATACCGATTTTCCCCAGATGGCGATTTCGGCCAGTTTCGAACTTTTCTAGATTAGGCATAGGCTTAGGCTTAGCTTCAGTTTAGGCTTAGACTTGGCTTATGGCATATACATAGGCTTAGGCTTCGGCTTAGGCTTAGGCTAACCCTACGTGAATTTTTCCTATGAATTTTCCAGGAGCGCAAATAAACCGCTACACTCCACCGCAAAAGATCGGCCGCTAAATTCCAGGGGCGGCGCAGCGCGAAAGCACTTCGGGCCGGGTGTAAAAAAAGACATGCGTCTTTCGGGTGGCTGCCGTATCGTGGGGGACAGTTCGGAGTCCGCTGATATCTTTGGCATAAACGGCTGTAAAAATGGCCCCGGATGAGCTGGGTGTGATTGTCGAGGGGAAATTTCTGGAAGGCGTAGACATGGTCCACGTGCCCCCGGGCGATTTTTGGCCAGGAAAAATTGTGTTTCACGGGGGATTGTAAAAAAGGAGGCAAACTAGCAGCCTTTTTGAAACGTAATGCTTAGTTTTCACTCGCAAAGTTCTAACTCAAATAAGCGCGCGTTAAAAACCTAAAAAAGGCAAACTGGCAGAGATTCTTCATCGTAATTGTTTATTTTTTTATAGGAAAACTATAAACAAATCGAAATAAGCTTTAAAAATTAAAAAAAGTAGCCTGGTAGCTATTTTCGAAGCGTAAACCTCAATTTTTTAAATTGGAAAACCAGAAAATTAAATAACTATGCTTTAAAGGTCTAAAAAAGCAAATCAGCAGCAATTCTTGGATCCTAATCCCGAATTGTTAATCGAAAAATCATAAACTGAAGCTTAACTTAAATAATTTGGGGTCTGAAAAACCTCAAAAACCGAGGCAAGAAAGAGAACGTTATACGAACAGCGCTGAAAGGTTATTATTCCCCAGGCAACTGTTTACGTGGGTTGGACCTTCTTCCGGTGCGAAGTTTGGTGGTGGAGCTTTATCTAAAAAGCTTTCTGCCACCTCAGCTCTCTCTCTCTCTCTCTCTCTCTCTCTCTCTCTTTCTCTCGCTCTCTCGCTCTCTCTCGCTCTCTCGCTCTCCCTCTCGCACTCTCTCCCTAAAAAAGAAAGATCAGTGCCCGTGGCCAGGGTATGTTGCTTGTGCAATGGAGTTCCGGCTGTGTGGGTCTGGCCCGGACAGCAGCAGCGACACGTGCAGCGATAACGGCGAGTTGAGGTATAAAAGTTGGACTTTCCTGAAGGAGAAGCCTGACTGTCTTCTCAGCAGACCCAGTCTAAAATGCTTCGCTTCGCTATTTTCGCCGTGCTCGGTTGGTTTTTGGACTTAATGAGTTTAATAATATATTTTTTAACATTTGAAGACCATAAACTATTTTTCTAGTTGCGGCCGCCGTGGCCGACACGTGCATCCACTGTATTTGCCTGCACGAGTCGGGCTGCAAGCCCCTCGGCTGCCGCATGGATGTCGGCTCGCTGTCTTGCGGATATTACCAGGTAAGTTATCACAAAGTTTTCGTATAGAAATTCTAACGGAGCAATTTTGTACGCTTTTACGTTTAAATCGGTTTAATTTCCGGATTTAGATTAAACTACCGTACTACGAGGATTGCGGCCAGCCCGGCAAGAAGTCTGGCGAGAGCACCGATGCCGCCTGGAAGAGGTGATTATTAAAATTGTACTTCAACTAGAGTTTCTCCCTGTATTTTTCCACTACATGCCGTAATTTAATGTTAACTTTTGCCATTTACCTCTATTTTTCAGCTACGTTTTGCGTTACAAAACTCTTAATATTCAGGTGCTCCGATGACCTGAACTGCGCGACGACCTGCGTCCAAAACTACTACAACCGCTACAAGGGCGGATGCTCGACCTACGGATTCGGCACCTGCGAGCAAATGTCCCGTCTCCACAACGGAGGTATGTCAATGGGGCAAGACGCGTAGCGGAAGGGAAAACGGCGTTGTTTGTAACTCCACGTGGTTGATACGCGCTGTTTTTGCTTTTTTAGGTGGTAAAAAAAATTGGAAAACATAGAATACATAAATCTAGATGTTAAAAAACGCTGAAAACTATCAAAAAAAAACCTTCAGGACCCGCCGGCTGCCGCAACTCTGGCACCCTCGGCTACTGGAACGTCATCAAGAGCTGCTGCGGCTGCTCTTAAGCCATGCATCTTCAATCGTTCTGTATATAAACGGTTTCGAATTATTTTTAAACTACGAAACAACAATAAAAAGGCCACGTTTTAGAAAGCAAAGAAACTTTGCTAGCTTCCCCTTCCCGCCTAGAATTGATTTGGTAAAATTTCAAAATTTCAAAGTTTAAGATAGTTTTTCCACTTGAAAAATGGTCAAAATTTTGGCGCAAAAACTCTAAAAAAACTTTCTGTTACATCGGAATTTCAAGAAGTATAAAAGAAGTTCGCCCCTCCCCCCGATAATGCCAAAGGACCAATTTCGCCGCACTGATATTTATGTAAATAAGTTAGATTTGATGGAAAACTAGGCGACGCTTAGAAAATCGCAAAGAATCGCTGCTAGCTTGCCCTTAACGACACAGTTTTCCGCGAGAAATTCTGCTAAAAACTGCAACTGCCAAAATCAATGATAAACAACCACAGCCGCCGCTCTATTTTCCTGTAAAACAAGGCCCAAACAGATCGGGTCCATCAGGGTCCCCGGCGGTAGCGATTTGCATAACTCTCTGGTGTAGTAGAGGGGGGCAGAGGGCAACCCGCTCCCGCTCCCTTTTTCTAAATATCTACATCTGAATTCCCCACAATTTGTCATACATGTTTTGACGAACGTAGGATACCCCTCGTGGTTACACCTCATATGATTTTTACTTTTCAACGGATGAAGCATTGAACTCACGGACTGACACTGTTGACTTGTTTACAAGCTCGCGGTAGCTCCTCGCGGTAGCTCTAGGCATTTGTTTCGAGCGGGCTGCGTTTTGTTTTTCGTTGTGGGTAAACGTAATTTGATTGCATCTTTAATAATATTGGCTAGCTTAAATATACCGTACCCCTCGAGGGTTTTTTTGGTAAGACTTTTTACTTCATCCCCGCTCCCCCCCGCCGGAAGTTTGGAGAACTTTCAGTGCAGCGCGGCGTTTTGAAAATTTCTAATTTCTAATCGATCCACGAAAAAAATCGAAAACAGTCTCTTTTGGGCCGTGTCTCTTCAAAGCTACGCTCAATTACGCGCTACGCGGACTCCTATTTACGCAAAGAGATGTCCGTCTCTCTCTCTCGCTCTCTCTCTCTCTCTCGCTCTCTTTGTCTCGGTCTCTGCGACAATCAGAATCTCGGTCACCAAAACGTACAACTCACTGAAGGGCCCTTTAAAGGGGATAGCAAGGGCGTCTGCCGTTGACTACGTGTTGCCTGCTACGCGCTGATGCCAATGACGTATGGAGATCTTTCCGAACGCTCCGAACCTGGCGCGCAACTACCGATACGCAGTCACAGTGGCCGTGTATTCCTTGTAAAACATTTCGATGACCCATAGTTCCGTCGTAATCCTTGATTTCACCGGCCAGACTCCTCAAATCACAATCGCTACGGCGCTGAACACCGAAACACGGGTCGTCCTTGTGCGGGATTAGCCCCAGGATGGGGGCGAAGGCCCTGTTTTCTTGATCGTCCTCCTCGATCCCGTCCACGACGAGTGGAAAATCGGTTCCTCCTCCAAAACGATTTTTGTATTTTTTTGATTTCAAGCAAACCAAGGACATCAACCTCACACCAACTTTGGCCAGCTGCTGGCCGAACGCCTCAAAACCGGCAATCATCACCCCGTTAGAAATCCCCGCGTCAAGTGCTTCGCCCCGGAACTTTGAAGGTTCTCCGCGATTACCGGCCTTCACACAAAACACGGCGCGCCGGCGCTGATCCTCCATTTTTGAGGCGCGCGTCCTGGCGCGAAGACGCGGGAAAATTGGCGTTTTAGCGCGGGCGGAGTACACGGGTGGATTAGAGGCAATTCAAATACAATAGAAAGACCGCGAACAACCACCGGAGGAACGCCATTCTCGTCAAGGATTTCCAGGAGTGGACTGCCTTGTCGTTTGGGGTGACATTTCGTTTTTTTTGGGAAAATTTTCGTTTTTTTCATGAAGTCAGCGTTGGGAAAATTGACTCAACATCAAACATCAAACGGTCGAATTTTTATCATTTCAAAACGCAAAATTTTGACCTTTTAGTCTTTTTCATACATTTTTGAACAAAAAGCCATAAATTCTCGAACATTTTTAACGTTTTTAGGAGCTTTTTATGTCTAAAAACTCGATAAAATACCAGAAATAAGGCGTTTACGGCCGTACCGGACTACTCGGAAAATTTGGTCTGCTGCCCCCCCGCTAACAGCCCAGCACCGGTTTCCCCGGGGCAAAAATCGTAAAATTAAAACCAAGTTGACGACAAATTTTCAGGCGTTTTTAATTTTTTCTGATTTTTAATGGAATATAGAGCTGAAATCAGCCTTGTTTTTGTAAAGGCGTTGATGGAAATCCCCTTTTGTCGATATCCTTTTGCTCGAGCGCCCACGCGCTGGCGCGAGCGCGGGCGATTCGTTGATCCTTGAGTCCGTGTGATCGAGTGTTGGGTGCTGTATGGACGGATGGATCTTTGGGCTTGTCAAAACCCTCCCAATTATCTATCGTCTCTACTTGGCTCCATGTAGGGAATCCAGGGAAGGGGGATAAATACTTCTAAAAGTCGCTCTCTCTCATTCCCCCCGCAGCAGTCCATTTTATTGCCGATTAACGTCGATCTCCGGCGAGGCGGGGGAAAGGGTCTCTCGAGTCCGGCGATTCGTTGCTCATCTGACCGCTCTCGAGATTTTTGTTGTTTTAAAGGCGGCTGATCGCTCCATAATCTAAAATCATTTTGTCGAATTTCAAAGCGCTAAAATTTCCATTTGCAAATTGTTTAAGATAGGCCCCCGCTAACCCCCCCGTTAATAGCCCAGTACCAAATAGGGTGCGCATTGTTTTACTATCTTTTTTTGGACTTTGACCCAATCAAAGCAAACGTGGCGTGCTGTGCCAACTGGACCCAAATAGCCCTTGGACCCGACAGACTGGCCCACGCGCCGTCACGTGTACAGAAGCGGACGCGGACCAGAATCCGCCAGCCGGCTGCTCGATTCGGCGCTTTCCGTCTCTTGCGCGCTTCCCGATGCCCTCTAAAAATTAGCGTCATACCCTAACTGCGTAGATTCGCATGAAAAACGAGCCCCGGATTTCCGTACGGCCCTATGACCAAATATAAATCGTTTTTATAGTATTTTCCAGACATGGCAATCGGCCGGGCCGCGCGGCTTTTTCGGCCGCAAAAATTAGAATGCGGCCGGGCCGCGCGGCTTGGCCGCACTTCCGGCGCGGCCGCGGCTTTTTTTCCGTTTTGAGGCCGCACGGCGGCCAAGCCGCGCGGCTTTGGAGGCCGCATCCAAATGAGTTTTGAGTACTTCCGGCACGTAAATCAGAGATGCAATGCTTATTTAGCCTGCTAGCGAGGAATATCCATACTCGACAACCTTAATTTTCTCATTTCCATTCCCATTTGGCATGAAATTCGCGGTTTTTCGATATGTAAATGAGCCACTTCCGGTTTGCGGCTTGGCCGCAGCGGCCCGGCCGAGCCGCGATGAAAATGCGGCTCGGCCGCGAAGCCGCATTTCCGGAAGTAATTAATTACTGCGGCTCGTAGGGGGCCGCGTTTTTTATGGAAATTAGGCCGCCGGCCCGGCCGCGCGGCTCGGCCGATCGGAATTGCCATGTCTGGTATTTTCTACATTTTTTTTAGATATAAAAACTCATAAAACAATTGTAAAAAATTTCGAAAATTGGTTTTTTGGTCAAAAATGTATCAAACGACAAAAAAGGTTAACATTATCGAATTTTCAAATTACAGCTGAAAGACATAAACTAGGGACCCCCTGCTAAAAGCCCCCCCGCTAACAGTACATTACCTCGGTGACTTCTCAAGGCGTAAGAACGTATTGTATAGTCCCAAACCCAAGCTTTTCATGCTAGGTATGACACTATTTTTCAAAAAAGAGCCCACCTAACTTTTTCGACATTCTACACGCGCTGACTCGCCATCGCACCCAGGTAAAAGCCTTTCCATGAAACCAGTCACACCCCAGGCGCGTCCCAGCCAAACTGTCCGCCTGCCACCAGGCGTCAAGCGGAACGACAAAACAAATTGGGCACGTGCGGCGCCCTGGGGCGCGCGGAAACGTGCCAATTTCTGTGCGGCCTCCTCCCGCGCGTAAACCGGAACGATTGCTATCGTCTTCCGCCGCCCGCGCTGTCCAATCTAAATATTTGGGTTTTCGGGATGTTGCTTTTAACTTATTGGGTGTTTAGAACCTTTATTAACGCTTGAAAAGATATTTAAAAATCCTAAAAAGTAAGTTAAATTATTTTTTATGTATTTCTGAACTCAGTTTTTTCTTACAAACCTAAATATGGCTATTAATACTTTATGTAACGTTTTAAAAGTAGTTTTAACAAAAATGAACGATATTTCATGCGCAAAATATATATTTTGTATTTTTTCAGAAAAATCAAGTTTTTTGCGTTTAAAAACAGCTAAAAACCCTGTAAAAACTTTAAAAACTTTTCAAAAATTCGAAATATTGATAAAAAAATCGCTATTTTCTTGTAGGTCCTGGTAAAATTTATTGGTTCTGCGTTTAGTTGATCAACACCGCCCTCCTGATAATGCCAAAGAACCCTTTTAAGGTATTCGATTGTTAGAACCAAATACTCACATCAAAGCCATCTACAAAACCTTTAAAACCATTTTAATTGTATTTTTTTTTTTCCTCATTTTCCCCCCGCCGATCGCCGCTGATCTGATCGTTTCGCGTCCTACAACGTGACCGTAGATCCATCGAGACCATCGGAACTCGTCGTTCTGCACCATTGGTAGGCAAGTCGAGAATTTGCCTAAACCGACTCCCCCGTCCGATTCACATGGCCCACCGGAAAACACGATCGGGCCAGGCCGGACCGCCGGCTTACGCGCCGGCGGCCCCGAAAAAGGACCCCGCCACGAAACACTTTTCGACCTGGGCGCCCGGAATCGGCGGTCCGAGTCGGGTGCATTTCCGGGGCTCGATTCTTCCCCTCCCTGCTCGCTTTAATGCGCCGTTCACGTGCTCGCACGCAAAACGCGGGGTTGGGTGGAGGGTCCCGCCCGCCACCCATTGTCACCGGCAAGGGTTTGTACCGGCTGATATGCAGATTGGGCATCGCTTTCTGATCTGGTTGCGCGCGGGCCGGGAGTCAATTCCCCCAAATGCCGTCTACTAGTCGGCTATCTGCTATTTAAGTTTGCATGTCCCTTTAAACCCGATTCAGGAGGCTTTGCGACGTTTAATTAAACATCGCAAATCGCTTCCAGGCCTTTGAAAATACCTAAATTTCATCGAGTAATTGTTCTAAAATGTAGCAACAATTTTGTAGCCACCCTTAAACACAAATCCACCCTAAAATGGTCCTTTCAATTTTACGAATTACGAATTTTTTTGTATAACCCTAGAAAGGTTTATTAACTTTATAGAAACCATTTTATTATCGTTTTAGTAGAATTATAACTAACAAAATAGTTTAGAAATACTCGCACAATTTATATTTGGAGCCTTCGATCATCAGAAAAAAAGTTGGTTCCCGATCATGCGAAAGAACCCCTAAAAGATAGCATAAAAGTCCTAAAAATTTGAAAATGTCATCCAAAAACCCGTATTTGTAGAAAATTGCGTAATATCCATTCGAAAAAGGTTTTTACAGCCCTTAGCATGTTTTAAAAATCAATAAAGACGATGTAAAACAAGGTTTCACGAAAAATTAGGTTACTTTACCTACGTCTCACTTTTGCCTTGTCGCTTTACAGAACAGTACCAACCTCCTTTAGCCAAACGCCATACCATTGTCACTTCAATAAAAAATGTTTTTTTTTTCCTGCGGTCAGACCCCTTCCAACTACCCGAAATCATGTCTTTCCGCGCCCCGCAAATTCAACTTTCCCGAAAAATGGTCTTCCTCCACGCCACGCTAACCCCATTAACACAACGAGAGCCATCCAAAACAGGGGGACAACCCGGATCGTCTAATGTCCAATTTTCTGTTTTCTCGTGGTCGCGATCGAGCGCAGTCCCTTTTGACTGGTGGATCGTGAGAAACGGCAGCGACCTGGGGTTCAGCCGAAAATTGGCCACATCGCCTCCACAAAAAATCCGCCTCCTCGCGAACCCGTCCCATTTAAACTGTCGCATCCGGGTTCAATTTTTGAACCTGGCGCCGTACTGGACTTTTAGCGGGGGTGGAAGGGGGGAAGAGGGGACTAATTCTTCCCAGCAATCCTACGGCAAACCATTTTATAGTCTTTCTAACAGTTTTTAGATATAAAGGGATCATAGCACCTTAAAACATTTGCGAAATTTTTCACTGTTTGGTGATGTATGAAAACGACAAAAAAATGACAAAATTTTCGACAATGTTTCAAATTTTCTTGTGACTTTCTAGCCACGACAAAATGCTGTATACCCTGTGATTCAGTTCCGTCATTTCCATTCATCATTTGAAGCAATTACCCTGCGTTGCGGCTCTATAAAACAACCCCTTTTCCAGAAACCCTTCTTTTCCGGGTCAGGCCGCCGTCCGATCAGCACAAGAACAGAAGATGGGACCCGATTTCTTGGAAAGTACGGTAGTTTACTGCACGTTTTTTTAGGTTTTTTGTTGCTCAATTTTTATTGGGGGGCGAAAAACGTTGGCTTTTCGTTGAAAAATGTATGAAAATTGGCAAAAACTCGCAAATTTCAAGGCTTTAGTGGATTTTAAAAGACTTTTTATAGTTTTGGATTGAGCGGTAACTATAAAAAAACACACCACAAAAATAGAGGTTATCTTAATCATCGCAAGATACAGGTTAGATTTAAAAAAATAGCCCAGAATATGCCTCTCCAAAACGAAAAAAACCGATTTCTTCACAGAGAGGCCGAGGTGTTCATAGGTGTATAAGTGCAATCATCAACGTTTTTTCCTTTCTTTTCTTTACCATTATTTTCCAGAACTGATCTGGGGCGGCGCTTCGGTGCTGGTCGTCTCGTTGATGTCGGTGGTTGGCGGGCTTTTCCTCCCGTGTCTGAAGGGCAGTACACGGAGGAAATGGTCGGTTCTTCACCCCTATACATTTGTATTCGCCCCGTTTAGGTTCCACTTCTTCATCGCGATGGCTGTGGCGACGCTGGCTTCAGATGCCATTCTGCACCTACTCCCTGAAGCCATGGGCGTACACAGTCATGGAGGTGCGCAGATAATGCTTGTGAAATCATACGTATTTTTAGATCACGATCATCACCATGACGTCGCGACGAATCCCGGGCCTCACAGCGCGCCACATGATCATGAAGTTCGAGCAAGGCGGCAGGTGAGCTAGACTTTTTGAAAAAGAAGAGGTTTTGGCCAAAAGTTCGCCATTTTTGGTATAAAAATCGAATTTTTGCTAGCAGTATGCTAAAAAAGAGCTTAGAAACAGTTCGGTCATTTATTTTTGAAAAATGTCCCTCACCCCCATACGGCGAAAGAACCGGCCCATGTTTTCTAGGTGGAAGCGGGACACGGACACAGCCATGATCACGGTGAGCATGGCGACGAACATGAGGATGCAGAGCATGAACACGGAAGTAACGGAAGTCGGCTTGAGGTTGAACACGGGGAGCACAAGCTTCACAGCCATGTGCACGAGGTATCGATAAACTGAACTCAAGCCATGTTTCTTTTTAGGCCCGAGGCTTCTTCGAGTACACCAAGGAACGAGACTTACTGTGCAAGGTAAAAGCTTCTCGTGTTACCTGAAGCTCTTTTCCAGTTGAGCTCAACGGTGCTGGTGGTGATAGGGTTGTACTTCCTGGAGTTGATCTGGGACGTCCACCAGAAAGGCAAGGGGCATTCGGTGAGTAAAGGAAAACTTTTTTAATGTACCGTCTTCTCGTATTCTTATTATCCGTATACCTGATTTTTTTCCAGCACAGCGGCAAGCCCGAAAAAGCCGAAATCTTCTCAATTTCGGATGGAGAGGGGCTGGAGCGGGCAGCAACCGGATTTTCACCTATGGTATCACCACCCAAAAAATCTGAAAATTCTTGATTTTCTAGCGGCGAATGAGTCAGGCCTCGCCTTCAATGTCACAGCAGTCGGCGAGCGTCAAGGAGACTACAGAGTAATTTTTTTAGAGGTTTCAGACCTTTTGGGGGAGCTTCTTCTGAAACAAATTGATTTAGTCTCATCGTCAGCCGACGCGCCTCACATGTCGTTGACACACGAGCGCCCGTGGTGTGCTGGGGCATCCGGTCGACGGCGATGCTCATTCTGCTAGGTGACGCGGTGAGTTCGAAAGCAATGAATAGTCCTTTTCCCTTTTTCCTTCAACCCAATTTCTGCAGGTGCACAACTTCATCGACGGCATCGCCATCGGCGCCGCGTTTGCCGCGTCGACGCAGTCGGGCATCTCGACGTCGATCGCCGTGCTGTGCCACGAGTTGCCGCACGAGCTCGGTTCGTCGACCACGAAAAAAGTTATAAAAATCAGAGTACTAGAGTACTAGTCCCATCATAATATAAATGCGGCCTTTGGCTTTAAATTACACCAGCGAAACAACGCTTTATTCAGGCGACATGGCCATCCTGCTGGAATCGGGGCTGTCGATGTCCAAGGCGCTGTTCCTCAACTTCTTGTCGGCCCTCACGGCGTTCATCGGGCTGTTGTTCGGGGTGGCGGCCATGGAGTTGCAGGTACGGCCTTATTTGGCAGCTTATCAACGCTCCGAAAGCCCGGAAAACCCCACCAAAATTGTAGGCGCTAATTCCGTGGATGCTGACGATAACTGCTGGCATGTTCCTGTACGTCGCCTGGTTAGATATGGTAAGCGGAAACCGCAGCATGGTCATTGTTATGCACATCGTTTCAGTTGAACCACCTCCGAGACGGGATGGGCAAAGCCAAGGATATGGAGACGGTGTTGCTACAGGTACACATGCTACACGGATTACTGATTTTTTTTATATAAACAAAATTTCCTAAGAAAGGCACAGTATAAATTATACAGTTTTTTAACCCCAGAAACGGCGAGTTTGCAGATAGCTTCAAGTTTATGTTTAATCTGCTTGAAAAATTTTAGAACGAATTGAACAACCTAAAGGAACTTTTTCTCATGAACCAGATGGTTACAGTCGCTTCGCGACTGCAACCATCTGGCCTTCGGGCTACCCTACACGCCCCACTCCACCACATCCATTCCCACCTCCATCAACACCGCCGATAGCGGAAATCCCGTTCAAAAACTACCTAAATGCCTTCCTGATGGCTTCAGATACCCCCATGGCTGAAAACCCCTTCAAAACTACCTAAATACTATCCTGATGGCTTCAGATACATCCCCTAGCCGAAATCCCCTTCAAAAACTACCTCAATACATTCCCGATGGCCTCAGATACCCCCCATGGCTGAAAACCCCTTCATAAACTACCTAAATACCTTCCTGATGGCTTCAGATACCTCCCCTAGCCGAAATCCTTTTAAGAAACGAAAATAACGACCGACCGGATGGAATGAGAGAGAAAAAGAAATGAAATCCCCCGTGAAAATTTTCATCCACGAAACGCGCGCCACCTGGCTCACTATGTCCAAAATCACCCCAACCTCCGTCCCCCACCCCCTTTTACTAAGGAAAAAACTTTCAAAGTTAATTTTAATAATTTAAACAAAAACTTTTTCTTAATTTTTTTATCAGTTTGGGGGTTTCTGACCACGCTCTATCCGAATCCGAAGAGACCTAAGCTCTAGCTCCTTTCCCCTTCGAGTTGAATTCGGCTTCAGACAGACGGACACCACAACTTTTTTATCCTACTATATATAAAAAAATAGTGTCTGTGTGTGTGTGTGTGTATATTTGCATGCACTTCCGTTAGGATGTTCCGCTCCTACAGCTCCGGGGAAGGGTTTTTTGGACAGGGAAGAAACGACAATAGGTTTAGAATGGTCCGGAATCGACTGCACACACATCAAAATTTTGAAAAATTGTGGTTTTCGCTATTAAAAATAGGTTTTTGTAAAACCCTGTTTGTTAGGGGAAATTAACATACGCCGGAAGTAGGAAGAGCCCATATAAAGGGACAGAGGAGCCGTTTTTCACTTTTTTTTTCTTGCTAGAATTTAGGAAGAAACATGCAAATTAAGGACTTTCACCGGTCCTGGACGGGGCCAGGGTTGAAAAGCCGCGAAGCGGTTTTTCAACCCTGGTTATAGTTGATTACCATCAAGTTTTCTACGCTTCCATACCAACCCCACCCAATTCCAGGTGCTCGGCTTCGTGTGCGGCTTCCTGATCATCTTCCTGATCGGCTGGTTCGAGCACGAGCTCGGCGCCCATTAACCGGGACCGACCGGCTCGCCGCCGCCGGCAACTCGTCGCCCCCCACAAGCATTAATCCGCCTGCATCTCGTCGTCAAGCTATATCACATTCGTTTACGGCTGCTTTACCTGATCGTGTACACCCCCCAATCCTCGGCCCACACAAGTTGAAGTCCCGTCCCCCCCGTATTTCGCACACCCTGCATTTCATCCCCCCTTCAATTACCACCTAGACCCAAAAACCGTCCACCCGGTCGTCCCGCGTCTAACAAGCCCAATTCCGGAAGCCGCCGGTCCGTTTCTCCGCCGCTCTGCTCCATGAACTCACCGTCCTCAATTCAGCGAAGCTTTAGTCCAACAATCGAGTTTGTATATTTAGTCCCTGTTGTGTCTCCTTACGCGTCTTCTCTTTTCGTTTCCAACTAACCACTAACCATATCGGTTTTATATCGCGAATTCTATTACATTTGGCATTTGGATTACTGATAAATATTTTCAAAGCGTTCGTTTTCGTTTCGCACGATTTCGCGCGACTAGCCTTTTCGGGAGCCGTGACAGATGAGCAGCAACGACGTTTGGGCAACTCGGGGAGAGCGACGTTTGAACAACAATTATTTCTTCGTAAACGCGAGATAGCGCTGTTGCTCAAAGGTTGTTGCTCACCTGTCACCGGGGGCCCCCGCTTCCCCCTCTGCCCACGATCCTACCCGGTGCGCCCATTACCGTACCCCGCTGCGTGGTAGCCCGCGAACAGAAACGATTCAACCTCGACGCCCGGCTGTCTTTCGCGCACCACGTCATTTTTACCCACCTAATACCCCCAAATCGATCCATTTCGACACTTTTGGTATTTGGTGTTCATGTTTGAGGGGACCGCTTTGCTTTCCGCCATTTTCCCATCAAAACTCTATAGAATGTTTTAATGTTTAGGGTACGTATTGCTTGATTTAAAGTTGTGGGTTTTTCAGTTAATATACTTTCCCCGCTTTTTAATGTACTATTTACGGTTTCTATGACGGCTCTGATCTCTAGTTCTTATTTTTTAACCTTTACTGGGGAATTTTCCGGGGGTTTTTATGGCTTTTTCTTTTGAAAGACTCCTCTAGGCCTATTCTTCTATTTGCCTTCCACATAACGACCGCTGGGGCAGTCATATTTATATCTTCAGCTGCTAGTAATAAGAAGGCTCCGCTAGTTCATTCGGCAAATACTAACCGCTCAATTTCCTACTGGCCAATATTTTCTCGTCACATTATATGAACTATGTTTAGGTTTCAAAATGAAGCCTAAGGCGCCTGCCATACCATCCTTCGGAGTCGGTAGTTTTGAATCGCCCCTTCCATCGAATCGGTTTTCCGAGCCAACGAACCCGTTGTCGACAAAACGCGAACAGGTAACGATTTTTATCCCCGACCTAACTTAAATTAGGAGCAGCTTGGAAGCTATAATCGATTGGGTTTTGCTGCTCGAAACACCAACACAGTGCCGCCGCTCTGGAAATTTCGTCCATCTTTACGCTATGCGGACCCAACGCCGCGAATCGTGACGCAAGGAGTCAGCGATGAAGGCAAACGCGAAAAACTCTGTAAGATTTCACTTTAAAACTTATCGCCCTTTTAGTGATGGCAACCACGGACTATTACAACCCTGCGATGAAGCCAGCAACCTTCTACGAGCAGTGCTTTAAAAACAGAAGGAAAATTGGAGAAGGTTCATTTGGTCACGTCTGGCGAGCTACTTCACTTGATGACGGTCGTGATTATGCCGTGAAGGTAGCCATTGTCCCCTACAGAACTGGGGCGGATCGCGAGCTCCGGCTGAGGTATGTTCTTTTAAATTGCAAAAAATCAAGCCTTTATTCAGGGAAGTATTCAAGCATGAACGGCTTCCGATTCACCCTAATCTCGTCCGATTTGTGAAGGCATGGGAAGAGAAAGGTCGACTGTATATCCAGGTATTACTCGGCTCTTTTATAAAATCTGTCCCGTATTTTCAGACAGAGATATGCGAGGAATCGCTGGAGGATTATATTGGAAGAAAGCACGAAGTTTCCACCAGGATGGTCTGGAATGTCTTCACCGATATCGCAAGCGCCCTCTCCGTGCTGCACGAGAGAAACTTTATCCATCTCGACATCAAACCGGCGAATATCTTCATCTCCTCCGATGGAATCTTCAAACTCGGCGACTTCGGCCTAATTTTTGACCTGAACAGCGATGAGAAGCACAGCCATGAAGAGGGCGATAGCAAATACTTGGCACCGGAGATCCTCAACGGCCCTCTGACAAAAGCCGCCGACATTTTCAGCTTTGGGATCACGGTTCTCGAGGTTGGTTTTTTTTAATTCTCAAGCTTACCATTTAGGTTGCTACCGACTTGAGCTTGCCGAGCAACGGTGAATCTTGGCACCAACTTCGCACTGGTCAAATTCCAGATAGATTTTGGCAAAGTTTGTGTTTTATTTTAAGCTCACAATATTTGTTCAGAGGTCGACCCAAAACAACGAGCGCTTCTCGGCAGCATGCTTGATGTTGATCCGCTGAGGCGCCCCACCATCGAGACGATCACGAAAAGGCTGCGCCATTGGCGACTGGTGCGTCGTTCCCAACTCTACTTTTCTAAAGCGGTAATTAGTTATTCTAAAAAAATGCTTGTGCTTAGTACTCCCTCGCGCGCGATTGTGTGGGCTCCATCTTGCTCTACGTTTGGGCATTCCTCCTTCTTATTTGCCAACCGCTAATAACTCTCAAAGTATTTTCACACTTTTAACAACTATTTTATTTTTAGAAGGCTCTTGACACCAAAAAAGCGGAACTCTGCAGGGACCCGTTAACAAATCGTCATCCGAAGACTCAGGTTTTTGAAGTTGTCTTTTCATATTTTTGTTTATAGGGCACGCCGGACCATACCACTACACCGCTCAGCATGCTGGCATTCGATCAGATGTTAGAAGATGAGACGCCATCACGTCGCCCCATAAAGCCGACGCCGAGCATCCCGAAGCTCTCATTCGACTCCGCCACCTCGTCAGATGGCAGCCATGACTCGAGCATCCAGTAATTCAATTTTTATAGGCATCAACGCCCATTTAGTTACACATCAAACCCTCGTCTTCGGAAGTCCAACAAAGGCCCACTCACCGTCAGTGCCTCAGCCGGAGACTGGAACAGGCCAACATTGCAATCACCGCTACCAAAGAAAGCCAATTTCTTTGACGACGACCAAAGTGATGAGGAAATTTACTACCGGCAAATGGCGCGAACTCTTCCACTGCCGAAGCACGACGAGCAACGGGTCCCGATGCGCCAGCGTGCTGACAGGCGCCCGATTCCCAAACTTGACTTGTCCCTGTTGGATGAGGATTCCTCGGATATGTTGTGATTCGTGCCTGTTTTTCACCCCCCTTTGCTCGCGGCGATTGTTGTGTCTGCCCACCCTAATATGTACCAAAAGTTGAACTTGCCACCGGCTGCCCCCTCTTCCATTTTTAATACGCTCATGTATCTTGCTTCATTTAACTCGTCGAATCATCGGTACGGTTACATTTGCTCCCGGCTCCTGTCATGTGCATATTTTATTTTAACTACTCATCGGTTTATTCCCATGCGAGTTCCCTTTGAAAACTGCCTTGTCTAGAATGTTGAAATATGGCGGATAAATGTTTGCACCCGTTTTCCGGGGGGTGACAATTGCGCGAAAGCATTTGCGCCTAACGACATTTGCGCTCATGCAATTGCGCCGAGACCATATGCGCCAACGACATTTGCGCCTAACGACAATTGCGCTCTATGGGGGAAAGCCAACGTAGGGAGGAGCGAGCACGAGAACGGGAGAATTGCTATTTTTGAAAATATGATGTCGACATTGTGCGGGTTTTCGGGCGACGGTTGCCAAAATCTAAAAATCGTTCTAAATGTTTTGCGCGTGTTTTTTGTAGTTTCAAAGTTTTCGTGATTTCGGCTCTTGAGTAATTCCGGTTTGCAATAGCTTGAGTACCTTTACCAAGCCTGCCATCCGTTGCTGGCGATTCATATCGTAGCGAAATAATGTAGACCAGCGATCTAAAAGGCCTCTTCCAATGCGTCTCAAATGGTCTTTGCTAGTTAGCCCTGGTCACAGATTCAAAGAGAAAGGATTCCTGAAGGGAACTCTGCTAGCCTGCTCCCCACACGAGAGTTGGTTTGGCTTCCCAAAGCTGCTTTGTCCGCCGTGTCGTTTCGAATGAACGAAATTAGCATTTAAAATCAGAACAAACTACTTGAAAACCGGAAACTACCCAGAATTTTACTGGGTTTTCCCTCTTAAAAGCGGAAAAGTCGATTTGTGGCCATCACGTCTCATCAAGGCCACCAATTCTGATGATCGCCCAGCCGCGCTCTCCACAGCGTTCGACGACGATGCCTCTGGTGCTCATCTTCATCGGGTCCCTCGTGCTCATCACCCCCGTCGTTGCCGTTCCCCAGGCGTACGGTCCAGTTTGATAGCGCTCTTTCAAGTCGGCAGCCGGGGGTGCAGATATCTATTTTTCGACAAAAATTCCGGTTTTCCGCCCAATTCCAACTACAATGGTTGCCTTTTCTTTGGGATCTCGGGCAAAAACAGATATTACACGTGGATTCAGTAGAGGGATTCAATAGAATGAGAGTAATTTACGATGATTTTGATATTTTTCAAAATGGAGTCGTGCCATTCGATAGCGCGTCGAAAAATGTTCTCAGAGTTTTGTTTATAGCAAAAAAAATGGTTAGGTCGGCCCCTACAGTGGTCAGCATATACCCAAATTTTCGCGAAAGCACGGCATGCTTGACGCCGCTGCCGGCCTAATTCCACGATTTTGCAGGGCGCCGCCCGCGAAGCCGGGTGCCGACGATTTGCCAGCGGTTCGTCGCGGCTCAAGACACCCTCAAAAACGTTGTTTTCAGTGTGCCAGCGTGCCATTCATCTGCTACACGGCACAGCATGCAGGAGAGTCGCACTTTACATTCCTCACGAAGCTCGCCAACCTGGGCCAGGTAGTCTCCAATGCCCAACGTTTTCGGGTGGTTCGCATAAACCCTGCCGCGGGTGGGGGTCGAACCCGGGATCCCCGTTTTGTAGGCCTAGATACAATCCATTAGGCCACAGTGGCAACCCAACGGGTGCACGGAACAGAATAGCCGCACGGCGCGTGGACGGCTGTTGCACGGCGCGCGCTAAATTTCGCGGCGCGCGCACGGCTAGCGCACGGCCCGTGCGCGGCTGCCGCACGGCGCGCGCGGCTACTCCACGGCTAGTCCACGGCTCCGTCGCGCGCGCGCGCCTATCGCGGCTAGCGCACGGGCCGGTACCGGCTAGCGCACGCGCCGTGCCTACCAGTCGCGGCTATTCTGTTCCGTGTGGGAGCGGGACGCCACAAGTGCGGCAATGGGCCGCCATTGCCGCACAAAATTCGCGCGTCATTTGTACTGCCCGGAATTCAGAACTATATATTTGCCGCCAAAACGTTGGGTATCCCTTTAATGCGCGCTTTTTTCGTGAATCCTGGTTTCAGTGCCCGCCCTGCACGAAGTGCGCCCCGGGTGCGGCCCTGACCCTCGACGACGACACGGGACGTCTGATGATCGACTGTGACCCGAGGGCGATGTTCTGCACAAAGGCAAATCAACCCGACTGCATCCAGGCCGTTGCGGTTGAACGATATAACGTAGACGGAGGTACCCTTTTTGGTCTCAAAGTTTTCTACGTTTTCAAAAATGTTCAAAACTTTTTAACGTCAAAAATCGAAGCATTAACTTGGGAATTTATTCCCAGTAATTCTTTATGGGCCTACGACCAATTTGAAACCATTTTTATAGCATTTTACCTAGCTTTTAGGTCTGAAAAGTGTATCAAAATTATAAAAATGCTCGAAATTCGGGCATTTTACTCAAAAATGAAACCCCCCCCTCAGTCGGCCCCAACTTTTGTATCTCGACTCCCTGTCCATCTACAGGCGTGTAAAGTATATCAAAATGTTCGTCTTGCTCTGGCGAGTATTTTGGTATACTTTACACACCTGTAGTTGAACAGGGAGACGAGATACAAAAGTTTGGGGGCCGGCTGGGGGGTTATCTGGAGTTCAGCCGAAAACTGGGTCATCTTCCCGCACAACCTGTGCACCCGAGCCATGATGGCCAACGGGCAATGTGCGGACAAAAAAACGTAGGTTCATAGCTTTTGCCGTGGAGACGCGTTCGCCTTCAGGACGTCAGCCATCCCATTCGCCCCATGGAAGCTGGGCACCGGATACGCCGTGCAATGCGACGCTGGCTTCACCATCCCCGAGTAGGTGTATCGCAATTTATGAGGCGGGGGACACTCATTTTCTGTTTTGTTCTAATGTTAGTTTTTAGGTTTTAATTTTATCTTATTTTATTTTATGTTTAATTTGATTTTTAAGTTCTTTCGCGTTATGGGGGGGGGTAAGATTATTAAGACAGTTTTTCTGGTTCAAATATAGTTGTATATTACCGAAAACATTATGCAAATACTTTCTATTAAGTTACTAGGCATTTCTAGATTGATACAAAAAAAATAGGTTGCCCCGTTCCCGATAATGCGAAATAGCCGATTTTTCGAATGTTTTTCGTAGTTTCTGAAGGCTAGACAGTTCCAAAATGGGTTTTTGGATTTTTGGATTTTTGCTGATGGTTGCAGTTTCTTGGGCGCTGCCGCCCGAAGCAAGGACCGCATCCCGTGCATCCCGAGCCTCCACCAGTACGCCGGGCTCGGCAAGGACGATGTCAAGATGTTCGTCAAGGAAGACGTCTATCCAACGGCGCTCACCGCCGCCGGCCAGTGGAACAGCTACGAGGTTCAGCTGCACTTTTTGAACTTGAAAAGCTTTTGGCCAGCTCCTGTTTTTCTCCCCCAAGTTTTGAGGGCAAATTATAGTTTTGGTGAAGAACTGGAGCCAACTTGCTCATAAGGGGTCTTTTCCTAATTTCTTAGCATATTCTAGCAAGATTCAAGGCAAGAAAACTTTCAAAACAGCTAGAAAAATGTTGGCAAAAGCCAGAAATTTGACCATTGGGTCGAAAAATGCAATTTCCCGACCTAATATTTCAAATTTTTAACAAAATGTTGTAAAGTTTTTAGTCTTAAGAAAATTTACCCTCAGCCTCGCGAATATTAGTAGATTTTTCTATTTTTTTTCCACCGTAAAACATGGCCATTTTTCAGTGGTGCCCCACGGCTGGACCGATGCCGGCGAATTGCGCGCCGCGCCCCATTACAGGCTCCAAGTATGGACGTCTTTTTTCAACGTTTACCACATGTTTCCTCCTGTTCAGCTACTACCTGTCTCTCGACGTGCACGACGAGGAAAACTACTTGATCCCCGAGCCGTCAATCTACCTGCCCAGCTGCCAGTACCGTAGCCACGATTTTGATGGGCGCGAGGCGTGCTTGCCGCTCGAAATTTACGTCGTCCCCAAGTTCTACACCGCATACCGTCTGAGGGTGAGCCGAGAGCTTTTGCGGAAATGTATCTACTAGCAAGGTGAAACAAACAGAGATTTTCCATTGTTTAGACAAAAGTCTGGATATTTCAGCGGGGCAAAGGAAAGCTACTTTTCCGGAAAGCAGGGGGAAAAATTAATTTCTTTCCCCAGTAATCCTGTACGGGCTTTTTAACAAAACAGAAGCATTGTGATGGCGTTTTACACGGTTTTTAGATACCAAAAGCTTATAAAAACGTTTAAAAATGTGCAAAATTGTTACCTTTCTGATCAAAAATCTATGAAAAAGACCAAAACATATTTTCCAAATTTTTCGAATTTTCAAAAAAGGATAAAATTATGTTTTTTGTAACTTTTTAGTGAGCAAAAACTACCAAAAACATTGGTAAGACTCCAGATGACACCCCCCCCCCAGCCGGCCCCCGCCTAGCGTATCTCGGCTCTCTGTTGATCTACAGGTGTGTAAAGTATACCAAAATGTTCGCCAAAGCAAGACGAACTTTTTGGTATATTTTACACACCTGTAGATGAACAGGGAGCCGAGATACAAAAGAGGTCGGCTGGGAGGGGAGGGTATCTGGAGTCTTACCGCCAATTGTGTGCGGGCCTCCATCCAAATTGCGTTTCAGTCGCCACCATACGCCAAGCTGCTGAGCAACGAAGACACGCTCAGCTTGAAATGGCGCGCACCGGCTACCACCGGCAACGACGAGAAGACGGTCTGGTACCCAAAGTGCCTGATCGTCGACAAGGGCAAGCTGCTGGTCAGTAAGCCCGAGCCTGTTCAGCGTCGTGATTTCCACTACGTTTTTCTGTTTTTCTGACGTTATTATCCTTCCTTTTGCAGCCGCAGCACCTGGCCCTGTTCGAGAACAACACCTTCCTCGACTGCAAGAAGAACCCCTTCTATCTCTGGGGGCCACCGCAGCAGAAGGATGCGCTCTCCATCAAGGCGGAAGTGTGCAAGAACGCGGACGACGCCAAAGCGGTGCGTTTTTAGCGGAGCTTCACGCTATAAGGTGCGCTCACTTAGGTTTTAGGCTCAGGTAGAGGCTTAGGCTTACGCTCACCTTTTTTTGCGCCTCAAACCTTGCTACTAGCCATACGCTATAGATCAAGGGCTACAGTATGGTACCCTAGCAAACTCTTCCGAAAGGACCAAATTTCGACTTACATTTTTCTAAACAAACACCTCTCCGCCGGAAATACTAAAGACCGCGAGCAGCCAACTATTCTTCGTCTATTGATTCTCGCTTTTTTTTTATTGGATCCGTTTTCAGCGGTTCTGCATGACGGAGTACAGCGTGGATCCGAATTTGGAGCGCAGCATCCACCAGACGGAACCGACCTCGGCGCCTTCCGGCGGCGACGACGCGCCGATCGACATCGCACCGCTCATCGTCCCTGGCCTGCTATCAATTCTTCTTGTCGGCGGTAGGCTGTGAGCTGGCATAGCTTTAACTGGTTTCCTAAACGTGCAAACTTCGAACGTTTCTATGAAAAATAGATGAAAACTGTCAATTTTTCGCGCGAAAATGACTCCCTTTTTATGCCAAAATTTTGCCATTTTGAATTTTTTTCAATTTTGATAGATAGTCACGCTTCTCACGCGCCGTCAAGAAAAGCCAACCATTAAATCGACGAAATATAATACCCTGGTGAAATTAGAAGAAATTGTGCTAAAGAGGAGCTCCGAATGTACTTATAGGAGGGATCGCCGGGATCGGTGTTCTACTCCGAATGCGCGCCTACGAAACGGGCCTGGTCAAAGCCAGGTATGTCGTGTTGGGCACGCCGGCCAATTTGCCCAAATTTTGCAGGAAGGCTGAAGCTGAGGATCGCACCTCGTGCGGCGTCTTCAAAGCCGGCAAAGCGTTCCGCCGAAACGTTGGCTGGAAAAACGGCTGGGCGGACCCGTTGGTCAGTTGGCAATGTTGTCTTTACGAGATAACCGGCTGGGCCCAAAAACTAAGATTTCTAGAAGCAACACCACTTTTCCAGCACGACCAGCACAAGAAACGCATGGCGGAATACACCAAGGGGCTGCGTGTCAAAAACCGAGAGCTGATGGCGCTCTCCACGGGGAAGACCGGCACCGATGCAGAAGCCGCCGAGGTGGAGAGCAGCCCGGCGCCATCCGCTGCGCCGACCCCAGCTGCCGGATCGCCCGCCACGCCCTCCGCCTCTGCCCCCGCCCCGTAAACCCTCTACCCCTACCCGTTCTCCATATGCCTCCCACTAGGGCTCTGCAGATTGGCATCCCTACTCACCCACCCACCCCTGAAATCTACGAGAACTTCTAGCGATCTAGTTCGCTTTCGATCCCGAATCCCCTGCCCTGAGCATTTGCATAAAGTATTCGAGAAACACACTGTATTGAATTCACTGCGATCATGCACAAAATCACAAGCTAAGAAAAAACAGTATGGGGCACAGTAGACAAATTCAAGCCTTGGCAATGTGAGAGATGAGGTCGACGACGCGGTCGGGGTAGCCATACTCGTTGTCGTACCAGGCGACGTGCTTGACGAAGTGCGGGTTGAGGCTGCTGCAATGCATTGTAAAGTGTTTACGCTAAGGAATAGTCGAAGCCGTTTAGAAGCACTTGCTGTAGTTCCTCCTCCCCCCGATAATGGGAAAGCGCCCCTTGGCAGACAAAAATTTTTCGGGTTCCTTAAATCGATTTGAATCCAGGTTGAATGCATTCATAACGCACCGGAAGCGGGCGCTAATTTGCCTAACTAGGGAATGTTTTCGGGCGGACATCGGACCCAGATATGTGAGTATGTACATCTTGTAGAGCTTGACGAGACGAATCGATTGATGTAGCTTTTAGCTGCTGATACCTTATTTTAAAAAGTTACAACGGTTTAACGTTTTTGGCGATGCCTTCATAGGCCCTCCTCACGCCCCAAGCATCATGTCCTGGTAGCCTAGTGGCTTAGTAGTCGGCGTTTGGAGATAGTAACGAGGGTACGGATCCGCTCACGATTTTTATTTTTTGCTTTTTGGCCAAAAGCTTCCTTTTTGCACCCCCGAAGGTATGTCGTTGGCGCATATGGGCATAGGCGCATTTGCATAAGCGCAAGTGTCGATGGCGCAAATGCTTGCGCGCAATTGTCACCCTCCCGCTTTCCGTTTCCCTTGATGCACCTCGCAAGCATGCTTTTGACACAAGAAGTCATTTGTAAAGTTATCTGGCTCGGATTTATTTTGTTGCCGAATCAAAGTTCCTTTATTCAGGTGCTCATTTTAATTATAAGCGTCGTATTTACATAGGCATATCATGCAATGTTAGATCCCGCTTCCGCACTTCCCCAAATCGGGGGTCAAATTGGTCTTGCTTTTCCGAGGGCTTTCGTCCCCGAATGAATTGCGCGCTTCTGATATAAGCGACTTCTAGGACTAAAGTTTGTCGATGAATATGCTGCCATCTCACAGACGAATTGCTTCCGAACGTTACACGCTATAGGCCGCCTATATCGATATTATAGATGAGCCAAAAATCTGTACCAAATCAGGCTGATGCGGGACTGCACGACACAAAACTCGCCCTGCTGCTCATCGGGTGAATTCTCCCAGGGTGTGTAATTGCCGAACTAAAAGTGGATATTGCAAGGATTGGTGCTTGTATTGGTGCTAATGCAGTTAGGGGTTACGAGACGCTCCGCTTAAGCTACTTGGTTTTTAGCTTAAGCCTAGGCTTAACTTAGCTTTAACCAAGCTTAGCTTAGGCTTAGGTTTAAGCTTAAGCCCAAGCTAAGCTTAACTTGAGCTTTAAATTGCTTTAGGAGGCCAAATTGGGGTCATTTAGGGCTAAGCTTAGAGCTAAGCTTAGCTTGGACTTCGTTTGTATGAAGCTAAGCTTAGGCTGAGGCTTGGCTTAGCTTTTCCAGAGGCTTCGCGTTTAAAAAACGGCATTTGTAGCGTCTTGTAGTCAAAATCCGGACTGCCGCCCCAAGTGCATTAGCACCCTTGTATTGTTGGATGCTAACGATAACCAGTGTGCCTGAAAACGCCTTTACCGGCCGACCGTCATCCCAGGTACACAAATCGCCAACACAGTAGGCTCCAATGAAGAAATCGGTTTCGAGCGCTTCATTTGCGCTGTATTGTGACGTGTTGGCATTCCACAGGGTCATCGGCACATCGTTGCCGATGAACGCTGCCTTCTTCTCATCCTCAATTGACACCATCGCACCCCCATCCGCACGGCACGATCTGCATCGTTATTTACATTAGCGAGGATACGCCGTTTACTCACGCTTGTGCATCTGGATAGTTGCGCATTGCCACGTTGCCCTTATAGCATCCATTTTCCGCGCCCTGCCAGATATTTGGCTGATAGGGCTGCCAGTAGTCGGCGCAGAAGCAGTTTGCTAAAATTGGTCGAGTTTTATAGAGATGCCGTAGGTTGCCTTCACAAAGCAGATTGATGACTGGGCTCGCGTGTAGCTGATCAGTTGTCAGGTTGTAGTGGGGCTTTGCGAACTGGCCGAGTGCTGGAGCCGTGCCATCGCCGTGTGTCGCTTTGTAACCTATTGGATGCGTTGGTTTTCGCGTGATCCGACTAATTTTCAACTGGAATTTCAGGTTATGATACTGGACTGCTAGCAGGGGGAAGTATGAAAAATGACCAAAAAGCTCAAAATTTCGCATTTAAGAAATGCTTAAAATATTTTTCGTAACTTCCTAGCGATCAAAAACTATGAAAACATCATAAACATACGCTATTTATTATTCTTATTGTTAATAGGTAGCTATAGGCCCAAAAAAAAAATTAAGTTCCCCTGCTAACAATCCAGTACCGCCTAATCGATGCATTGGTATTCGCGCTATCCCGTTAATTTTCAACAGCATTTTTCAAGGTATTAGCGCACCTATGGTAATGATAACGTTGTCCTGGTTGAAGATGTTGGCTAGCTGTGTGGGGTCGCCAACGCCCTGTTTTCTAAAATTTTCTTGATCGGCTAGATGATGGGACATGCCGATAAGCACTAGCGACTATGACGATCACCTGTCGAACATTCGGCCGAGCGTTTGCTTCAAGGTAATCTACGGTTAGCCGTAGGCCCCTAAAATTGCGTTTTGTTGTTTGTTGCTTGGGGGGAGCTTGAGTCGCACTCACTTGTACAAGTCCAGCATTCCCCCGCCCACCCATGGGATCTTGAACTCGTCGAGGAACTGCGTGGAAGAGTTGAAGTACGTCAATGGGTAGACCAGCTCGGCCTCGCTGGCGTAGGTGACCAGCCCTGAAGCGCTTACTAGCGAGTTGGAATTTTCCCTACCAATTCGTGTATGCTGACCGATGCCTTGGCCAAGGGACATCTGCAGGACAATCGTTTCGAAGAATTCCTCAATCTGAAATGCTGACGCGCTATTAGATACAGAATGTGCTGCCGACCGCCTCGAGGTCGTTCGGTGGCAAGCTGTCAGCATTGTCGATGAGCAGCATCACGTCTAGCCATAGTTTTTCCGGAACGCAGGGGCAGCCTGACGTGACATTGACGCTCACCGGGCTGGAACGGGTTTTTGGAGGCTTTTTAGCTAAAATCGATACGTGTTTTTTTAAAACTCACGGTAATGGCGTGACCGGTGGCAATGTCGTGGTGCTGATTGAACGGATAGCCGTCGTTGGTTTTGGCGTAGTAGAGGCGATGGTAGATGTGCTGCCTGACCGGCTAGCCGTAGTTGATCGCGGCGTAGTAGAGGCGATCGTAGATGCGCTGCTTGAACGGCTAGCCGTCGTTCCTTGTGAAGTGGTCGAAGCGATGGTAGATGTGCTGCCGAGAGTTGTCCGGGGTGAAGTCGTCGGCCCGGGAGTGGGCGTGGGTTTGTATGAGTTGCCTAAAGCCAAATTTGTCCAGTCTCGATTAGGTGATGTAGCTTTTCCCAATAAACTTCAGCAATAACTTACCGCATCGTTGCGTGCGGTCACACGTTGACGCGACGGTGCACTTCAGCGCGAAACGTGCAGCTCGACGTTGGATTGGGATTTGGACGACCTAAGATTGGCTTGCTAAAATAATGTCGGAATTTATCAAATTTCATAATGCCAAAATTCATAATGTCGTAAATCATCTCGATTGATAATGTCTAAATTTCAGAATGTCGAAAATTTTTTTTGGCATATTTTGGCAGGTTTTCCGGGGAAATTTGCTTATGGAAATTTCGACATTCTGAAATTTCGATATTATGATTTTCGACATTATGAAAGTAATCCCCTAAAATTAGCTCAAAAATTGCAATGACAATGCCCTACATCCGCGCCGCTAGTCGAGAAAAGTGTCAAATTTTTGTCAGTGGCGGCGATGATTTGCAGTGTCCACATCGTCCAGTTTCGTGGGGCCCTAAACAGATTTGCACCCTACTTTTCCCGCTTTCTTACAATTTCAACTCCTCATACTTGTCGATCGCATTCTCGTATTGCATCGGATCACTAAAAAAGGTGAGCAAGAGGGTAAGTATCGAACTCTGATAGCGAAAGGAGGATCAGCTTGGTGAACGTGTGCATGCAGGTGCAGTTGTAGAGCGCGTCGATAACGCTGAAAGATGTAGGAGATGACCAAACAGGAATTTGTTCCTACTCTGTCATGTTCATCATATTTGGCTGCTCCTTCTTGGTGCGTATCGCCCTGAGATCGTCGCATAACCCTTCGGGACTATTTTTTGCGGTCGCCTTGTACATCTGCAAAATACTGTAGAAGAATGTTGCCGACTATTTTGATGATCGAATCGGCGGTACTCGACTGTTAGCGGGGGGGGGGGGTGGAAATTTTGTCTAAGTAATTCCGTACGGCTTTAAACGGCGCATAAAAATTTCCAAAATTTTCAAAGTTTTTGGCTTTTGATTAAAAATCTATGAAAAATGAACAAAAATGGTCCAAATTTTCGAATTTTCGAAGTTTAAAATTATTTCTTGCAAATTTTTAGCATTCAAAACTGCTAAAAACTCGATAAAAATACATTATATAACAGGCAGGGACGGAAAAAAAACAAAATTAGCCCCCCCCTCCCCCCTAACAATCAAGTACCGAATTGCTCCACTAGAGTTCTTACCCCCTTTTCGCCACCAAAAATGCCCCAAATACCGAGCCGAATCTCGACGTCATCCGGCGATTGTTCGAGATCGATTTCGCCCAGTAGCTCTTCTACAATCGACGTTTGCTGAACAGATTTTCCACTGCAAATCGTAGTCTGCATACCTTTTTCAACGAACTTGTGTCGTAGGAAAGCAGGATCATGGTTTGCCCGCAGATCGGCGTTTCCCCATTCCCCACCGAGCATTTTGTGACTGAAGCCGGGGTGATTAGTGGGTTTTTTATCAATTATCCCCGATTAAATTAAATGAGATTTTTTTTCATGGTAACCCCGCAAGGCTTTATAAATATAATATAAAGTATTTCCTAGAACTTTACACGTTTTTAGCAATCAAAAACCAAGTAAAAAAAATTGATAAAATGCTTGTTTTTGTTATGAAAAACGGCCAGAACGGTCAAAATTTTGGAAATCATGCAGTATTGTTTTGTCTATACGTTTCTAGCATGAGAAAACGACTAATAAGCTTTTAAAAATAGGTAGTAGGTATAAGCGGAAAATAGAAAAACTTTTTCCGCTAACAGCCCAGTACTAACAAAGCAAAAATTCGAGTCCGTTCGAGCCAAATGCCACCCACATTTCACTGGAGGGTAGTGATAGCTCAGCCAGGTGACCGCCGAAATAGCAAAATATTGTGTCACATTTAAAAAGCCCCACATCGGCTTCCACTATCTTCTTTCGAATTCCATACGGGACCCGGTTGGCCGTCCTAAAACACGGGGTTAAAACTTGGAATTTAGGGAATTTGGCAATGAGGCAGAGCTTGCTTTTTGGAAAGAAGACTTCGGCATCAGAAGTTAACCCGATAATTCTGGGAGCGCTAATCAAGGGCCCATAAAAATGGGACCACGGAGAAGCGTCATTAGCCCCGCATTTCAATCATTCCAACGTCTCCGAGAAGGCATTTTATCGAAAATATGTGTGGGTTTTGGATAAGTCTCGTATCCTATGTGTCACCTGTTGACCCCTCCCCGGTTTAGCGCGTATCAAAAAAGCTAAAAAATATTTTTCTAAACACCCGAAAGCCGCGCGGTTTTGGCTAGACGTCAAAGATCAGGAACAAAATAGGTACTGGACTGTTAGCAGGGGGATTTTTAGCAGAGGAAAACTAATTTTGCCGGTAATCCTATAAATCGGTAATCCTATAAAATTAAGCGATTTTTGAAGTATTTTACGCAATTTTTAGATATAAATTTAAACATAAAAACCTATACAAATTTTTGTGAATTGGGCTTTTTGGTCAAAAATTTCGAAAAACGATTAAAAAGAGTAAAATTTTTGAATTTTCCTAAATGCTTAAATTATGTTTTTGTAATTTTCTAGCCATAAAAAACTGCGAAAACATTCGAAAATACACTATTCATCATTAACGAATAGTTATAGACGGAAAAGCAAACATTAGCTCCCCCTGCTAACCCCCCCCCCCCGCTAACAGAACAGTACCACAAAATAAATATTTTGTGAAAAAAACATACCCGAAACCAAGTCTGGAAATCGCATTCCATGCCCAAAAATGCGCTTCTCACCCGGAAATTCTTATCGCGCGTTGTTCGCATAATCGTTGTTCATTTGCCCTCCTTTACGACCCGATTAACAACTCGGCGCTTCACCTAAAATCACCACGAGCCGCGGCGAATTCGCCGAATAAGTTCTTGTTATTTCTCAGCTGCATTTCAAGTATGCTTGTCACCTTTATTCTCGTTAAATATACCACACGGATTGCACATGACCAAGATACAATAAGAAAACGGAGAAATCGAAGTAGAAAAACCGGTACACTGATCTGTTAGCGGGGGGGGGGACTACTCTTTGTTTTCCGCCTATATCCATCCAACTGTTCGTAACAAATAGTGTACTTTTCTAATGTATGTCGTAGTGCTTGATTTCTAGTTTGCTAGAAAGATATAAAAAATTTCAAACATTTCTGAAAATTAGAAAATTTTGACCATTTAAATTTTCGATATTTTTAAAATAGTACATCGATTTTTATATCTAAAACTGGATAAAATTAATTTCCAGCTACTAGCCCCCTGCTAACAGTCCAGTACCGAAAAACCACCAAAAAATTGGGTAAATCACAAAGTGACTAGCAAGCAATGTTCATCACCGGTGTCGACGGATCGGGGGGCGTTTGTGAAGATTTTCAGAGGAGGAATTAATTTCCGTTTTAAACAATTAGATTTAGTAATAACTTATCGATGGGGCATGATCGATGGCGGTGGGGGAGAAGATGAGATAAGTTAGCGGCAGGCTGTGCAAAAAAATTAGGAATATTAAGAACTAGCGACAAGAAAATCGTGGTTAAATAGCTGCGGTCTTTTTGAAGGTGATAACTATGTATTTACGAAACCTTTTCTAGCGATATTCTCCATCTTATCATCGTCCGAGTCGTTGATAGAGAGGCTTTGGAGATTCACGGGCGACTGTCGATAGCGGTGAGACGGACAGCGGCGTGCAGTAGCTGAAGGGTTTTTGATACTAATCGTAAAGGCGTTTTTGTTTTGTAAAGCACTTAAAGCGCCCGTTCAGGGACGTATATTTATATTTAACGTATATTGCCTATTGACGCCGGGACTGGGAAGAAGGAGACGCGGGTGTCAATAGGCTATACGTCACCTGAAGTGACTTTAAAAAGTGGTTAAAACCTACCCGCAAGACAGGGCGCAAAACTCCTTCATGATCTTCTCGAAAAAGAACGACTTGCACCGATCGAGCCATCGCCAGCAGAGATTCGTCCGATCGCGGCACTCTAAATGGTGCCGCGGTTTTGACGTGGCTTTCGACTGGCTAACAGAATAGTCGATATTCCATGCCGAAAAAAATGATAATATCGAGGGAAGCCCCAAGCCGAAAATGCCGATAGCAAATTCAACATTCCGAAAATAACTCGTTCAACCACGTTCACTTACCTCCATCACCTGGAAGTACGGTGCCGAGTAGGCTTCCAATGGCACCAGCCGTCCCAGCCGTCCCCAGCGAGCTGCTCGTGATGATCGGCTTCACCTGGCCGACCGAAACCGGAAGCGGTGGCGAAACAACGGCTGGCGCAATCTGAAACCCTTTCGTTTTCGTTTTCGTCTATTCCAATACACCAAAAATTCATACGAATTTGTAGCCGACCCGACCTGTGAGCTGCTGATTGCGGCCAGGGGTGACTGCTCGGTGCAGCCGTACATCAGGTTGATCTTTACAAGGTCCACCTAAAAGTGTAAGTGCGTAACAGAGGCCAAAAATGTAGGATGAACTCCTGCAAATCAGTATTAATAGCCAGTTCAACTCACCGGACTAAAATCGATGGCGCTCCCGATCACTGAGGTCATCTCCGAACGCTTGGCAACCTAAAAACTCTTTTTTAAACGTGTAAATTCCTCACCATCGTCTCGTACCCGTTTTTCGAAAAAGCCAAGCTATCATAGTGCATAATGGAATGGTAGTCGTAGGGTTGGCCGTAATACGAACTCTCGGCCAGATCCACCTTCCCAAATTGATCGTAGGCATCTGAATAAAAAATGGTTTTGCAAAACAGCAATTTCCTCCTACCCCTGTCGATATTGTGCCACAGGATCGAGATGTGCTGATCGCGATCCCATCGCTCGTGCTCGTGGTAGAACCCCACCGAGTGCATCAGCTCGTGGATGGCCGTGTCGTACTAAAAAAAGCTTTTTTAAAGCCTTCACGATACACCTGTAGACACCCATCATCCAGCGACAATTCTTGACGCCCACCCGCTCGCCCGACATCGGAAAAGCACCTAGGATAGCGTGGCAAATCGCGATGGGTTCACGTGGAACAAACCCGTCAATTTTTCCTATGTATAAATAGTCCTTGTCGAAGGCGCTTCTCGGCGAGAAGCGGATGCAGGTCCGCTTGTGGTACTCCTGGAATTTCATGTTGAGACCAAAACCAAAAATTGAGACCACCGACCTGAAAGCTTCTGGCCAAGACGGCACGCTCGCGCTCATTGTACTGGCTGGAGATGACGTACGGGATTCGGCCGGTCGGCCACTTTTTCACCCCGGAAATGACACCATTCCGGCGCGCGCCCTTTCGTTTTGTTTTCTGGAAGGCCGGCTGGTAAAAGTTGGTCATAACGTCTACTCGAAGGTGTTCAAAAAGCCGATATTTGCTGGTGTTTTTGGACGAGAAAACCGTTTTTCAAAGTCAAAAGCCTACCAAAAAATCAGAGCATTTTTAAGGTAGCGTTTTCAGCAAATCTAGCCATATTTTAATTGAAAAATTGAAGAATTAAATCGATATTTTGTACATTATTTTAATCAATAACTTTTCCCGTAATTAGGTGTAAGCCTAGTGGAAAACAATAATGATGAAGTTACCCATTTATATTGGGAAATCTGGGTACCCTAGGTACGTACCTCCCACGGCTTATTTTTTGCCATAACGATAGCCAACCGGCCCATTTTGTCATTTGCCAACTGGCGAGGCGACCCCTGGCAAAACCGCGATGGGCGATTGGCCCCGTCTAGCCGATGAACTTTGCGATCCGCTTGTAAATGCCGAGGGGAGAAGGGGGAACCGGTCTGGCCCGGGTGTTGGCATGGCGTAGGGAGGTTTTTCGGGGTCGAGACCTCGTCATCCATGCTAATATTAGGTGAGGGCAGACGTGGAAAAAAGCCCCGGGGATTATTTCTCAAATGCATGAAATAATTGTCGGTTAAATTGGAAGGGCGAAAACGGTATGACGGTCAGCCCGGGGACGGGCTTTTTTGTTTTTGTCTTTCCGGTTATGCCTATCTATTAATAATCAATAGGGTATTTTTATATTGATATTTTTACTTTTTAATTCTTAGAAAGTTGTAAAAATATTTAGACCATTTTAAAAATTCGAAAATTTCGAGATTTTGGTCATTTTTCATACATTTTTGCCCAAAAGGCGCCTAAAAAAGGTCGAAAATTATAGGGAGACCTTTTATATCTAAAAACAGGGTGAAAGGTTAAAAGAAACGGTCCATATTTTGTTAAAGGACCGTATAGGATTACTGGGAATTAGCCTCCCTTGGTAACCGTCCAGTACCTTTCTAATATATAATTAGAAACTTGAAAGCTCTAGAAAACCCACCAGGCGCCACGCGGCTTTCCCTCGGATATCGCCGCGATGAAATGGTTGCTGCGAAAGGGTCACGCTTGCTGGTACTAAAAAGAGAAAGAATTGGCGATCATCTCAACCCCTCACTTGTGGCATTCCGCAGCAAGTCGGCATTCGCAAAATCCTCGTCGGTGAGGAAGGTGACGTCATCTGGAATGACGGGTAAAAACATTGGCATTACGGGGGCAACCCGCAGAAGCCTGAGTCAGCTTGGCCCTTCCAAACAAACTTACCCGACCTGGCCTATCTAGGTAAAAAGGACAAACTACATTCTTGCAAAGCTTCAACTCAGCGTTCAGCAGCGTATTCTGTGAAACACTTGAAAAACCCGCTGCATACTTCCGCCCCTCTACCCAGCTCCCAATTTCGCATATGACTCCGCAGCGCCGCGCAACAATAGACGCATGTTTTCGCGCCGGAAACGAAGAAGTCTTGGGCGCGCGGGGAGGGTTCTCATGTTGCCATGCCAAGGGATCGGAGGCCCCCAGTCCGTCTGTGGATCAGAGTGCGGCCACAAACATCGACGCGTCCGCGCGCGCCTCTTCACGCGTGTGCGGGGGCAGCGCGTGGACACGCGTTTTTTACGCGCCCCCGGTGTGAGCTCATGGCCCCGGTGCACTTGAATGTGCCCTCACCCCCCCAGATGGCCCGGGAGTTTTTTCTGGCAAGCGGTGGGTGGTTTTGTGAAAGGTGACCGATACCAGTCCCTGATGATGCGCCGGGGTGTAGAGATGGTCAGGGTTCAGAAAGTGGCTCCTTACTGTTTCCGGAGGAGGCAGCAAATCATTTTTCTAAGGATCTGAGTTAGCGTCGGAAATCAAAAACAACACGTTTTTAAATTATTTTAAGCAAATTCAACGTTTCCAAAAGCTTGGAGTATTGAACAACATTTTTAACCCAGGAATACCATCGAAAAGCTTAGAAAATTCTAAATTTTAGGCAACTTCGGGCAAGATGAGGGTTTTATTTGAACTTTCTACTACAAGCCAATTTAAACACAAAATTTATAACGTTTTTATACACGTGAATAGTAAAGAAAACAACAAATACATTTTCTATTCCCACAAAAATGCAAGGCCTTTTCTGTAGATAAACCGGGCCGCCCGGAAAGTCTAAAAAACGTACCGTAAAGCCACCAAAAATTACGGCAAGCTAAATAAAAAAAATAGTCTAAAAGATGTAGTTCAAGAGCAAGTTCAAATAATCTACTCCCGAAAACCAACCTCCGAGCGGCCTCAAAAAGTCCTCCTCGGTGAGGTGGTCGGTGAGCGTGGCATGCGCACATCGTAGCGTGAGCAGTAGTGAGACAACGTGGAGCAGGCGGGCCGAAATGGGCATTATATGACCATCACCCCCGGCTGGCCAGCGTCCCACTATTCTGACGCCTGAAGGGTTTCGTTGAAACGGGCCATGAGTGAAAAATTGCGCTGTATATTAGAAAAAATTAAACTAAACAAAAATCATAAACAATTACTTTTTACTTTAGAAGAAGGTGAAGAAGAATAAGAAGAACAAGAAGAAGAACAAGACGAGGGAAGGAGGAAGCGGAATCAAAATGTTTAGACTAATTGGGACGCCGGTAGTGGCGTTTAGCTTTAGCTAAAATTATTTTGCCTGCGGGAACTACATGTTAGAGTTAATATAACAATTTAATTATTAAAACATAAAAAGTCGGCCAAAAATCTAGAGGACAGTATCGTCGGAAGCCAAATGGTCTGCCCTCGGAATGCCGACAATGGTATGCAAGTGCACCCATCCCTATTCTGGGCAGGAAGCAGAAGAGGTGGGAACATGGGCCCCTGTTCAGCACGATTAGCCGCCAAAAGGAAGCACCCGGACCGGTCGTTCAGTCTTCACCAGGGCCCGAACACCCATCCCCCCACAAATACCCATCGTCCCGCCTACCAACAACAAACAACATGCCCGAATTTATGATCAAAATAACTGTTGGTAACTACGTATTTGACGCTTAAAGGGGTCCCGCAATTTCGCGGAGGTCGCTTCGATTTGAAGGCCTGAGCTAACATTGGAGCTACGCGAGGGTTGTGGGAGACGCTTCGGAATCCTGACTAAACCTAGGCTAAAAACAAGGTTGCTTACGCTTAAATAGCGTTAAAATGACGAAATTTGAGATCATATATGGCTTTGATACTCTAGAGACTCTGGAATACGTAAATACATTCCTCGCTGCTAGAAAGACCAAACACTCCGTCGCTTAGGCTTAGGCTTAGGAAGTACTTGCATACCGTTCTCGGGATTCCGGCGCTCGAGGTCAACAAAATAGGAAAATCGTAAGTGAAAAGACGGCTATAGCCGGCAATATGGCGCAAATAAAAATTACGCAATTTCCTCACAGGAGAAGCTATAGTTCTGCGTAGCAGCCACCCTTAAAAATTTCGAGAAGAAAGAAGGAGAAGAAATCTTCGTCTAAAAACGTGACAAAAAGATATAACGAAAAAGGACAGGGTATCGAGCGTGGCGTCGCTGGCACTGATCGGCAACAATCCGGTGCACAATCATCAAGCTGGAGGCGGAATGGTGCAACGGGTGGCGGGGAGGGGACACCTGTCATAGAGCGACTGTGGGAAAGTGTGGAGAAGGGGCGGGAGAGGGCCCACAGGTTGATGCCGTCCCTCAACCACCACCAACACAGTGGCCGGTTCTGAAACCCGAGTAAATGGTGGGGGGGACGAGGAGGAGAGAAACGCGCCGACAGAAAGAGACACGCGGAAAGCCGCTCCCGCCCGCCAACGGAAGGCACCTCTTCGGTGGCCCCCGCCACACGGCCACGCTGAACCTAAGCCCCCGGCTGCGCTCCCCCCGTTGCACGCCATCGTCTGCCAAACGGCGCACGCATCGATCATCGGGAACGGACGGACGGTCTAGGCAAATTCGGCCCAATTCTCCGTGCGGGTTAGCGGAAATACGCCAACGAGATCGCGCATAGCAAATCAGAGGTTTCAAAATGGAAGGCTAACAAAACAAAACTCCTAGCCAAATTTTGAACCGTCTTCCCTATCTCGCTGGCCAGCCAAGGCCCTATTTTAAGCCCTACGCTGGCATTACCAGACTGCCAAAGAAAGAACCGGGTCAGACCCATCCATCCCGTTCACTTATTCACACTTCCTTTAGGGGCCCGTGTCCACAAAGCATCTAGCGTCGACCGCCAGTTGCTTCAAAAGACCCAACAAAGTTGCGTTTTTTTGGCCTACCCAAGAAGGCCCATGTTTGCCCCTGCCATACTACGGGACCCCACCGCATACCGCATGATTCAAGATGGCATCATCAATAGCGTGCATGTTGCTAACTGGTGTCACGGCAGGGCAAAACGGAAGGCCAGGCAGCAAAAAATTTTAAAAAAAGTTGCTGTTACGAATGACCTTAATTCCCGACAGGGTCTCGACAACGACTGCACCACCCGGGGGAAAGGTGAAAAAGCATTGACGATTACAAAAACGAGTAGTGAAACCAGTGTGGCGCGGGGTATCGGGGAACCGGTATCGTGTAGGTGGCGATATCAGGCCGCGGCTCTCGCTATGCTGTTGGTTGTCGCGTGTCTGTCAATCCGATTGGTGCCCCGCTATTGGGCTCTCGATCGCTGCCAATAAACGGGGTGCATGTTCCAACCGGCCCCTGAAGGCAGACTGTCTTGAAAACAAAGGAGTTCTCTGCTTCCTCAAATGCAAAAGCAAGGCGTGCCACTCTCACCACCAACTAGCAAATTTCGATGCAGTAGGTTCCAGCTTGACGTGTACATTTGAAAGTTTATTAACAGAAATACGGATAACAAAAAAACGTTGGGTAACCCTTACTCGACAACGACTTCATCGGCCTTGGATGCCCTTGTGTAAACTAGTTGAGCTCCGTGTTGCACGACACACTTGATCAGGCCCTTGGCTTGAAGTTCGCGTAGTCCAGCCTTGGCGAGTGATGCTCGGACCTTCAGACGTTCAGATACCGTCGAGGGAGTGATCAGCTTGGCGGTGGTGATCTGGAACAAAGGCGTGAATACGGGAACTGAATCTTGAATAATCTCGGGCAGATTCAATAAATAAGTTCGCTGCGCAGAAAACCGTTGAAATAAGCCATTCACAACCTCTTTCGTGATCAATAGTTTGCCAAAAACGTAATGATGCGCCAGCGCTCGGGCGTCAAAAGCGCTCCACGCCCATCTGAAGCAAAGTCAATTACTCACCTCCTTGTAAAGTTTATCATAAGTTGCTTGATCGAAGAGGACCATGTTGTTGAGCTTGTCCCTGACCTTTCCCTTGGACCACTTCTTCTTCTTGGCCTTGCCGCCTCCTCCATCCTTCTTCTTTGCTGGGGCCTTGCCGGCCTTGGTGTCCGCCTTCTTCGAGGTCTTTGGCGGCATTACTAAAAAGTCAAAGTTTGCCGCGAAATCTGGCGAAAAAAAGAATACGAAAACAAGAAAAACGACAAATTCAGCGAAAAACTAACTAAATGCGAGAAATTCGGAAAAATCGTCAGCTCGACCATCGACTACGAACGGCACCTGCGACGGCCTAAAGCCGCGGTCCGTTTGCAATGGTGTAGATAGTATTTCAGCGTAGAAACCTTTTCAAAAAGAAACTTCTAAAATAAATTTATTAAAACGCATGAAAATAAAATTCTTTGGGGTATATGTCGGCTACGCGGGGGAAAATTTACGCGGGGACGGACTTGAGGCCGAGTTACAGTTTTTCGTTTATTTTGCACAAACAAAACTCTAGTATATTTTTCGACGCCTGTCGAATGGCACTAAAAAATTTTGTAAAAATGTCGAAAATGTCGAAAACTTGATTTTCTGCCATGTCTTCCATGGAAACAACGTTTGATACTTGTTTTTGTTATAACTATTTTATATTACATTATTTTGAGCTAAAATTAAACTCTTAGTATATTTTGATGCTCTATCAAATGGCATCTTTAAAAACGAAAAATGCGCGAAGTCAAACAGCCGCTCAAACCGATTTTCAAAGCATTTTTGTATTTGCCATAACTTTTTTATATTACAATAATTTGCGCAAAAAAACTCTTAGTATATTTTCGGTGCTCTATCGAATGCCTTGCAAAATTCCGAGAAATAACAACACCAACAGCCTGCCTGTCCGTCCCCCCCGCGTAAAATTTCCCGCGTACCGACATTACCATTCTTTGGATATGAAAAGGAAAATATTTTTTATTCTAGGAGGATGCTACGCAGCTGTCGCGATCTAAACCGCTTGTGTCGCGTTTGGATGCAGGTATGCTCCCTACGCTCATCCAGAATTTTATTTTAGAACCAAAGACAACTAAGCCTTCAAGAATACCAAAGTAAAAGCATATTGGCCAAACACGGGTGCGTCGTCCAAACGTTCATCGTCGCCGATTCAAAGGAAGATGCGGAGAAGAAGCTGAATGGAAGGCATTTCGGTTTGAAGCGGCTACAGTAGTAGTTTAATTTTGGAGTTTCAGATGAATACGTTGTCAAGGCGCAGATCCTGGCTGGTGGTCGTGGGAAAGGGCGATTTATTGGAGGCCCGAAGGATCTTGGAGGCGTTTACATCTCAAACGAGTAGGGCATGCTGTTGCTTGCTTTATTTTTTAGCAAAAAAGACGCATTGAACTCGATCCCTGAAATGGTGGGCCGGCATCTCGTCACAAAGCAAACTTCAAAGAAAGGAGCCCTTGTTGACAAGGTGGGAGTTGACATTGATATAATCCTTGAATTCAGGTTATGGTTGCCGAGGGTGTTACGATTGTGCGTGAAACATATCTTGCCGTACTATTGGACCGTGACAGTAATGGACCGGTTTGTTCATTTTGAATTTTTTGAACTATTTTTTCAGGTGATTGTTGCAAGCCCGGCTGGTGGCATGGATATCGAAGAGGTTGCAGAAAAACAGCCGGAGTTAATTTTCAAGGTGAATTCGCCAAGCTTTGTATATTGGTTTCAGGAGGTCATTGACATTACAAAAGGCATCGCCCGAGAACAGTCCATGCGGCTGGCGAAGAATCTGAATTTTGAGGGAAAATTGGCTGAATCGGTGAGGCCGCATTGGAATGAATAACATTTTATTTGCAGGCCGCCGATCAAATTGAACGTTTGTACCAGCTATGTTTGGCGGTGGACGCCACGCAAGTGGAAATCAATCCATTTGTTGAAACTTCCGATGGAAAAGGTATAGCTTACCGCTCTTCTTGGAAGTCTGTCTTTAGTGTATTGTGTTGATGCCAAGATGAACTTTGACGACAGCGCGCAGTTTAGACAGAAGGAGATTTTCGAGATGGGTGACCGTTCAGACATGGTAATTTTTTTAGCTTGGTTAGGGCTTGATAGCCTGGAGGCATCAAGTTAACGATTTGCTATCCGAATATCCAAATTAATTTTATCAAAAATTAGAAATCCTAATTTTCCCGGTGTCGAGAATGCATCGACCAGATCTGCTTCTAGTGGCCGCGCAACAGCTTCGTCATTTTCAAAATTTCGAAAAATTTAATTATCGCAAAAGCGGAATAATCCCAAATTTACTCACTTTTTCAGGACCAACGCGAGATCGAAGCCGACCAATATAACTTGAACTACATTCCAATGCAAGGGAACATCGGCTGTCTTGGTAAAAACGTTTTATTCAGCCCAAAATCTGCGTTTAGTAAATGGGGCGGGGCTAGCGATGGCGACCATGGACATCATCAAGCTCAACGGTGGCGAGCCAGCGAATTTCCTCGACGTTGGAGGAGCCGTGACTGAAGAGGGGGTCTTCCACGCGTTCAGGATTATCACGTCTGACCCGCAGGTAATGTTTCTGGCATACCTTGGCCTTTTGTGGAGGGATAAGCGCGTCGTCTTCAAGTTCTAATAAGATTTCCATATCCTCACCTGTACGCTGCCTTCTTCCTCCCCATCGACCTGTTATCAATTTGCATGCGCGTGTCCGCAATTTGTCGTCGACAACCCAATTGGAACGTTGCCACGAATGCGGTGAGATGATAGGGTCACCTTGTCACCAACACGCGCATTCCGGGGATTAGGAGCGGGGATGTCGCCATTCGTCTGGGTTGGGTGAGAGGGTTCTCGGCCAATGAAGAGGCTAGTTTTCAAATGAAGAAGAATTTAGAGCATGGCTTAGGCATCTATCGGAAGTAGTTTTTAAGTTAGAAAATTAGAGCCTAAATAAAGAATTAGGAGCGATATTCCGACCGTTTTCCATACCAGAAAAATTATTCAGGGCCAGTTTCCGCTAGAACTTGTTTTGGACCCTGTAGACGCTCAAAAGTGATTTTGCTCAACGCATTGCCCCCGTTCCCTTCTAGCACCATGATCTACCCAAGGCTCCCCCGCGATTGCGCATTCGTCTAGTTGGTGATATTGGCAATTAGCCAGTCTAGGCGATCGTGCCCTCACGAGACCTGCGGTGACCCGGGCGAGTTGCGCAACACACTCCTCTTGGAGTCGGCGGTGGCGCAACTGGGCTGCTACCTCCCCCCTACCCACTCACTAGGTCACCCATCAGCCCTACCCGATCACATGTCAGCCGATTGACCGCATTGGTGCATCCCCCACCCCAATGCCCCGCACTTCCGGTCACTACTTACGGATTACGGCCTCACCCCTTGTGATGTGCCGCCGCCCCGGCTGAATGGCCCGGCGGAAATGAGGTGGAGTATGAGCTGGGGCTTGGAGCATGGTCATTGAGGAGTTATCTGGCTAGTCTTTTCGTCTCAATAGTTTTACGGTTAACGGAGTAAAATTTAGCTAAATTTCAAGGTAGGAAATTATCTAGGACGTAGAAAAAGTTCTATTTTGGTCAAAATCGACCGTTTTAGGTTGAAAAATCTAGATATTTTTTTGTAATGATTCATCATAATCAGTCAGGCGTCATTCTTACAAATTGAAAATAACATAGATATCCTTCCCTATGTACAGTTCAGTATTAAACAGTTGGATCATAAGGAAGAAGATCTTCCATCTGATATTAGGAAGAAACCGAAGTGAGCTTCGAATGAAAACAGGTTCCTAAAACCCTTTTTTGTTCCTAGTTTACTACACCACAAACCTCCGCGCTTTCAGACGTACTTCCACTTTTGGACCGTACAATACCCCAGAGCAACCCAATAGCCGACCACCCATGGGGGATTATCATCGGGCACCCCCGGTCGACAAATTTGCATAAGCTACTTGGGCTGGCGAGCAATCATCAACTTTGCCCGGGTCTCCGAGCTACGGCTGGGGATTAATCAAGTGGATCCTTACGGCTACCTTGTCCACGGGCCTTCGAAAGGGTTGAACGAGTGTTCGACAAAAATAGATAATCCTGTAATTTAGGTAAAATGCGTGCTAGTCAACATCTTCGGCGGCATCGTGAACTGCGCGACGATAGCCCGTGGCATCATTGCCGCCAGCCAGCGTATTAAGCTCACCGTACCACTTGTCGTCAGGCTGGAAGGTAATTTTGGGTGTCACGGGTCTTGTGGTCCTAAATTTCTGCGGTACTGGACTGTTAGCAGGGGGAAACGAATTTTTCCCAGGAATCCTGTACTGTCCTATAAAAAGATATAAAAGAGATTAAAACCAATTTTGCATTTTAGGCAATTTTTAGTTACAAAAGGCTCCTGAAAACCAATAACAATTTTTGCAAACTTTTTTACTTTTAGGCAAAAAATGTATAAAAAATGCCGAAAAATGGTAAAAATTTTATACTTTTCCAAAGTTCCAACTGATTTTTTATAACTTTTCGGCAATCAAAAACTAAGACAACCATTATAAAACCAAAGAGCTGTTTTTCCCCCTGCTAACAGTCCAGCACCGGCAATTTTTGGGTGCATTTCGACCAAAATTCTTGCTCCGAATCCCCGGGGTCTCACGGGTGGGCTGCCCGCAATTCGTCAGCTCGCACCATTTAGGCCCGCTGATCACGTGGGGTGCCCCCTCGGGGCGAATATTGGTAGACGGGGCCCCCGCGCGCTCACAGCCCATTCGTCCCCGTCCCGGGCCACCTCCCGTTTTCCACAATTAGCGGAGACAGCCGCGCTGGCTAGGGTGGAACGAACGGGACTTGGTGCCAGGGTATCCGCCGGGACGGGACTCCTCCTCCACCCTCACCGGGATCGATCGACGGGGTACCCGCAAGTCTCTCTCTCTCTCTCTCTCTCTCTCTCTCTCACTCTCTCCAGGGTGCTTAGGGTATTGGGGGCGGGACTATTGGACGGGGTGCCAGGGCGCGGCTCGCTCCTTACGCCCCCACACCACTAGCCGCACCACTTGCCTCCCGGCTGCGCCCCGTGTTCCTCGCTGTTCCGTATTCCCGACCGCTGGCTACTGTACCCCATGCCCCGTCACCCTTTGGCCCTCACGGTTGATGCCGTTCGTGTGCACCTCTGCAGGATTGTACCCGTAATGCGCATCGACTGCGAGGCGAAGGCTACACCCTGACTCTCACCTTACACCCCCTAAATTTAGGCACCAATGTCGATGAGGCCCGCAAACTTATCGCCGACAGTGGCCTGCCCGTCATCTCGGCCCACGATCTCAATGAAGCTGCCAGCAAGGCCGTCGCGGCGATCTCGTGAAACAACCTACCAATGTCCAACCCTTTTTTGTGTGCCTAGGATAGTATAGTTTTGGATTTGCGTTGTTGTTACTGTTGAAGTATTTTGCCTGCTAATAAAGTCTTGAATGTGACGGGTGAAGTTCGGTAGACGATTTACAAGTCAACAATACCTTCGAAATATGCAAAAATAAGTGAGCAAGATGATGAGGGGGCACAACATGGGAAAGACGTGGGAATGTAAGGCGAGATCGGGGAGTGAGCATGCGGGATTAGTTAGCGGGGACCGGGCTTTTGCTGGCAAAATCTGGCTTGAACGGGGAGAGTTGGTTGGAAAGGCGCGGTTTCTAAAGTACCAGAATTTAATAGATAATCTTTAAACGCTACCTTTGCTGGCTTGGTGCCGGGGAGCTCGATATTTTCCGCATCGTGCATGGCTTTCTCCTTTCTGTAGTAGCACATGCGACAACACGCCGAATATTCCTTCTTGCCGCCAATGAGGACTTCCTTCAAGGTCACATTGGTCAGCAATAAAAGTGAAAGACCCACCTCAACGTCGCTGGCCTCTCGGAAAGTAAACGTCGCATCAACGCCGCAATCGCAAACGGCAGTCAGAAAATGGTGCTCGTTGGCGTATGCGATGAGTAGCGACACTTGCTCGAATGGCTATACGGGCTTGGAAGATAGCGTCGAAGAAAGCCGTACCTTTCGATCGAAACGAGCATTCAGTGCCGCGACGATGACGATCTTGCCGTTCTTCGCCAACCGTTCCGAGGTTTCGGCAAGGTCAGGGTACTAAGAAAATCGTCTACCTTTGAAAAAATGGCCTACAAATTGTCCCTCGTCGATCCCGATCACATCCACATCGGGACTGAAAATCCGAGGGGCGACGTCTGCCAGCCGATCTGCCTTGTACGTTTGACAGCTCCCTTTTTTCCTATAAATGATATGCAATAACAGTGTTTGGCGCTTACGAGTCATGCGTGATGACGCTCTCATCATCGTAGCGCGTGTCGGCCTTGTACTTGATCAGTACGCAGCGCTTCCCGGCGAGTTCTTGCCTTTGGACGAGTCGCAGCAACTCTGTCCTAAAATAGATACTTGACCGCAAATTTCGCAAAGTGCACTCACGTTTTTCCAGAATACATAGGGCCGTAGATTAAAGCGATGGAGCCAGGTTGGCTCAAGGGTTTGCTCATCATGCTAAAATTGTTGTGATTTGTTCGAATATTTAAAAAAAAATGGGCCTATTGGGACAGGGAAGCTAGCGTAAAGAGAGGAGGGGGCTGTTTTCGGGGTAGCCGCGAGGTGGCCAGGCCTTTGGAGAGAAAAAGACTAAAAGAAACGATGTGCACGGGTAAATAAAGGCCGGTGTTGAAATCGTGGATGTAATTTAGGGGTGCGAGACGGTGGACTATACAGTTTTAGGCGTGATTTGAACTCGCCCTCATATTCCCGCCGAAAGACAGGGGTCACCGCCCCGTTGACCCGGCGTAAAAATTATGGCCGGCTGTGACAGCCACAGGCGACAATCGGGTGAAGACGGGGTGGAAATGAGCAAAAAAGAGGTGTGAGACGCAGTCTTTTGTGATCTTCTAAAGACTATTTTTCAAAATTGTCGGTCTTGAAAATACCATTCGATAGTGCGTCGAAAAATATGCGAATACTGCTGTAATTTTGTTTATTTTGAAAAGATTTTTGAGATCGCGTAGTCGCGAAATTTAGGTGTAAACTTTTTGTTGTTATTGTTGTTTTTATTTACACTTCACCGGTTCCGCTACAATACGCAAACCAGAAGGTTTTTGAATTCCCTGAGTCACGCAGCTTCTCTTCTCCCGCGCCATCTGCGTCTCGTCTCCTGGCGCTTTCCCTCTGAAACGGAATTCCACTGCCATTTGCCAGTCTTTTCAGAAGCTGTTTTCCATCTTTTTCTTGGAAACTTTAATTCCAGTAATACCTCCCTTTTTAGGAACTTCTACTTGGCAGCGCTCGACAGTTCATGACATTCCACTCGAATCGGCAAAGGAGCAACAGCGAAAGATAAGATTCTTTTCTATATCCTATCTTTGATTTTTAAGGCTGTTCTGGTGGACAATATGCAAGTTCCTCACCGGCTCCTCGTCGCCGGAGGTGATGGCCATTACGCCGCTGCGTCGTTCCCAAAGGTATTTTCTACCTTGCTAAATTGAGTTCATGTTGGTTTTAGGAGATTCTACTCGACCAAATGCCGTGGCTGCCGGCGCAAAACGTCCCCGAATTCGCCGCGATACCCGACCAGTTGACGCTACGCGATAGCATTTATGCCAGTGACAAGGCTACACCAAGGGCGGAACGCGAGGAATGCGCTGAAGAGAACCCGGCCAGGTTTCTTTTTAGATTTAAAAGTTTTATTTTGCCTTAACTAACGCTTTTACGCTTGGAAATATGCAAAATATTCAATTATTAGTTTTAGCTGCCGCTCCATTTCCTCCGTGGCCATCGAGGACAACCCTTTGCAAGAATTGAAGGTGATGCGCCGTCAACTCAGTAAGAAGCTTATGGTCTTCCCAACCAATGTTTAGGTCGCCTGAGCCAACGCATTGAAGAGCTGGAACGTGACATGTTCGAATCGAAGGGCCAGGAGATGTTGCGGTAAGCTCTTTCCCGAAATCTATTAAACTATTGCTATAGTTATAGTTTCGCCTTCACATCGACGGCGCTGGGCGTGATCCTGCTCATGATGGCTTGGCGCAAATGATCCGCCGACTACTCGAATAGTTTTTTCGGTTGCATCATGATCTCGTTTCTCAAATCCCGCCAATTAGCTCTTCGCCCTCATAGTGTGTATTTTATTTTTTCTTTACTGGCGCTCTCCTCTCTGCCCGGTTGTACTTTCATGCAGTGTATTGCTGTACATATGAGACTTTTTTATACGCAATTAAAGCTTAGAAATCGGATCGGTGACATGCAGATGAAAGCTGATATTTTGATTAGTTGAGATCGTGTGGGTTGAATGGCCGGCGCGAATCGCATTCTCTAGTCTGCGGCCTACTGAGCAAAATCTTCGTAATAATCGTCGTGGGTATGGCCGGGTGGTGCGTCAAAGTTTTCGTCTGAAATTGTTTGGCTATAGATCACGGATACCTACCAGTGCATAGGTTCATGAAGAAGGTGGCATGCGGCGAGTACGTCAGCAACTGACGGTCGTACATCGGGGCGAACAGCATGCAGCCCCGCGTCGCGGGGACCCAGTTGATAGCTGAGCAGACGCGGGCACGTCTCCACCTTGCCCGCAAGCACTCACTTTGACATTCTTCTGAAAGAGGCGTAGGATTGCCTTGGCTTCACTTGCTTCGGGTGATAATTCGGCGCTAGAAATTTTACGGGGGACTGAAGCCGATTTTCTATTGCGCTTATCCATGTCAAAAACGTGTCTCTTTAGATTATTCGCAAGTTTCAGATCGCAAAAGTGTATTAAAAATGCAGGTTTCGAGATTTTTAGTAAATTTTACAAAATTTTGTTAGTAAACTAGGTTTTTTTTGAGGTTTGAAGAAGATTCTATTGATATTTGCATTTGAAAAACAGCTTCTTAAGACGGTGCGCTAGGTTAAACTTGGTTTTAGTCCCCTGCTGCTGCTACCTTGTGAGCCTCTTCTTACCCAGACTATCAACGTTCGACACGATTGACGCGTCAAGCTCTGCAAGCATGGTGTGTACGATGGGCGTCATACATCTCGAGAGCACCTTCAGAGACAACGGCGTCTTTTCTGCAGGGTGACAATTTGTATTTTCTCAAGCTCCACCTACCGGCCGCTTGTGCTGGGGGTGGCGGGCAGACATTCTCGTAGTAATCCATATTTCGCGAGGGCAACAAGGTGACATTCGCCAGGGTAGCACTGCCTCCGCTTTGGATACAAATCTGGGCACTTTGGTTTGACTTTTTTGCATGGGATACCTTTCTGGTAGCGTCAAAATTGACGCTGGCACAGAAGAAGTCGGTGGAATACAGGCATGAGATGAGGCAATCTCTGGTATCGCGGTGTTTCTTCAATAATCTTAATACTTACCGCAATTGTGTCGCGTTGGTCGTCTTCTGCTCGAAGCCGGCCAGAGCTCGTCGGCTGAATTTCAGGAAGCAGGGCGCATCGGCAAGTTCTGTGAACGCGAATATGTGAAATTTGAAGCTTTTGAATTTTTTAGGGCACCCACAAGATGGTTACCGTCGGAAAAGCTCACCTCTTCCGGTCAAAGTTGGTGCGCGGGTAGGGATGGGGTTGATCGTTGCTCGGAAGTCGGGACTGACGACCGCCGCCGTTCTTTGGCTCACGAGTGGATCGGAATCGACCATGTGCTCCGATTCGAGACTCGTCGCCGGCACGGGCGTCGGGGCTGCTGAAATTTATGTGTATTTAGTGTATCTTAGCCTTAGCTTGAGTAGAACCGAAAGTTTTCCCGGCCTTTGGTCAGTCAGGAATTCGATTCTGGATCGTTAGCGGGGGCGGGGGGGTAGTAGGGAGAAAATTAAGCATTTGGCGCTCCTTTTAGACAGAAACGCTCATCAAAAATTATTAAACTTTCGTAAAAATGTGACATTTTTCGTCAATTCTATGAAAAAAGCAAACAATTTCGAAAATGTCCAATTTACAACTGTCAAGAACTTCACGGACCAAAATTCCGCGAATTTTTATATCTAAAATTCCCACCTCGATTTTCCGGTCGATAATAGTGCCTTGTGACGGGTCCCGGGCGGATGGGGCGCATAGCCGGCACTATAAAATTACTAGAAACAACTTTTATGATTAAGAATACCTATAGCCTCGAAAAACACGGGCGCTCGTGTAGGCGGCGCCTGGCTGTCGGGTACCAAAAGCACCGAGCCGCGAACCTGGGAAAGTGCTTAATTTTTACAATTTTAGAAAAACTTGCATTCCGCTGCCGCTCGGCGTGGATGTTCCGAAAAACCACGGCCCCGTTGATTACCTAGAAAAAGCGTGAGCCTAAGAAAAGGAAAAACCTGGCGCTCGTATGGGCGGATCGCCCGGGCGCGTGGAGCCTGATTTATCGAGCTAGAGAGTTCACTGCAAGTTTGTATTCAAACTTTAGAAATTACTGGTTTCTACTACTAAAAAAAACGCACCGGCTCTGTGTTCTCGGCTTTTCGAATGACAACAACGACGCCCCTCGGACCTGAACGACTTTTAAGCCCTAAAAACTTCACAAACTTTTGGCGCCCTATAAAATTGGTCCTGCTTGGCGAAAAAGTTGGTGGGCGCGCGGTCGGCACTCGAGCTCCAGATATTGTTGACGAGGGCTAAACCAAGTAATTTTGTTTTGCGCCTATAGCTGTTAATAATAAATAGTGTCTTTTTAGATCTTTAGTAGTTTTTGATTGCTAGCAAGTTATATAAAATTTAAAATATTTTAAAAATTAAAAAAAAAATTGACCTTTCTTGGTCGTTTCATACATTTTTGTACAAACACTCAAAAATTCTAACAGTCCAGTACAAGATTTTCTTTCCCTCGCCATTTTTTGGTCAAATAAACTCGATCGAGACATCGGGAGGGTATAAAAAAGCTTGCAAGTGCGCCGCGGAACTGCAGAGCGGAACGGTAGATGGCAATCGCAAAGCCGTGAAGGGGCACCTGTTCGGTTTAGCGGCGACGTGACGACGATTGGGTGAATCGGTTGCATGTTCGCGTTAACGTCGCCGAGCGGTGAAGCCGATGGACTCGGGATTGGGCTTCTTGGTGATGGGGTTGACTAAATTATATTCACAAACTTCCAAGGGCTTACCCTTGAGACTGGCTCTTCAACAAATGCTCGAGTGGTTGGGGCGCTAGGAGTTGTCAGCGCAAAGCTGAAGCTGATAAAAATAGGAATAAAATAGAAAGCATACACTTTGGCCCGCCGCCGCTTGCCGAAAACGTTGTGCGCTGGGGTGGTGAACACAGGGTCCGCCTTAACCGAAGTTGATTAAATAAAAAAGATACGCTACTGTTGCCCGGGTCTGCTTCGTCAATTGGGCGGTGCCGGATGTGAAGGGCTGGGTGACAAGGCTGTAAACACGGTTTAACTTTAATTTATACGACTACCCGGTCTTGTCATCGACGGCAAATTCTGAATCCCTGACGCGCATCGTCGTTCGGCCAAATTCCTTATCGGTCGCAAATTCGGCCGTCTCGGAGGGGTTCTCGTCGTCGAGCACCCGTCGTACCACACGAACTTTGCCATTTGTGCAAAGATTCTCGTAGAAGTCGACCTCGAGTTTGGGGGCCACTCGGAAGCTGGCCGGACGGTCGTCTCTAAATTCAGGAGATCCTTGGCAATTTTGTGGACTCCTCAATTTCCGATCGATACTATTCCAACTGGTTTTCTCGATCCTTGAAAACCGCACTTTGAATGTCGACTGAGGACACAGTCTCCAGTGTCGCGCCGCCACATAACCGAGCGGCACTTCAACAGCTTCAGATTGTCCGCCTGAAAAACCAATAAATCTTTTACCAATTAAAAAACTACATTTTAGGTTGGAAACTCGATTTTTTTTTCCAACCCACAGGTTAAACGTTCGACTTTTTCAGCAATTTTCTAAGTTTTTAAAAAGTTCGAAGTTAAATTAGTCAAATTGTTAAGTTAAAGTTAAGTTCTTGGGTGCGTAGAAAAAAATTCTGCCCCGGCGACTACCCCATTACTATCATTTTCCATGCCAAATCGGTTATCATTGTTCCATGCCCTGCATCTAGGAACCCGGACGGTTGCAAATGGCAAGCAAAACCTGTTCCCCAGAATCGCCACCGAAAAAGCATGCGCGGTTCGTTATTGCAGTTTTTCCGGGTATTGCCGGCAAAATATGGAGCCGATTGTCGGCTTGCCAATTGCTCCGTTTTTGATTGTTTCTACACCCGCGGGGAGCATCAACAGAACCGCGGCTGCGGAAAACAGCATAAGAAAGTAGAGGGTAGCGCGCTGCCCTCGGGCCCCTGTAATCCCGAGCCGAGATTCCGGTTCTGCCCTAGCCGCACCACATTGGTTTGTTTTTTTCCGCCGCCTCAGCGAAAGTCATAATCCCGGGGAACCGTGAAGCCAAGGTCATGGGATTTTGCTCTACTTCATGGTTATGCTTTAGGGCAGATTTTAGTTTTTGTCGATAATAAATGCGGAAATTTGTTTTTCGAAGTTTCATTTTTTCAAAGGTCAGGATAAAATTTCAGCCAAAGCAAATTTCGAAAAAAAGCCGTTAAATCGATGGGTGACTTTTCCAAATTTCGGTAACGAACGACTACAACGACGACAAGAGGGGAAAAATGTCTCACCTGGAGACATCGATCCAGGCACGCATCGACCGTCGACAAATTGCCTATGGTCATCGTGCCCGACTTCTGGAGGTAGTGGTTTGTGAATAGCAAAAAGCAGGAGAAGACATCGGAGGTGGCAGATACACTGAATTGTTACTTATGATGTTCTTCATAGTTTTTTATTGATAAAAGTTATGAAACGTACCTTTAAAAATTTAAAAATTCTGAAAATGTTGAGCTTTTTTTCGTTTTTCATACATTTTGCAACACAAAGTAAAAATTTTTGCGAAGATCCTATAATTTTTATAGAAGATCTCTATATCTATGAAATTGTATAAAATACTATGAAAAAGTTTTAGATTTACGGGATTACTTGCAAAATTTGGTTTCCGCTCTAACCCCCGCTAAGAATCCAGTACCGCCGCTCAAATCCAAACCAACCTAATAACCAGCCCAACAAACAATACCAGTAGCGCTCGAGGGTTGTTGGTGCTGCTCGGGTTCATGTCATGTATGGGGGTTGTGAAGCGGCTATGCCAAGTAGGGGGGTGTCACTTGGCAGCCCTTTTCCTCCCCCAAGACGAGCTCACCCTCCCTCCAATTCACTCTCATTCGTTTCGCCTGCTCTTTTTCCCTCCTCGACCCCCCACGTGTACGGTCTCACCGACAAACATGGGCCGAGAAAGTCGGCAGCTCGGCTTTTCCCCTCTCGTTAATTGCCGACGGCCGCGCAAATCGCCCCCAAAGAACGGCCTGCGCTAATGAGGAAAAGCTACATGCGCATCGCACACGGCTCGTTCCTTTCCGAAACTTGCGGTACATGATTAACCAATCACCTGCGGATGGAATAGGTAGCCCGACATGAACTGCCAACCTCAAAAAAGCACCATAGAAATTTATAGATATCAGAAACTCGATAAAGGTATACAACATGCTCATTATTGATGGGGGACAAGAGACAACAATACCCGCTTTAAGAAAATACCAGTAATCGCTAACAGAGAGGGAAAAGGTGGTCAAACTTTGAGGGTCATAAATTTAGGAGGGTAGTGAGCGCAAGGAAGGAGGCTGCGAGTAGTTGGTGAAGGCGGACACGGTGTCGATCCAGTGTTTCAACGTGGCTCGAAGCAAGGGCAGCGCATCGGCCGGAACTCGCGAGGCGTTGCAGCGGCTCAGGCAGAGCTCGGCCTGAAAAAATAATTTTTTTACAATTTTCCTCGTCTATATGGGGACGGAAACGAACTTTTCCTGGTCTCCCGTGGGTCCAATAATCAAATATAGACTCCACTATATTGGTTTTATAAACTTGCACACTGTCTTTAGGTATAAAAAGCTTTTAAAAACGTTAAATTCTTTGAATTGTTAGACGGAATTCTAGAAAATCCTCCTATCCTATAAGCGAGAAAAGTATGTGTGTTTTCTGTGCAGACGATTTCTCGGCCGTCAGGCCGAATTTCCGGCTGATTTTTGGCAGGGAGGTGGAGAAACACATTTGCCAGACACGCATTTTTTTGTTTTGCGAAATTCTTCCATTTCGCAATTTTACAAGCAAAATAGTAAAAATCCTTAACAAAACGGGCGGCGAGCCGTGGTGTTCGGGCGATAACTCGAAGCCCAGATGGAATTTCGGGCTGAAATTTGGACCACTTATGTATTCGATGGTGGGGATCATGCGCATCTCATTATTTTTACAAATTTTCGGCGCATTCAGACTAAAAATGTTAATTTTGTAAAGTTACCAGAATAACCCCGACCGGGCGTGGCCGACCCCCCAGGGCAGAAGAGGCCTTTCCCGCCACCCGTCCCAATGCCCCCGTTGGTATAGTGGCTTGGCGCCCGGTCTACCACCCCCATAGTCGAAGGTTCGGATCCTCGGCAAATTTACCTTTTTGCTTTTTGATATTTCAAAATCAAAACTTATTTCCGGACTCTCGGTATCCGAAATTTAGGCCAGGCCCTGGCTCTCGCGCCGCAGGCCAAATGCTAAAGAAAAACAAGTAGCTAGCGCCGCAGGCCAGAGAATGGTTCCTAAAGTCAGGCTCTTGCGCCGCAGGCTTGAAAAACGGAAGGAGGTTATATGGTTCCTAGACGGGGGCCAGTGGAAAAGGGCCGCGAAGCGGACATTTTCCACTGGTTAGCAATAAATGAAATTTTAAAATGTCAAATATAAAAAAATATATAAAATTGATACCTTTTCGTAATATGGTCGCAAGTTAGACATCACTTGGTGCACTAACCCATAGTCGGCGCGGGTGCAAATATCGACCACCATGCGCGCCAGAAGGAAGATTTCCATGGCGCAGTGGGAGGTCGACTCGAACGTCAAATCGGCGCCCAGCGTCGTCAGATCCGCCAGGAAATTTGAAGCCGAGGCACCTAGGGTAGGGGAGTGTGAGCTCGCAAATAATAGCTTTACCTTCACCCAATTCTCCACAAAGCCATCGGTCCAGTGTTGCGAATCGCGGATGGAGAAGACTAAAAGATCGTTGAATGGCCTTACAAGGAGTCGTTTTTAGCCGAAAATAGCGTTTTTTATGTTTTATAACTCCATCGACAGCCTTAAAATTCTGAACAGGCCGCTCAAAAACTGCTCTCGGCCACGGTCGTTTAAAAAAACTAAGATTTTGAAAAAAAAAACTATTAAAAAGACTCACCCGTTGAAGATTCGTATTCTATCGATATTCACTGGGTTTCGGTAGGAGAAGCGGGAGACCAGCGATTTTACCACCAGCGACAGCTCAGGAGAGCCCTAAAAACTGGGAGTTGACTGCGACTTCCGGCCTTACCACAAGCTTGCCCTGCACCACATCCACTTCGGTCACATTCAGCTGGTAGAAGGCGCGCAATTCCGAATCCCATAAGCCCTGTAGTTCAGCAGGTGGCATCGGGGACCAGTCGAAATCCGGGATCTTGGCTGACAGGATCGTGACAGGTTTTGAAACCTGTCGAAAGGCATTGATTAAAGCTAGCTACGGGACCTGTTCTGGCAAGAGTACTCGTATATTTTTGCGTCCGTTCCACTGGTCGTCTTTTAGGATCGCAAGCAACAGTTCAGCAGCCTCGTTCAGACGGACAAAGCAAAGGGCCTCGAAGATGGATTTTGGGTCCCTAAAAAGGTAAAAATAAAAAAAGGAAAATTTAGAGCCTTCGGCCAATAGCATATCCTCCTTACCTTTCCGCTATCAGAAAATCGAGCACTTTCTGTCCTCGTTCCAGCTTCACCTCGGGTGTCATCTCCTGAATTTCAGTGTCTTTCATAAAGCATGGAACATACCTGGCTTAATTGCAACAACAGGAAAATCGTTCGGACAACTTTACACAGTTGTGCCGTCGTCGGCTCAACTTGCTGGACGAGAAGCGAGAAGAGGGTTCTAAAACCAGCTACAATGAAATAAAACATTAACCAAACCGATAAACACAATCAAAGAGGGCGCCGTCGTTGTCGAGTTGATGTAGCCCTTGTATCAGGTTGATCTCGGCCTAATCAATGATATACAAGAAGCAATTGACGCAACTTACCCCGGCTCTAATCGGCACTTGTTGATATTCCAAGCCACGGCTCAAAGCCGCATCCACGACCCGCCACAGGTTTCCGACGTCGTATATTTCGAAGGCCTAAAACGGGAAGATGGAGATAAAAATAGCGGTACTACCTTTGTTGCAATATTGGCGACTTCCGAGGCATCCAGTTTCCCGACAACTTCATCCAACTCAACGTCCAGTTTTCGCGAAGCGTCTTCGATGGTTTTCCCACGTAATATCTGAAAATGCGGTGAGAAAGTAAATGAAAGTACGTACTTCTCGGAAATATTCATCGACTTGCGAGCGCAGTCCGCCTCCACTAGACTTGAGCTTCTTGTTGACAGGTACTATATCCGGGACTGAATCCAGCAACTGTGTTCTTTTTGTGCCACGCTTTTGATCCGTGGGAAGAGCCGCGATGACAGGCAGGGCGACAGCAGGGCTAACCTTGCCAATAGGAACTTTTGGAGGTGCCTTTATGGGCTGTTTCTTCTCTTCTTTAGGTGGCCGGCTTCTCGTCCCCTTCAGCGAAGCGAGGCGCAACAGTTTCGGATTCGGTACCACCATCGGTTTAGCAGTGGTTGTCGGCCTTGCACTCACGGACTTTGCGCGGGCTGGCGTAGCTCTGGGCCTGGCTTTCGGGAGCGCAGTCGACTTGACCACCGCCGGCGCTTTCGCAGATGCTTGAAGTGTAGACGGCTTTGGTGATGCAGGCGGTTCAGGTGTAGAGGGGCTTGTTGCGCTCGGCGACTCCTGGCCCTCGGTTTCGTCGATCTGGAGAGCCGTTTCATCGTCCGAATCCGAAGAACGAGTGACAGGTGTTGTGGACGGGGTTGGCGTTTCACTGCCGATATTTTGGCGAGTCCTGCCACGGGACGGCCGCTCCGCTGGCGCTTCCGCCTCCTTGATGGCAGGTTGAGCCTTGTGAGGGCGGTCTCCTGAAAATTTGAAATTGTCATGGGCGTGCAAAAGCAAGCCTAGAAAATCTAGGCCCTGGCGATAAAAAAGCTAGAATATTAAAAACACACCGGACGCCTTTTTGGCTACGTTGGAACTGGGCGTCTTGGAAGAAGCCGCCGTAATTTTCGGAACTTCGGCAGACGGTTCGCTCGGCAGCGGGATCGTAGCATTATCGAGCGTTTCCTGGACACTTTGCTCCTTCGAATGGGCGGCGCTCATGGCTTGAACAGGCTCAGTTCTCACATGTGCAACCCGCTTCTTGATCGGATCATCCTGAATCAATAGCCCTTCATCATCTTCTGGCGGTTCGCTCGAGGCCGACGTCGTAGGAAGCTCCAAAGACGGGGCTACCGAACCATTAGGGTGATTGTGCGACGCGGCGACACGCTTTTGCGGCCTTGCACTTCGGCGACCCTCTTCTGGGAGCTCGGCGGCTGCTCGTTCACCCATCGCATCCGATTGCGCTCGAGTTACTGGCGCTGCTTTGACGATGATTTGGGATTTGCGAGCCATTTCATCCCGAAGCGACTTGACGCGCTCCGACACCGAACCCATCTTCTGCTGTTGTTCACGTATCGTCAACGTTTTGTGCCCATGGATTGAGGCGCTGCCTTTATCTGCTTCCAAGGGTGTTTCAGCAGCGATCGAGGGGCGGGTTGCAACCGGCACGGCATCAGTTGGTGCGGGGTTGCGGATTGTAAATTGTCGAATTGGAGCAGTGTCAACGTTTTCGACAGAGGCCCTATTTGACGCGCGAGTGCTGCAACTTCTTGCCGGCAAAGCTCCTGCGGACGGGTTCAAACTTCGAGCTCTTGACGGTGCTTTACTCTGGGACGGGTTGGGCTTGGTGACTGGTATCTCCTAAAGCAAAATCAATCATTAGATTCCGTGGGGAAAATACCTGCGACAGAACAGTCTTCTTGGCGGGTTCGGATGAAGTTGCGGCTGGTGTGTCCTCTTCTTCATCCGACTCACTCAGCTGCAGATCGGTAGAAAGCGTCGATTTCTAAAGCGAAGTGATTAGGCAACCAAAAAGGAAGAAACCTTAGGAGATGGCTTGGTGGGTTCTGTGAGCACATGTGGTTTCGGCAACGCGGTACTCGGCTTGGGTTGCGTAAAATCCTTGGCATCGGGCATCGGATGGCTTGGGGCGACAGCGACGCTTCGAGGAGGTTTTTCTGGCGCAATTGGAGTGGGCATGATCGGTGAGGGCGGCGCAAAATATTCGACTTGTTCTCCACTCGCGGAGTCGCTGGGCATAGGCTTGACCACGACAACATTTTCCTAGAATAAACAACCACTTCAAACCCTAGAAAAAATACCTCTTTGGCCGTGCTGCTGGTGCTAGCATCTGTCGGGGCTGCCTGGACACTTTGCTTCGTTGAATGGGATGCGACTCGAGTTTGAGCAGGTTTCTTGATGGCAGTTTCGGGCATGTGGCGGCGGTCTGCCGGCAAGTCGATCACTGAAAAATTTAAAATTAGCAATGGATACGCAAAAGTATGTAGGACTACTATATGTGGCCCTCTACGACCACAAGTTAGAAAAATAATACATACCTAATGTTTGTTTGACCACGCTGGTGCTGGGCGTCTTCGAAGAAGCCGCCGTAGTTTTAGGAACTTCGGCAGACGGTTTGCACGGCGGCGGGATCGTCGCTTCGTCGAGCGCTTTCCATGCTTCCTGGGCAATTTGCTCCGTTGAATGGGGTGTGGTCATAGTTTGAACAGGCTCAGTTCTCACATGTGCGACCCGCTTTTTGATCGGATCATCCTGGATCAATAATCCCATATCATCTTCTGGCGGTTCGCTAGATGCTGGCTCCTCAACGGGTTCCAAAGCCGGGTCCATAGGGCCGCTAGGGTCATCGAGGACATCATTATTCGGCGGAACGACTCGCTTTTGCGGTCTTGCACTCCGGCGGCCCTCTTCCGGGAGCTCGGCTGCTGCACGTTCAGCCACTACATTCGGCTTCGCTAGAGGGGCTGGCGTCGGCTTGACGGTTTGGGGCTTGCTTTCCATTTCGTCCCGGAGCGACTTGACACGCTCTGACACCGAGCCCATCTTTTGTTGCTGCTCACGGACCGTCAACGTCTTACGCCCATGAATCGACGCGCTTCCTTTGTCTCCATCTCCGGCTGGTTCGACGGCGATGGAGGGGCGGACCGCAACCGGCATAGCATCAGTTGGTATCGGGGTTCGGAACGTGAAATGTTGAATTGGAGCAGCATCAGCACTTGCGATAGACGTCCTATTTGAGGGGCCAACGTTGAAGGCTTTCGATGGTAGAGATACGCCGGACGGGTTCAAGCCGCGAGCCCGCCATTTCCCGTCAGTTCGACCTCTCGAAGGTGTCTCGCGGTAGCTGGTCCTCGTATTGGCCTTAGACACATTCTAAAATAAAATTTATAGTTCCTTGGCGGAAAATACCGGTGCAGCTATATTCTTTCTGGTGGACACGGATGTAGTGGGGGCTGAAGTGCCTTGTTCGTCCTCGGAGTCACTCAATTGCAGATCGGTCGAGAGCGTCGATTTCTAAACGAAGCCCTAACCCAATCGAAAAAAGGGACAAACCTTGGGAGAGGGCTTAGCAGGTTCCGGACGGCCGGATGGTTTCCAAAGCGTTGGCTTTGATTCCATAGATTCACTGCTGATGTTGCTAGTGGACGGCTTCGGATGGTTCTGGGCATGTGCAATTCGTCTTGGGCGTCTTTCCGGCGAAAGTGAACTGGGCGTTGTCGGTGCAGGCGTAGCAGAATCATCGACTTGGTCTTCATTCTCAGAGTCACTGAGCTCGAGATCACCCAGGACAACATTGCCCTAAAGAAAAGATTCGAACTCGAAAAGAAAATTACTTGACACGCTTTGCTGGTGCTTGGGCCAACAATAAGTTCATCGAGGGAATTGATTCCTGAAAATTCTCTTCGTGAACAACTAAAAACCGTTAGCCATTAAAGAAATCGCTAAAATTATAGAAACGGATACGTACTGTAAGCTGGTGGCTCTACTCTTCTTCCCAACAGCATAAAGCGCAGCTCCGAATCTCGGTACTTCGATAGACGCCTGGAGACCTCCGCCCTGTCGCCATAATTTTCCACTAAATTCCGCGTATTCATACCGATAATTCTTCTTACGTAAATAATCAACGGCCCAAAACAGATCGGGAATCTCCTCCATCAAGAAATCCAGGCGAACTTTCTTGTTCTCGGCATCCATCTTGCTGCCATCAACCTTCTTTCTACACTTCTCAAACATGTCGCGCCATTTCTAAAAACAGTCAATTTGATAGAACGATATTTACAGCTACCTTTGCCATCTCGAGGCTTTCTCGTAGATTCTCCTCGCATTCCTGACGCTGCCGATTGGCAATCTCTAGCGTCTCCTGTGACATGTCATATTTTGCACGCCATTGATTTGCAGCTGCCAAATGAGCCTGAAAAAACATTTGCACTATAAAGGGGCCTGTTGAGCTTGCCTTAGCCTCGTTCGTATGTTTGTAAATCTTCTGTATCTGTTCATCGCGCGCTGCAACCACACTATTCAGCTGCTGGACGTTTAGCGTAAGCGTAGAGATCTCGTCCTCATATTTCTAAGAGAAAGTGTCTTAAGTTCATGAAGACATACCCGTCTGTCCGCGACAAATTCTCTTATCTGGGTGCTGTTTTCGGAGTTGATCTGCCGAAGCTTCTGATTTTCCTAGAGAAAAATGAGAATACAGAGATCCAGAATCGGTTGCCTACCTGTTCAAAAACGGTATGCCTCGCTGCTTGGGTTTGGAAAGCTTTTAGGCTGCCCATCAGGTTCCTCAGGTTCATCTGTTGGTATTTACAACTGCAAACAGATAAACGAAATATTCTTAAAGGTACCTCTGGCATTCACCGTCCACCCGTTCGTCCTCATCATCCGATAACAGAGAATCCGGCGCATCGCTTCTGCTTGCAACCGTGCGCACGTCTGCAAAGAACATAGTTATAACAAATGTCTTGCTGACCAATTGTTGCTTTGGAGGCCCTGGCTCCGCTTTGCTGGAACGACGCTTCGCTTAGCCCGCTAGACGAAGATGAGGCTGCTGCGTCCTCATTCATCCAGGCTAAAAACAAATAATTAAGTTTTCAAAAAATTTAACCGAATTCCGAGAAGAATTGCGAAGATTTTTATAAGATTCAAAGCGAAAAGTTATTTCTTTTTCGAAACCCGCACAATTTCGGTGCGTAAGCGCCGCGACCTTTATCCAATGCCCCATAGACCGTAACCGGCCAGAAGGGCCGTGCGCTGCGGGAGAAATTTCCCGTCCCAAAACTCTCTCGTCCGCATTCCCATCTCATTTTCTCCCCAAATTTTTTCTTTAGCTTCAATCTTGATGTTTCATTTGTTTTCAATTTACAATCAAACCCTTACTAATATTTTTATTCCAGGTAGCACCATGGTCGCCAAGCCAGCCGTCAAGAAGACCACCAAGGGCCTTCGCAAGAAGAAGCAGACCCTCAAGTTCAACATCGAGTGCAAGAACCCCGTCGAAGATGGCATCCTGAAAGTCAATGACTTTGTAAGTTAAAAATCAGAGTTACCGTCTCTGGTTTTTGCCATCGGGCTTAGAGTAACTTGGCCTCTAATAAGTCCCGATGTAGGAGAGCTTCCTGAAGGACAAGATCAAAGTCGACGGCAAGACCGGCCAGCTCGAGAGCAGCGGAGTCAAGGTTGATGTAATCAAGTCACGCATCGTCATCACTTCCGATGGCCCCTTCTCGAAGAGGTAAATCTTTTATTTTGCCCGTCACTTCTTTTTAGGTACCTGAAATACCTCGCCAAGAAATACCTGAAGAGGAACTCTCTGCGTGACTGGCTCCGAATTGTCGCCTCGACCAAGGACACCTACGAGCTCCGCTACTTCCACATCAACCAGGACGACGAGGATGCCTCCGACAACGAGAGCTAATTTGTTTAGTTTTGATAAATTGTTGAGTTTATTGTTCAGCTCTGGTGAAATACACATTGAGGGTCAACAAATTCTTTTCTCAATTTGGATTTGTCTAAGGCGGCATGGAGGCGCTAATTTTGTTAACATTTGGAGAGCTGCGCTTGAGGGTGTGCTACCAGAGGCTTAGGCTTAGGAAATATTTAATTTCGCGGGGGGTGCGCGTCTCGGTTTCGGCCACTTTTGGTTTGTTTTCACGATCTTGCATATTGAATCCGCAGCTCTCGAGGATTTTGTCTTCTTGCACGGCCAGCAGTTGTCGTTGGCGCCATGTCCCCGAAATGGCTGCTTTGCTTTTTGTTGTCCGTTTCGCTGGCCACATCCGAAGACGGTAGCAAAAGCATTCGTTGTTTTGTCATACCATCAGGACGTAGTTAGCCGGCTCAAATCGGTTCTGATAGATGTCAACTAGGCGTTTTTTCCAGGCCCTAGCAGCCCGCAGCAAGAAGAGATCACAGTCCCGCCGAATGTTACTTTGAAGGTCGGGTCTTCCTCCACTTAGCCTCAACTTCCAACTTTAGCGTTTACCTTGAAATATGGGTTTTTAAGCAAAGGAATGTCATAAAATCATTAAAATTTTCGAAAATCTTCGATTTTTCGTCGAAAGTTGATCAAACCGTTCGGAAACTCAAATTTTTACATTTCGCAAGATTAGTGAAACTAAAAACTGAGAATTTCCCTAGGTAGACAGGCTAGATGGATCTCCGGGTGAAGGCCATTACAAAACAAATAAATCGCCTTTTGGATTAGGGATCGACTGTGGTGGTTCGGCGGCCGTTGGTAAGAGTGGAATTGCTCAACAGCGCACGCGCCAAGAACAGACTGCCGTGGTAATTTCATTGTAATGATATCGACTCGATTCTTCCCTATAGGTGGTATGACGTGATAGCGCCCGGGACACCTGTCCTTGTTTCAAGGCTCTACGTTGGGTGAGTATCGTATTCAGTGTATTGTATGTGGATTTTCCAGCTATGGTGAAATCATTTTTCGAAATTTATAATCGGATCATTAGAAATCTACATTTTAAGCGGATTGAAATGTAGATAAAATCTGTTTCGAATTTTTTATTATCAACAAAATGAAAAAACCCCTCAAAACTTATTGTATACCATTTTCCTTTTAGTCTCGGTGAGCTGCAGGTGATTTGTGCGTGGCAGTTGGTGGCAGCGATCTACGCCCTCTACGGCCTTTACTGGGTGGCCATCACCGGCGATTTCAGCAGGATCCATCTTAGTGCGTGAATTTTAGCTTTGAAGCTTGGATCATTTAATTTCCGATCATTACAACGCTATAGAGGCAGCCAAAAACGTCTAAAATTAGAAAAATTTGGCGGTTTTCCGATCTAATTTCACAAAAGATCAGGTCGACCCATTTAGCCGAACAGCGCGAACGTGCTACCCGCCGGGCGGAGCAGAAGGACGAGTGTGAGAAGGAGAACAAACTTCGGCGGAGTCTCGGTCTGCCGCTCCTTGCCAAACCCGCGGACGTGACCCCCACCGAATCGCCGACTGACCGGGGCCGTAGCCCAGCAGTCTCTCCCGTTTGATTTGTCAACAAAAATGGTGATTCGACAAAATGAATAAATTCTTTGCGAGAATTGACGGGGATTTGAGCCCGGTACTCCTTTTTCGGTATTACTGCGTTTCTCTGTCTCTCTGTCTGTCTGTCTATCTGTCTCTCTATCTCTCTCTCTCTCATCATCATCACTCATTTTCGCGCTTTTTTGCTTTTCTGATTCAAGAAGGCAATGCAACCGTTTATTGCTAACACCGATTTTATGCTTTTGAACTCAAACCGAGGCTGGCCATCAAAGGACGATGAAGACTTTCTTTCTTGCAAATATATCGCGCCCCGTAGACGTCGGCCGGAGTGTTCGAATCCCAATGCGCTCCGTTCATCCCACCCGTACACGCACCCGCGTGCGCCTAAAGTCCTTATTATAACAGCTTGCAATGAAACATGGCTTAACCGATTTAATTTGATGATTCCGGATCTTTTACATTATCGGGGGAGGGGTGATTTTTCCTACAAGCTCAGCAACTAACATAAACTGAAAAGTAACATAGTTGGGAAACCTAGCTTTAATTTCGCTAGGCCCCAGGGGTTGGCTGGATGTTCGGCCCCCACCTCCTATGTAGGAGGAAAACGCAAGCTGGTATGTGCCAAGCTAACGAGCGAGGCACAACCGGGAAACCACAACAAGAAGAATGTCAAGGCGGTGTGGGGAAGCTCAAATGCTCAACTCGTTGTGGGCAAGAGAGTGTTAAGAGTTTATTACATGATAATACTATGGGGGGAGAGACGGAGAATGAGAAGTAGTGAGGGGAGAAGGAAAAGTTACGCCGAGGTTTCAAACTTTGTCTCATGGAGACGAAAGATTGAGCTCGACAGACGGGGGGAGAATACACAGAGAAAAGAGGGGGAGAAGGTTAATAAGGCGGGGAGAAAATACAAAAAGGGCGAAGGCTAAAAACCACAACAACCGAGGTCGAAGTGGGGGAAATACAAAAGGCAAAAAGGCGGGGAAAGAACACGGAGGCCTGGGCCAACGTGTGGGGAAAACATAAAAACGAAGGCACGGAAAGGCGGAAACGTGAGACACAGGGGAAATTAATAAAAGAAAAGGAGAGAGAAAGAGGGACGGGGTGGAAGGGAGGAAGAGGAAAAGAGCGGGGAGAAAGACAAGAAAAAGCGAGACGAACGCCAGGCTCACTAGAATTTGGTGGGCGCCGGCGGGTGGAGAGAGGATGGGGTACGGGCGCCACGAGTTGCGCGTCGTACAAGGGCCAGGAACAGGGGGGAAAGGGAAGGGGATTCCAACTACCCTCCCCTCGGGAGCGGAGGTCCCTCGACGCAAAAGATGGTGGCGGGGGCGACGAGCTTGACTTGGCATCGGCGACGTTGGCTTGACACGAACGGGCACGGGCACGCATGCTTCCTTCAAGAGAAACGTACTTGCGGGCTCGGCCTCGAGCGGCGGCGAAGTGGCGAACTTGTCCTTGCACTGAAGTCGACTTGGTCCTTGAGCAGCAGCACGGAGGCGAGCTTGTCCTTGCACTGAAGTCGACTTGGTCCTTGAGCAGCAGCACGGAGGCGAGCTTGTCCTTGCACTGAAGTCGACTTGGTCCTTGAGCAGCAGCACGGAGGCGAGCTTGATTCCTTGACCTTGACTTGAAGTTGGCGACGAGTCGGGCTTGGGCACGCTTGACTTGAATCCTTGCGAAGTCGTCTTGATCCGAGCAGGGTAGTCGGGTAGGGTAGTGGAAATATACAAATAACTTATAATAGTATAAGCTTAAAGTACTTATACTAAAAAATAAGCAGAACCACCTCCGGGGATCTATTATACCGAACTGCCAATCGAAGCAGCCGGCATCCCGAAGGGGAACTCCAGAAAAAGGCGAAGGCGAGGCCGCGAGCGTGCACGCTGTACGTCCTATAAAGGCAAAAGGCGAAGGCGAATGGCTGGGTTTTGGGTAACCCGAGGGCCAAGGGAAGGCGAAGACAGGGCCGGCCAACCATCACGTCTGATGGCGGCTTGAAGAAACGTGAGCAACTTCATGCGGAGAAACTCGACGCGTTTCACTTGTATCCAGGAGTGTTTTTAATCCACCAACTGCAGATTGGCTTCAAATAACGACTCCTTCGTCGGTGCTTCCTTGAAATGATACTTGGCAAGTTCGACATGCACAAAGTATTTCGAAACGTTGGTAGCCTTTTCCAAACTTCTTTCGGCGAAGTTGGAGACAAAAATTGGCTTTGTAGCCGGCGATGAAGAGGAGATCGGCAGTTCGAGTTTTGAAATCGAATGCGTTCGAATTGGGCTTATCCGTGAGCACATCCCGATGTTTTGGACGGCTTTTCGTGAAACTTCCGCGCTGTTCAACCCGCTTTGCCTAAGATATTGCGTCCTTCTGCTCATCTCGCGCAAATGAAGACTTTTCACTTCATGCGAGTTTTAGCAGGGTGTCGCTGATTTCGGCTCAGCGGCGCTCAACCAAAGATTTTTGGGAACTAGAACGAGTCATCCGCATTTCGAAGAATATCGAAAGGGAGAAAAGCACCTTTATTCGGTAACTTTTTAGTCCATCTTCACATCCAGGCTTGTAGATGCGCGCTCAACAGACAATAGTCTGGAGCGGCTGTAGTCGTCGTGGCCAAAGTCTTGCTGGGCAAAGACTTGCGTATGTGTACGCTCGCTGACAAGCGAGTTTCCACTCTTCGGGGAGAGGTGCGCCGGCTTGAGACCGGTTCGGCCCCCAGTTGGGAAACCTAGCTTTATTTTCGCTAGGCCCCAGGGGTTGGCTGGATGTTCGGCCCCCACCTCCTATGTAGGAGGAAAACGCAAGCTGGTATGTGCCAAGCTAACGAGCGAGGCACAACCGGGAAACCACAACAAGAAGAATGTCAAGGCGGTGTGGGGAAGCTCAAATGCTCAACTCGTTGTGGGCAAGAGAGTGTAAGAGTTTATTACATGATAATACATGGGGGAGAGACGGAGAAGAAAGTAGTGAGGGGAGAAGGAAAAGTACGCCGAGGTTTCAAACTGTCTCATGGAGACGAAAGATTGAGCTCGACAGACGGGGGGAGAATACACAGAGAAAAGAGGGGGAGAAGGTTAATAAGGCGGGGAGAAAATACAAAAAGGGCGAAGGCTAAAAACCACAACAACCGAGGTCGAAGTGGGGGAAATACAAAAGGCAAAAAGGCGGGGAAAGAACACGGAGGCCTGGGCCAACGTGTGGGGAAACAAAAAACGAAGGCACGGAAAGGCGGAAAGTGGACACAGGGGAAATTAATAAAAGAAAGGAGAGAGAAAGAGGGACGGGGGGAAGGGGGGAAGAGGAAAAGAGCGGGGAGAAAGACAAGAAAAGGGACGAACCAGGCTCACTAGAATTTGGTGGGCGCCGGCGGGTGGAGAGAGGAGGGGTACGGGCGCCACGAGTTGCGCGTCGTACAAGGGCCAGGAACAGGGGGGAAAGGGAAGGGGATTCCAACTACACCATAATGATAGTAAGTCTTCCATAGTGGATTTAGCAAATTTTTAATATATGGCAAGTGGAAAACCGATCTCAAAAACCCAGAAACTTTGAAATGTTGGTAAAAAATCGGCTATTTTGCGTCTAAAAATCGTAAGCAAAGGCATAAATTCCCGCAACTCACCGCCCATTTTGCACTCTTGAGCGCGGTTGGTTTGGCGTTCGGGTCGCGGAAATCGTAGAAGGTGCCGTCGCTCCACTGGGAATCACTTCCCAACGTGCCCGTCAATCCGATCCACACCACCGAATAGTCACAGGTGTTTGGCACCGGCCCGTTGACTGTCGGCCCGTCGTAGTAGATCCATTCTTGAGAAAATTATAAGGTTATTTATTTTTGTGCATCCGCGTCTCGGTCTCTCTCTCTCTCTCTCCCCTCTCTCTTGCATTGCCCGTCCCTTTAAAACCAATCTCAGCCACCGACTTACTGTAGATGAACTCATTCTCAAACTTTGAGTGAATCGACGCGAGATGAGCACCCATATTCTGGCAGCCCATCTCGGCCGTCGTCCAATTGTACAGCTGCCAATGCACTGAATCCGGTGTCGTGAAATTCTAAAACAAGAAATGATGGTGATCCGCAACGCGCGCACGCACAACTTTCTATTGCATAATTGCTTACGCAACTAACGAGCTGGCGCGCGTTGCGTGTCGCGGGTTCGGCAGAATCTGCTGGGATTCCCTGGCCATGCCTTTACACCGTCCTTTAGAACCGGAGAAAGGAGTGAGGATCCGAATCATGGATTTTTACCGCGCCCGCGGCACAAGTGCGCACAAATTCGGGCGAATTACGTAATGACGGAGTTCGTAATGGTATAGGGCCCAACAAACCAGTTTAACAGACGAACCTGCAAGAAATAACAGTGGTCAGTCTCCGGCAAATACACCCAACCGCTTGGGCACTGGCGGGCTAAACGGTAGATGATCATCATGGCACTATTCCATCTCACCATCCCCGTCAAGTCCGCAGAAATAGGGCAACGCCGTCTCGCAGGCCACCGAATGCCACTTGTTCGTGTCGGGCCCGATGGCTGCACAATCGCCATTTGCGGGTTGGCCTGAACGGAGAGTAGATGGAGATGCCGTATAGGTTGCTTAACGGTGGGGGAGAAATAAGGGGGTGGAAACAAATTTTGTATCTCTAAAAATTAAACGATTTCAAATATTTTTAAAGGAAATGCAGGCAGATTTAAATAAATTTACCTGGTGCCCAATTCGTGTAATTCAGTGCGCTACCATCCGAATAGACCCAGGTTCCCGTGGCCGACTTTTCGACACCGATAAATGCCGACGAACCGCTAAAGTCTATAATTTTGCATATATATAATTTTGGCGTGTATCTTTGTGTGTGTGTGTGTGGATGTCAGTTTCGAGGCCCGATTTGAGGGCTTCCCGTGCAAAAAGTCCAATTCTTGTCACTTGGGGGAATCGATTCCGTTCCGAGGTGTGTTCAGAATTTCGATAAAATCAAGTTTACAGTTAAGCCGGTTTATTCATTTTGGGGTAATTTGCATAATGTGAAAAAATACAAATTTGCTCATTCTTGCCAGTTGCACGCGCGCGTGTGGTGAGGGGGGGTCCGAAGGACCCGAGCTGCCGGAAAGTCAAATTTCTCATGCAAACGCACCATTCCAGCGCCCAAGGCCCGCGAAGCGGGTTTTGGGCGCTGGTTTTGCATATAAAAACCATAAAACCTATTAACCCGAAACCGGAACCGGAACCTATTAACCCGAAAAGAATCGCATTTTCGAGAACGTTGCTGACTTGGACCACGTCTCCGCCAAGTCCATTGCATTGTCGGATTGCGTTCGAGTAGTCGTCGGCTGGAATTTATGGGGTTTAAGGGGACGGGCAAGGTATGGTTATACGGATTTTTTAGCTATTTTTTATAGAGTTCACGGCTTAATCGGTAGCGAAATTGATAAAATTCTCTTAAAGCAAGGGTGAACAGATACCTTGCCGAATAGGTGCCACGCAGAGATGTTGCCCAGGGATTGATATGGTACCGTTTGGACAGGCAAAAGCCGAAAGGCCAGAGAATAGAGAGAAAAAGAGAGCGAGAGAGAGCAACATGTTGCTCGTCTCCTTCTTACCCGCTACTCCAACCTAATGCTTATCAAAAACGGCCACAGAATGGCGGCCCCTTTTAATCATCGGCTCAACGAAAAGCTGTTGTAGATTGGTCCCCTTTTTTGGGTGATATTTTTCAGGAAATCGGGGGCGATTTCCGGAATTATTTCCGGACTTTGTGTAGAGTTTAGGACGGACTGATTACGGTGATTAGCCTCTCACCCCCACACACTTTTGCACAAAATCAAAAGCCCGAAAATCGGGTTGGCGTCACCGATAGCGGGGCGGAGGCTTTACACGCAGTCTTAAAGGAAAAGGGGAGAAGAGCAAGATACAGCGAATGTACCTGAACTCGTTGATGTCGTGGGCCATGCATTATTCATCTTTTTTTCTGGGTCTGCGAAACGCAACGCGCCCAGCTCCGTCGCGTCGCATAACGGGATTAGATTTTTGAAGGACGCGCAATGGAGTACGAAATTTTGTCGACAAGCAACGGCGTGTGCGTTACGTATTGCGATGCCGCTGTCTTACTGTGTTAGCACATTCCAAATTCATAAGTTTTATTCAAGGAAAACTTGGGCTTCAAGCCCGCCCCGAGCGATAGAGGCTGTCCTTTTTGCACACGTAGCGCGAGGCGTTCGGCGGCGCATCCGAGGCGAACGAGTCCCAGTGGGAGTAGCTGAGGCAAGCGCCGGAGTGGGCCTGCAAAATTAAAAAGAAATCCTCGTAATTTTTTGGGCTTCCGGCTTGTGGGTTTCGGGGTGGAGGTAGGAGCCCGGTGGAGCACTTCGTCTCTCCAAGAGCCAAAACTTAACTACTGTATCTAGGGTCCCTAAGAACCTACAGGGTTGTAAAGTACATCAAAATGTTCGCACAGATCTGGCGAAGATTTTGGTATACTTTAAAACCCTGTAGATTCATGGAAAGTCGAGATCCTGTTCTATAAAACGCAAAACTAACCGCCCAATACTGTGCCGACGTTATAGCTGACGTGCTTGGATCGCGGAAATCGATGAACGTCCCGTCCGACCACAGATTGCTATTACCGATTTGTGCATTGCCATACAGCCCGATCCACGCCCTTGAATAATCACAGTTGTTGGGCGAGGCGTTCGATGAAGTCGGCCCGCGATAGTAGATCAGGTCTGAAAGTGTCGGTTCTTTCGCGTGTTCAGGGGGAAACTTTTCCTTTTAGCCTATGGAAGGTATCTAGCAAGTAATTTAATAATTTTTCAGTAAATGTAAGGGTATTTCAAGTGCAAAAGCTATCTAAAAACCAGACATGGCAATTCCGATCGGCCGAGCCGCGCGGCCCGGCCGGCGGCCTAATTTCCATAAAAAACGCGGCCCCCTACGAGCCGCCGTCATTAGTTACTTCCGGAAATGCGGCCTCGCGGCCGAGCCGCAAACCGGAAGTGACTCATTTACATATCAAAAAACCGCGAATTTTATGCAAAATGGGAATGGAAATGAGAAAATTAAGGTTGTCGAGTATGGCTATTCCTCGCTAGCAGGCTAAATACGCATTGCATCTCCGATTTACGTACCGGAAGTACTCAAAACTCATTTGGATGCGGCCTCAAAAGCCGCGCGGCTTGGCCGCCGTGCGGCATCAAAACGGAAAAAACAGCGGCCAAGCCGCGCGGCCCGGCCGCATGCTAATTTTTGCGGTCCAAAAAAGCCGCGCGGCCCGGCCGATTGCCATGTCTGCTAAAAACTGAGAAAACTTATTAAGAACTTAAGGTTTTGGTCCAGAACTAGCCATGTTTGGGTTCCAACACGTAACGCGTTCAGATCGTTCCGTTGCGTATCGATTACGACGCTGTAAAGCAGCCGAAATGACGCCTGCGGTGCGTGTCGCGGTAAAATTCCGACTGAACCCAAAAATAAACCCACTAAAAATAAAGTTATTCTCGGCTTTCGAGTGGATCGACGCGAGATGGGAGCCCATTTTTTGGCAATTCAGCTCGGCCGTCGTCCAATTGTAGAGTTGCCAATGGATCGAGTCGGGCGTCGTGAAATTCTAGAATTTTTTAAGACATTTTAGTTGCCAGTAAATACCTGTAAATAATAGCAAAAGTCCGTATCCGGTGAGTACACCCAGCCATCCGGGCATTGAAATTCTGCAACCGGCCGTTGAATCATTTAAATAATTTTTTAAAAAAAAAAAAAATAAATTAGATGATGTTTAAGAAATAAAAATAATAAATAATGTAAATAAAAAAGGATAAAGAATAAAAATAAAAAAAAAGAAAATTACTGTTGCCATCGACTCCGCAGAAATAGGGAAGTGATGTGGAGCAGTCAAGCGATTTCCATTTTGTCGATGAAGGGTCGATTTGGGCACAATAGCCGGTGGAGGGTTGTCCTGAACAGATTTTTAAGACCACCATACCAAAACCCAAACACCAAGAACTACAAACATTCCGCAAAACACCCAAATTTTACCCCACCCTTCATCCGACGCGTAAAATCGAATCAAAGTCGTTCCCTCTTGAAGTTCATGTAAAAAACGACCAAAATTTAATAAAATTTCGTTTTTAGAATAGTGAATGCTAATAAAAATTTAGGTTATTTTTGAGGTATCAGAAAAGCGCATAAAATTTCGCTCTTACCCGCCGCCCAATTCGTATAATTCAACGGCGACCCATCCGAGTACACCCATTTCCCATTGGCCGACTTCTCGACCCCGATGTACGCCGCCGAGCCGTTGAACGCTAAAAAGTGTATGCCTTCAAAAAATACTATTTTTAGATAATTTTTACAAGCCCCCCTGGACTTACATGACTCCAAAATCCCGAATAGGATCGCATTCTCGAAGACGCTCTCGATTTTCACCACCCCGCCGCCCAGGCGATCGCATTCCCGGATCGCGTTGTTGTAGTTGGCCGCTGCAAAAAATAGAATTAGCAATTCGTAGGGAATTTTTAGAACAAAAATGTTGAATTTTTTGCTACTTTTTACTACTACTTACTTTTTTGCTTTTTCTTTTTACTTTTTTACTATGGATTACCGCCCTCTGAATTTTAAGCACGCACCGCAACGCGCGTCCGTCCGCTGTTCTATTGCGTAATCGATTACGACACGGAAACGGCCGGAAAGTGGCCTTCAAGCAGCGGTTCTAGTCTGTTAATGCGGGGGGGGGGTGGGGTTCCGTTACGTATCCCCAGACCCCCCCCGGTAATGCATCAGAACCAAAGAAGCACAACCCATAACCCAATGGAAACGACCGCGCTGAGCTAGCGTGTCGCGGTAGTAGCAAAATTTATAGGGAATCCATAGAAAACAAAGTCCATACCCCAGCCTTCCCCGTTCCTTTAAAAACGAACCTTGAGGCACGGGAACCACGCAGAGATGTTGGCCCGGAATTGAAATGGTACCGTTGGGACAGGCAAAGGCTTGAATGGCAGAGAATAGAGAGAAAAACAGGGCGAGCGACAACACCATGTTCATCTTCTCCCTGCCACGTTGCTCCGTCGATTATAAGCCAGAATCACTGGAAAAAAGGGAGGCAGCCAACCTCTGGGCGCTGGAATAATCCGCCCACGAGTTGGGGCGTAGCTTGGCCTTTCTTTCCTCCGAATTATCACTCGACAAATACTGATAAACACTGACGAGCCCATTTCCGGCCGCAGCTCAATTTCCAGCAATTTTTTGCAGAACGGGATAAGCATTTTGGTGAGGGGTTGCCCGTTTTAAAGGGTCAGGGAAGGGACTGTGAGTTTCGTACCTTGCCGACATTACTTCAAGTTTTGGCAAAAATCTTCTTCTTAAAGCCCGTGATTACTGTGCTCCTATTTACTGTACTTTACATGCTTAAGCTGATCAAACAATATCATGCTTTATCAGGTCAGTATCAGGCTTCGGGCTCTTCGGGAGCGCGTTGGTTCTCCTTCTTGCAGACGTAGCGAGCGGCTTGCGGGCCACTGGCCGGAATTCCTTCCCAATTAGCGTAGGTCAAGCAAGAGGCCGCGTGTGTCTAAACGAAACGCTCAATGAGAGAGAGAGGGGGGGGGAGAGGGAGAGAGGAGAAAGAGGGAGAGAGATAGCGAGAGAGAGAGAGAGAGAGGGAGAGATAGAAAGGGAGAGATAGAAAGGGGGAGAGAGTGAGAGAGACATAGCGAGTGAGAGAGAGCCATAGCAATTGAGCGAGTGAGAGAGGAAGAGAGACATACCGTCCAATAAACGCTTCCATTAGCCGGGGCCGTTTTCGGATCTCGATAATCGACAAATGTGCCATCGGTCCACGGCGTTGTCTCTCCAATTTCTGCCGTCCCATACAGCCCGATCCAAGCCCTCGAATATTCGCAGTCATCCGGCGACTCCGGCGAGGCTTCCGGCCCCTTGTAAAAGATTAACTCTAAAATCATGAAAAACGGGGGGCCAAGTTGAAGAACCGTGAATAAAGTCGTTCTCCACATCTGTGTGAATCGACGCCAAATGAGCGCCCATTCTCCGGCAATTCTGCTCGGCCGTATCCCAATCGTACAGCTGCCAATGCACCGAGTCGGGCGTCAAGAAATCCCGAAATTATGGTTTTAAGCTTTCCTTATTAGACACCTGCACGTAGTAGCACGCATCCGGTCCCGGGGCATAGGCCCATCCATCGGGGCATTGAAGCTCTGAAGAAGGAAAGTAAATTCTGTTGAAATCTGTTGAAAAATCGATCTTTTTCGCGTTTAGGAGATTTGCTATCGTAATGTAGAAATTCATGATTACGAAATGTCGAAATTTCAGAATGCCGAAATCCTGGACTGGACTGTTAGCGGGGAGGCAACGGATTTTTGTATTTTCCATCTATTGACAATACGAAAACTATTTTTATATTCTTTTTTTTTGCAGTTCTTGATACCTAGAAGCTTATAAAAAATATATTGAAAAATGAAAAAAATTCGCAAATTTTGAATTTTTTGGTCGTTTTTCAAGAGAATCTTTTGACCAAAAACGCAAAAGTTTATAGCTATTTTATGAGTTCTTGCCTCTAAAAAGGCATAAAATACCATAAAAATTTATATTTCGTTATAGGAGATTACTAAAAAATTTTTGGGTTTTCCCGACTACCCCCCCGCCGCTAAGAGTCCAGTAGCCGACTTCCTAGCCCCTTAAAGCGGCTCTGGCAGCACACCGATTACGACATTTTGGGGACCGGGCAGAGACGCAGAGTTCTGTCTGCGTCTCTCCTCTGGGCGCGCTCTTTCTCTCCCTGCCGCGACGCACCCGACCGCGACGCTTCCACGAGTCGTGGAAAAAGGGGCTTGCTGCCAGAACCGCTTTAACGAAACTTACTGTCGCCATCAAGTCCACAAAAGTAAGGCAGCGGCGTGGAACAATCCGTCGCTTTCCATTTCATCGTCTGTCGATCCATCATCACACAATCCCCAGTTGATGGCTCACCTACAAGGGTAGCTTACATTTCTATAAACTCCAAAAAGGAAAAAAAGACGTTTTCGCCCGTATTTCGCAACTTACTGGTATCCCAATTTGCATAAGTGATGTTCGTGCCGTCCGAGTAAACCCATGATGAATCTGTGGCTCTTTCGACGCCGATATAGGCGCCGTCGGCATTAGGGAACCCTGGAAAAAGCATGACTGGGATTCGAATGGGTTTTCACTTACACTGGACGAGAACCCCGTAGATGACCGCATTCTCGAAGGCGTTCTTGATCATGATCACATTGCTATTCTGTCGATCACAGCCCCGGACAGCGTTGATGTAATTCACAGCTGGAAATGTTCCGTCGTCCGGCACTTCGAGATTTTTTTGAAACAGGACGCGACGCGGCAATCTCTTGCGTTGCGTGTAGCTGATCTCTAATCATAATCACGACACGACGAAATGCCGACCTTCTAATGACGCTATTTTCAATGGCCTTCCCTTTAAACAGCGATTCTGGATTTCGATATTATGGTTGTCGGGATTTTCACTGTCGGTATTTTGGCGGTAGGAATTCCAAATCTATAAAATACCAATAGTCAAAATCCCTACGCATGATTTGCTAAGCCCTTTAAAGGATGGTGCTGGCAAGGATCTGGATCTTCTACAGGGCAAGCGGAAAATCACGACAGGCGAAAATACCGACAGTTCAAAATACGGACAGCCAAGATCCCGACACCAAAAATCCCGATAGCGAAAATCGCTGGGGGGTAGGGGTTTGGAAAAAGAAGGGGGCCCCCGGGGAAGCACGAAACGGAGGGCCCGGGGGCACCCGGGCCCAGGGATGTGGGGACCTGGTGGTTAAGAGCTTTGGAAGTCAACTCAACATCAGGATGATGTCGGGATTTTGACTGTCGGGATTTTCGCCTGTCGGGCTTGCTGGCTGTCGGGATTTTCGAAGAAATTCCCCCTATGGAGAACACCACGCTGGTTCCCGCACGTAACGCGCAGCCGCGATTTTTCACTACGTAATCGACTGCACCCTATTCAGAGCGGACAAGCATTGAGTTGCGTACGCTTTGCGGCGCCGGTGAATCCATAAAGGATCCAAAAGTTTGCCTTGCCGACCCCTTTAAAACGTTACCTCCCGGGATGGGAAGGATACACTGGTGCTCGGTGGGAATAATCGTACTATTCGGCGGGCACACGAACGATAGAGCGCCAGCAGAGAGGGACAGGAACAGGGCCAGAGAGAGCCACATTTTGTCCCGAAAACTGAATAGGATTTGGTGACTTACGGGGATCAACGAAAGTGTAATTTTATACCCAAATCCGACCAAGGCGTGGCCCTTTACCTGAAAAATCTCCGTTATCCGAACGGGCCATTTGCCGTTGCATAACGATACACAGCGTAGTTCGCACGTTTTATGAAGCTGATAAGGGGTGTTTTTTGTGCTTCCTATCATTTGAGCGCCGAATCACCGGATTATGAGGGCATCAACGCTTTTTTTTACGGCTACAAAATAGACTTTCAAAATTGTAGACAATTATTTTGGGTTTTAGAAGGTTTTTGACCTTAGATGTTCATTTTTATAAAACGGTCGGATTTTGCGGATTTCTACGTTTTTTTGCCTAATTTCAACTGAAATTCAACAGAATTCAGTTCTTGGGTTGTGTTTTAAATTTCTGGACAATTGATCCCTTCCCCGCCATTTTCCAACCGACCACAACGACCGACACACACATCGGCGTCCAGGGGAGCACCACGTAGGGGGTAGGAATCGGCTTGCTCGGGTTTCCCGTTTTCATGGGTCTTTTGCCGGCCGGCCCGGGACAGCCCGGAGGGCACCGTATTCCGATGACAAATTGGCCTTGACGTCGTATCGGGGATTTTTTCGGGTTTCGGGTTTCAGCGTTGATCTGGTTTGACACGCAGAGTTGGCTGTCTGTCTGTCTGTCTGTCGGTCTATCTGCTTGTTTGTTTGTTTGTTTGTCTATCCGTTTGTTTGTTTGTTTGTATGTCTGTCTGTTTGTCAGTCGGTATATCTGTCTGTCTATCTTTCTGTCTGTCTCTCTGTCTGTCCCCGCATCTTCATGCACTTTTTTGGCTGTCTGTCTGTCTTTTTGTTGTCTCACTGTCTTGCTCTCTGCCTCTCTATCCCTATCTCTGTCTGTGCTCTCTCTCTCTCTCTCTCGCTCACTCTCTCTCTATCTCGTTATCTCTCTCACTCCATCGCTCTCTCTCTCTCTCTCTCTCTCTCTCTCTCTCTCTCTGTCTCTCTCGCCCTCTCTCTCGCCCTCTCTCCCTCTCTCTCTCTCTCTCGTGTTCTCTCCATCCCATCCTATAACATTTATACAGCAATGAGATCGTCTGCGATGGCTGGCTGTGTGGTGGGCGTTGTTGTTGTTGTTGGGGGTGCAGAAAAACGAGACTCCAATTCCGCTATCAACGGCCGAACAGCTCGGAGGTGCGCGCTCGTCTGAAGCGGTCCAGCGGGGAGGCCAACTGCAAATAAAATTGATAGAATACGGTAGAAGGGGCGAATTTTGGGGCTGGTGTTTTACGGGGAGCCATAGACCAAAGATTACAATGTCCAAAATCCGACCAATAGAAGTAAATTAGAGCTTTTTGGCGTTGTGTCGCTAGTATTGGAGTGTACGAGGGTATTCACGCGTAGCGGTGTAGTTTGTAGGCCAAGGGCTGCCCCGAGGGGCCCGCGAAGCGGCTAGAAAATTGCCGGAATTTTTTGTGATACTGTTTTGGAGGTTTAATTAATATTGAAGAATTATTTTAAATTAAAAAAGTCTAGATAAGAAGCTCAGGGGAAATTTTTACATCTTAATTTTGATAAAAAATACCCTGCTCAACAATTCGGCGCTCATCTCGCCGCTGGGCACGTCGTAGTCGGGGGAGCTGCGTTTTCCTGCAAAAAAATTTAAGAATGGATTTTTACCTTAATTTAAAAGGTTCTTAAAGCAAGGATTCCTATATTTTCAAGTAAAACTATATTCTGAATTTCACTTGTCAAGCCCTTTAAAACACATTTTCGCTTTTAAAGGACCATTGAAGAGAGATTTAGCGAGTTTTCGAGGGTTTTCCTGTATTTCTTTTCCTTCTTTTGGCTTTGTCGTAATTTCACGCTGTCGAAATTATTGATAGTCGAAATTTGTCAAAATTTCTTATTGTCCAAATTTACTTTTGTCGACATTCGTTTGGTCGTGAATTTTTCGCCTAAAATTCCGAAATGCCTTTGTGAAATGAAATTGAAATCCGACAAATTGAAATTTCGACAAAATGATTTTCGACAAAGTGAAATGCCGACAAAATGGACTTTCGACAAACTTCTTTTTGACAAATTTACAAACTCCGCCGATACCTTAGACTCTATAAATGTTTTGACTTGTCAATCCCTTTAAAAGAGCTTGTCTCATCCCCTGTCCCTAGTTTCCCCCGTACTACTGCATTTCGCGCTCCGAAAATTTTACGGCGCGCGGATTCCGAATTGCAGGGTTGCAAACGGGGGACTAGGCCCTCGCCTACCACGATTTTATGGGGCACTTTTTAATAATAATAGGGAAGGGGGGAGAGGATCTAGCTATAGTTAGAAAGCTATAACTTGACATATACCTCGCGCTCAAGCGTCTAAAAATACGGTAGATTCCTCAAAAATCACTGCTAGTCAGACTAGCGGTTTCCGTAGCTTTTGAATTCCAGGTGCTTTGGCAAGATCGGGGGGGGGGGTGTCAATTTTCCTGGATGTCTAGAAATTTTTATCAAAAAATCAATATGATCAATTGTTATTTTTAATCAAAAGAACTGAATTCTAGTTTCCACCAAAATATCTCTGCCAGATTGCCCGGAAACGCCTAAAAATAGGCTTGGGAAAGGCAAAACACAAAAATAACAAGCACTAATAATAGCATTAATGACAAGAATTTTCCGCAGTGATCGCTGCTAGCCTTCCCGACACGCAAAACCTTGTCGGAATTCCCCAAAAATCCCTGTTAGCCTGCCCCTCTTTCTCAAATCATCTTTTTTAGGCCACCCCAATGAGAAACGCACCAAAAAGTTCTCGGGCGCGTTTCGCCTGGCCTCCTGCGCTCCGCTTTCCAAAGAGCTCACGACCGCGTTTGCTCTGGACGACTGCTGAAAAGGATACTGTATGCAAGGGCACTTTTTAGAGCGACATACGATAATCATCATCTGCCCGCTTGCCGAGTCGCCAAAGTGACGGATTCTCGTAATCGTCAAAGAGTGGGGTATAAGCCACGGCACCGGCCACCAACAAACCCATCAACAGCACCCAGTTCATTTCTGAAATTTTATTACGTAAAATAATCGAGAAATTTTAATGGAAAACTTTGTAAAATATAGAAAATAATTAAAAAAAAGAAACATAGAGCACAGAAACAAGATTAAATATATTCTTGCTCACCCTTTGTGGCGCGTCTCCCGGGCGGGCTCCCGCGATAACGATAACCGGAGTTTTGGCATTATCGGGAGGGGGGGGGATGGGGACTTTTTCTGCGATCCGACATACTAGAAAATAAATAGAGGTTTTTCTAGAATGTTTAGAATTTCGATATTTTCTGAAATGGCTTTTTACTATTTCTAAAAGTCACAAACTTTACAAACTTTTTCAAAACGTCATCAAAAAGTACAAAATACCGATTTTCGACCAAAATTTGCATTTTAGAATGTTTTTAGACGGTTTTTCCTTTTTAAATATAAGTAATATTGCTACAATTCTATCAAAAAAATCAAAAATGATACTAGGAATGTCTGGACTTAGGCGAAAAAAATTGGGGGCGCCCCCAATCAACTCCCCCCGATAACCCACAAGTAACTAAAAGTTAACTAGAAAAAAATCAATTAAAAAGCGTCATTTGTAGCAATTTGTTCCGAAAAGGGCACGGGTGGGCCGTTTTTTGATGGGCCCAAAAAACGTGCCGGGGCCCTCTTTGAAAGCTGGGGTGGATAAAATTTCAGTGGGATTTGGGCGAATCCCTGGGAGTTCTTCCCGCGCCACGAAAAGAAAGTCTGCCATTTTTTAAAGGGGCTGGCAATTGGGGGGGTATTTCTGACCACTTTCGGAAATTGAAATCGGTTTTTTTGCGAGCGGGTCAACGCGAGAATTGGTGGTTTCGGAATCTAGGGATTTTCGTTCCAGCGATCACTCGATCCGTGCGATCAGTCAATTGCGCATTATTTACATACCGTAACCGGAAAACCCTGAAAAACAAAAAACAATTTAGCGTAGATTAAAAATTTAACTACGCTTCCGGGTCCCTTTAATCCGGGCCAAGGAAATCGAGGAGCCTACACCCAATTCGGAAGTAGGCGGACGGGCACCAGATGAGCTGATGTTTGTTAGGGAAGCGCGGGATTAAGTTGCAGCCCGTGAGCTGAAATGTTTTAGTTCTGATGCTCTACATTTTAGGGGAGGGGGCATGTGATTGTTACGTAGGCAGGGGGAGAGGGAGATAGAGAGAGGGCGAGAGAGCGTGAGAGAGAGAGAGATAGAGAGACAGAGGGAGAGAGATAGAGAGCGAGAGAGAGTAAGAGAGAGCGAGAGGACGAGTGAGAGAGCAGAGAGAGGCGAGAGGTAGCGAGTGGTGAGGCCATAGAAGAGAGAGGGGGTGCAGAGTAGAGGCTAGACTGAGAATGAGAATTTGAAGTAAACGAGTCAGCCTCTCATAACTAAGCAACCGGCTGACGTTACTGCCTATAACGCCGTATCAACCTCAAAATTTCCATATTTGATCTGACGGCCCATGAATTTCAAAAAAATGCCGAAATCCGGTAAATTTTCGACTCTTTTACCTGGGCCACTAGTACTAAAGAAAATAATTAGAGAATCGACTGGAAAGAATCTTCAAAAAGCAAAAGGGGCGGTCGGACCAAACCCCACTCTCTGTCTGAAACCACCGCTCTATCGACTGAGCTGGGTCTACAGTTAAGGAGGGGAGACATGGGTCCGGAAAAATTCAGGATCTATTCGTTTAAGAATGTCGAAATTCATAACGTCGAATTTTCCATAGTGTCAAACAAATTAGATTGTCAGGGAGATTTTCTTATAAAAAATTCGACATTTTGAAATTTCGGCGTTATTAAATTTCGACATAGTGAATTTCGAAATTATGAAGTTTCAAACTTAAAAATTCCACACCAACTCTTATGGCTTTCGACAAGCTGAAATATCGAAATTATGAAAGTAAGCTTCCCGGATCGATTTCGAAATCGTATAACGTAAATAGCAAT